AAAACGTTTTTACGACTTTTACTTCTTCTAAATAGTCAAATTAGGTCATCTTCTTAACATTAGTCGAGTCAGTAAAACGACACCAATCCAACGACTTCACTAAACCATTCAATCAGTAGTACCGACGGACGGTGTGTACAAAGGGCCGTCCAATGCTTCTAAGTTTTCCATGATGATCTAACTTCAATTGATTCATAAATTCAATTATTTGGATATGGATATATGGATATCCGAAAACAAAATGCATTTGACCTTTTCAACATTAAATCAAAAATACGTATAAATTAAATTAACTACATTGATTCACACTTATACAAATACACTTAAACCTGTTTTAAATTTAATTATATTTAACCTTAATGAAATGATTAGAATTGTTTGTATTATATAAAATATTTGGTCTGATTTATTCTACTCTGTTAATCAGGTTCATTGCTGGAACTATTCACCATTGTCTGTTATAGATATGGCCAGTATGGTGCCGGTTAGCAATATCTTTTGAAAGATACAAACATGTCAACATTTGATCCCTTTATAAAGATTCATACACATATACATGGTTTACGTTAAATCAGTCGATGAGGTTGTTAATCTTCATCGACTGAGATGGTTGGGCCACGTGTTACGTATGCCTGAACACCGATTACCACGACGTGCAATTTATTATTTATTTATTTGAATAAATTGCACGTCGTGGTAATCGGTGTTCAGGCATACGTAACACGTGGCCCAACCATCTCAGTCGATGAAGATTAACAACCTCACGACGTGCAATGCTAATGGGTGTTGGAGATGGTTGGAAGATAATTAGGGGTGGCCAAAGCAAAACGTGGCATCAGTGCTGGAAGACACTAACCTCTAGTCTGAGCCATGTTGGTAGATGCAGACTACTTGGTTGGGTTCCGCGTGACTTTCGTAACCGATGGTTGGAGACTCTTGGTGACATGGCTCAGAATCGATCACAATGGCGTCGGTGTATACACTCTCTGTCTTCCCTTAAACTAAGAGATTAAAATCGCTTCATATCTTTCTTTCTACTAACTACTTTCTTCCTGTACTGTTTCCTTATATGCAATCTTCTTCTCCTATATATTACCACCTTTGATCTAACCACTTCTATAAATCCGGTGTTCATCTTGTTGTGTTAATGAGGTATGGCAACCTGGACCGATGCACATATGTGCCTGGTCCTACGTTGTAGCTGACTGACTGACATGGTCTACGTCCGTGTACGGTCTGTAACAATGAAATTAATGTAAACTGATTGTTCAGACGTGTGTATTGGTAGTTTATATCAGTGACTTAATTTAACTCGACAACTATTAAATACTACGAAGCAATGAACAGTTGTTTCGTTCACGTATGTGATTTCTCGATAGTGAACACGCGTGACTTCACGAGAGATCAATATTAAAACCTCCATGTCTTATAGAGAGAACGTTACCAATACATAGCATCATCCCATAAAATTCTTGACTTTAACTGAACCGTATCCGTAGGTTCAAACTGCCTGGTTGGTGTTTGCGCTATAACAACACTCATTAGTTGAAAACGGGTGACATGAATCAGAATCAGTACTTTTTTCGAAACTTATCTCTTCTTTTCTAAATGATTTCTCTCATGTTTAATTTTTCTGTTTATCATTGGCACTACTATTACTTTGACTCTTAGTGTTCTTCTGTTTACTTGTTTCGTCTTGATAACTTAAGAACTTCGACTAAGACACATTTTTCTTAGGTTTCATGTTCATTGTGATTGACCGATTGATTGATGAATAGGTTGTGAGCTCGAACCCTGTCTCACGTACTTTGATTCGGATTACTGACTATTATTATTGCAGTGAAGAGCATAGGTGAGGACAACCGGTCATACTCAGCACAAAAATTACAATTACTTGGTAAAATAGAAAAACCATACTCTAATAATTAATTTGCAAAATGTTCATTAATTGTCTCAGACTTCATTGTTCCTACATTTCCATACCAATTGCTTTCTGTTTCCGACCTTCCTTTATTGATCTTCTCAATCTTCTACTGCTAGACATTATATTCCTGACTCGCGTTATATACTACTTATGTCGATATAAGTAGCACACACCACAGTATAACTAGCTATTACATTTGAAATTAGTAAATATGAGCTGTTGGGTTACAGTCGACCGTTCAATAGCATTTTGTTAATTACAAAACTTGAGGGTCGTGACTTAAAACTCATATTTGGTCGTACATATTTTCTGTTGAGAAATAACAAATAAGAAATAAAACCCAGTTATGTAATAATTCCTTGTTCTCATTTATTTTCCAATCGATGTCAGTCACATACGTCATAATAAAGTTTATGTTCTCGTTATATGAGATTTCAATAAAATCGCTGAAATGGTGAATAATAGATCTTGTTCCTATTATGCATTTCTCACAATCATATATTAAGTAAACATTAGAATTTGTAGTTTACATTACGAACCGATTTCACTTAAACTACCATTGAACCTCAGGAAGCGTTGTACAGCTATTTTTCTTTTTGTTATGAAGATCTTTAGACGTGCGTATCTATGATCCTAATAGGTATTGAACCCAGGACCTTTAGGCCTTACGATGAATTCAGGGACTCTTAAAACGATCTGGATTAAATGATAAGTATTTCTACCGATACACTTAAACTGTCTTCCTAGCCGACTTCTATAACCCCAACTACTTCTATATATCAGCTGGAACACTAGAGAGAACACCCGAATTGCGAGTAAAAGCTTTACCCTGAGTTTAATTTATGTACAGAAAAATGAGGATATTTATGGCGTTACAGAAAATCTCGAGCTTCTGGAAATTTCTGGCACCTTGCTAAATATTAATATCAGTATGAGTAGATATCTAGTCAAAACCGTAGCACGTGATCCTACATTTTCTAGACGTCTCTTCGAAACTTCTATTCAACAGTGACTGTATAAAACGTTTCCTGGAGGTTTTGGGCTTCTCCCGACCGTTGTTGCTACCTTGACGTGGTGGTCGGGCTTGCCTATCGTGATGAACCAGTCGAGCTATACTGGCTGGAACAACCGTTTCTCAAGGTCCTACCATGTCAGACAGGTCGGTTGCAGAGTGGTAAGACTAAAAGCAACAAACCCAAGGTCCGAAGGCGAAGTCGTACTGCTGACTGTACAGAGGTGTGACAGCAGTAAGGTGTTTCCCACGGACAACCAGCATAACAGCGATGCTGCCTTCCCACAAGGAGGGGTGGGGTTAGAAAAGGTCGACCCTAAAAATGCACACCTCACCTTACCTCACGGATTTCCGTCTCCGGCGGTAAGGCCCTTTGAAGAACGGAGCTAACACGTCAAAATCCTCCCACAAAAAGGCCTTGCGCGACCGGCCTCAAGCAGTTGTCCCTTGGGCACTGCGGTCACGCTCTCAGGTCACTGAGACCACCTCTAATCCAATTTCCTTTTCAGGTACCTCCAGAAGAACCCTTCGTCGGTGTGGGCAACCGGGAAGTGATAACCGCCCTCATACCTCTAACAGCACTCGAGACCACGTTGTAGCTGACTGACTGACTGACTTTGGGCTTCTAGAAACTTTGATGAGGGATATTTTAAGACTTTACCAACACTAATTTAAAATCGATTTTTGATTAATTATCATTCAAATAGCAATAATGAATAATTTATGATGTAAAAACTTGAAATGATTAGAGATAAATCGTAGGAGTAATTGTTAGAGACAGAATAGATGCCATATGGATAAATACTTACGCTGTTAGTTATTTGATTGTAAATATAAAAAAAAGCATATAAGTTACTCTTAAAAATTCATAAATTACAGTACGCACTACTTAATCTCTCCATGCTTATCAATTTTGATTATCCTAGTAACTAAATATTGGTAAGTTTTGGTTAGACTTTAATACAAAATACAAACTACTTTTCACAGCCTTTAAATGTCCTGTTACGGTCGAGAGTGGGGAGAGTCCATTCTCCCTCTCCAAATGCTTTCACATTATCACTCGTATACAGCCACTGTCACGAAAGGACTACTCACTGCCTTCCCGTGGCCAGAAAGTTGTTTACAAAATTGAGAGAATAAAAGTTCAATGTCCGGTGGAGGCTTAAACTGAGTTAGTGGGTAGGGAACATCTACTAAGGGATGTGGGAAAACCCTCATTCCAAACCAATGGTGCACATGGGCTCCATTGTCCTAAGGAAACGAACGACATATGAACGTATTGTTGGTCACCTACTACTATGGGATTGCATCTCCTCACGTTGCTCCACTACCTTATACATTCGCCTTTTGAGTCAAAGGCTAGAGGAGTAACCTCCTAAGGAAATCACCTACTTTGGTTTTAGCATTCAGGAAGCATTTCATCCCTCACGCACACCGGATGATGAAGTGTGGGCATATTTATTTGGTGCTTCCTTATACCAATGTTTGTGTGTTTAAATAATAATAGTAATTGTCATAAAATTTCAAATCTTAAACCTGATTGAATCGTTAGTTAAATATACTTTTATCCTATTTAGTGTTTTTGTTAGACAGTTTTCGCTGTCTTCTTAAGCGATGTCATAATACATAATATTCGCTGCATTTATGTCTTAAATAGTCTCTTAAAATATCACCTCACTTAATAAAATAAAAATTATGTTCGAAAAGTATTATCCGTACCAAGAGTACATAGGAAATTGCTGGGTTTAGCTGGTAGCACACAAATAATGACACTTTGGGTGAAGATCAGACCAGTATGTGTTGACTGGATTGATAAATGGACGTAAAATTGGTTTCTGAATGGATTATCTGAGAGCAACACAATCTCCTTGAGAACTTTACACCCTGGGTAATGGACCAATTCAATATTTTACGTGTCTCAATGGTTTCCTCTTAACATATATCCGTTTATAATGAAGACAATCCGCTTCACATTTATGCGTTTTACTTAGCTTATTTTCACAATTCAATCTCAATTCTTATGTGATATATAATACTATACTTTATTTATTCATTTCGTTTCAGTAAATCAATCATCGTTGTGTCCTCAATACATTTCACAGATCAATAATTATACATATGGAGTCTCCAGTTCATATCATCAACATATCTATTCAAAGCCACCGCATTCATCATCATCACCATTACTCAGGAATAAACGTTTAAGTGATTCACATTCACCACCGCATATAATTCCAGATTTACCAAGTTTATTAAGATTTTTTGATCGTACTGGTCTACAAGTACTTTGTCGTGCTGCTGGTAATCCTACTCCACAAATTCGTTGGTTCTCTTTACCAACTAATGGTCGACCGACAACAGCTAGTGTAGATCGTCTATTCACTAATGGTGGGAGTAGTAGTAGTAGTTCAGGAATTATCGGTTCAACTGTTAGTCCTTCTATATCATCATCGTCTGGTTATGCTGTTAATTATCAAACTATCGAATTTCAAAATGATGAAAATTATATTAGTGAACTTGGATATAGTAGTCGTGTCAGGTAGATTTCACTTTGGGTTTATGTTTAATTGAAATGTTTCTTTACACCTTTCCAATATGATCAGAAAAAGAGAGGAGAATAAGAGTGATACAATTTCATGTATATTTGCCTTAGAGTCAAACTTTTTGTGTGCATATGTAATTAGGGGATATTGACACTACTTAGCCGCTCAGACCGAAGTAGATAGGGGTTTAAGATAGAACCTGTTGACAACTGATTTATTGTTGATCTGTTACTTATAAAGATATTTAGACATCGATCATTAGGTCACTGGTACAAATCTTTCCCCTTTTACTTCTGTTTGGTTTGATAATGAATAATGGTATCATTGGTTATTAAATCTTGTTTACTCGACTTAGTTACTTACATTGTTTAGTATTCCTCGGACAATTCACTCCACTCAACTGGTCTCGAATCAGAAAACGGCTTGAACTGGGACAATTGTGTTCCAAAACAAAACCGCAAGTTAACTAAATTGATGCTATAGTAAGAAAAAGTATTAGTATATTTATAATGTTTACATAAAAACATTCTAAAGTCTTCTCTATTTATCTGTTATCACTGATTGCCTAAAAATGGTCGAATCAGTGTGCAACAACGTAATTCTGTATGAAACATTCTTTAATTTAATGTATGTCCTGCTAACACTAGTCCTCTCTTAACTTCATACACAGGAAGCGTTGCTCGAAGCCAATTACCATGTTGCATTATTTCAATCATGACTTATTATCACGTTTGTTTGTGGGTGTTGGTGTGCTACTGGGCCGTCTAAATTGGATCAGATGACTCTCTTAGGAGAGCACCTCATGGGATATTGATGTGAAGTTCTAATCCACAAGGAAGAAACGTCAAGCGATTTTATTTCCGTGGTAACTGGTGATCAAAATAATGTCGTACTTTATTTATCTTGTCAGAATCCTGAACTTTATGTATATGTATCATTGGTTAGGAATCAAACTTTTCCAACTATCTTCGGTGGACCTTACGTACCCACCAACCTAAGTTTAGCTCTAAATGTTCAGTTTCCATCCTCACTTTCACAAAGATACTCGTTCATACGAAATTAATAAGTAGAACTTCCCTAACAGTGGTTATAAACCCGTGACTGTGTGTGAGGATTTCGAGAGGATTAGTACTTTCCTCATCCACCAAGAACTCCTTGCAAAAAGATAGCGTGTGGCTGTCCTCAAGCAGTTATCCTTTGAGTTCTGGAGTCACGCTCCTAAATTGGCGAGACCACACACTAACTGAATACCGTTCTCAAGTTCCTCAAGAAGAGGTATCCTTCTATGTGGGTAACCAGTAAGTTGCAATCGCCTTAATACTTATAACACCACTCAAATTCACCTTGTTCACGGTTCGATCCCTTCGTAGATTAGCTTAAAGATGGCAAACACTTCTCAAAGTTATTTGAACTGTCGCTCAAGTTCACTCCTCCTGTACTGTATCTTCGTCTTATACTGTGTTTGTTTGTTCTTTATATTTTGTTTAGAGAAACACCTCAAGCAGATCATCATCAGGAATTCTCATCCTCATCCACGGAAAATCTCTTACCATCATCATCGTCACCTAGTCAACAACAACTCAATACAAATACTGTCACAAGTAACAGTGGTGGTAGCAGTGCTACTGGTACTATCACCAGTACAAATAATGTCATGAACGATATAAAATCGAATTCTAATAATCAGATACTTGTTGGTAATGGTTGGCTCAATTTCACTGCAACACGTTCATCAACAATGAGGATGGTATTTTTTTGTCAAGCTGAAAATTATCTTGGCCAAGCTAGATCACGTAAAATGGTGATTCATCAAGGTAATATTTATTGATTTCATAAATTCTTTTCATCTTTTTCTGATGTTTGTAGCTTTCTTTAAAAAAAAAAACAAACTCACTTCATAATTTTGATTACATAAGTTTTAGAGATTTTGAAGTTTGTATCGTGGACTGACGTCTTCTAAGGGGTGAGGATGCTATTGAAAACCACAAAGCGTTAGATATCATTATTATCAATGATGACTGTCTGACTTCTTTCATGAATGAACTATATTGATTGCAACTTTCACTGTAGTCTTAAGTGCATGTACATCGTTTTTGTTGTCTACTGGATACTTGTGAATCGTAGTTTTCAAGATTTAATAGTCAGTGGAACATTTTGAGTAGCATGCTACAAAGTTTACTGGTATATCTGAATGCAGTTGGAGTTATGACATCGTCATCGGATATTAAATCTTTGGTTATTATTCTCATTTTATTTAATAAAAATGTATTTCAGTTCGGTGTTGCTCCATCGAGTCATCACAATATGCAACTCTAACTACCACTTTAGGGTAGCAGGTAGTAGTAGTATCCGATTTCTTCAGTACTGATTGGATCCCATCGATCTAATCAACATAGTATCCACTGTGCTGCGATGTTAAGTGGTTGGAAGTAGTTAGCAACTAACCCTGGATCCCAATTTCATGCTACCTGGCACTCCGTTGCCAATGCTTACGTGCAAACTTAAGAGAAGTGATAATCCATGAAGGATTCTAAGCTGCATCACTCACTTTCATAGTCCGAGGCGTTACCAGTTATCTATTCGGGCTGCCATATGCCTTTACTAGACCTATTGTAGAAATGAGATATTTACATTTAATAATTCTATGAGCCGATTTGCAATATAATCACTAGTCTAAATAACCCTACGTTGCATAGACTCTGTTTTGGATTTAAATTGGTTGAAGGCAGTTGAGAGAAAACCCTGCATGTTATGAGTTCCATGGTAGTTGTCAGTATTTTTATGATGGTTTCCTCTCAATTACTCACTGACGGCCAACATATATCTCAGCACAAATATCCATTAATCGTTATCGCCATACAAGAGTTGAATGACGAGACAAGTAATCAACAAGATAAATGCCTAATGAATCGAAGTAATCGTAGTACCCAATCATAATGAGAAAGACTAAATATTGAGAATATGTTTCGAGAAGACAGAATAAAAAGGTATAATTGAACTCAACATCTTAAGAAATATAAAGCAGTGAATTCCCCCGCATCACTGTTGCCAATTCTGAGCTATAACATTCAACATCAGCTCATGATTGTGTTTATCTCATAATCACTAACTATGTCTATATTTACCAATATGGTTCAGGCCAGAAGTCTATGATTTCATGAATTGATATCACGTGTCTGAGTTTGGTTGTCCATATTTTTCTTCTTACTGCTCTCATTATTTTATAAATGTTGTCTTTCCGATTGTAGCTGTTACCTCCACATAGTGGTCATCCTTCTTTCATTATCACATTTATCCAGTTGAACTAAATCAACTGGAGCACTTGTTTCTTTAGATCTTACCATTAAAGGTAGGTCAGTTTGGTATGGTATAACAGCAGTGAACGTAAGGTCCGAGGGCGAAGTTTTATTACCAACTGAACTGAACTGTAACATCAGTAAGGTGTTTTCTTCAAGCAATCGATGTCCGCAACAATGTTGTCTTGCTAGAGTGAAAGGGAGGGAGAGTTAAAAAAGTTCAACTCTAAAAATAAGATATATCACCTCAACCTACAGATATTTCCATCAGCTGGTAATAAAGCCTTGATCTGACGGAGCTAACTTATGAAGGTCTACTGTCTAAAAGACCGTATATGAAGAGCTTCAAGCAGTTGTCTCTCGGGCATATAGCTGTTACGCTCTCAAGTGTTAATGAGACCACATCATATCCGAATTTCCTTTTAGGCACCACACGAAGAAATATTTTTCTGTATTGTGTTCAGTCGGGAAGCAGTTATCCGCCTCATATCTCTGGCGCCATATCAGATCTCGTTCATCATCACTGACTTAAATATTCTTTTATGTAAAATGATTTAAACAAAACGGATAATAAGATATTTAGTTGTTATTGTCATTTCTTCATTTATTTTTTTTTTAAAAAATAAATTCATTTCCAGTTCCTATGCCAGATGAAAATTTGAAAATAATCTACAACACATTCCCAATTAAACCAAGACAAAAAGCTGTTATTAGTTGTCAACCTGAACAGGGTATATTCAATCGATTTTTAAAAGTGAAATATTGGGAAGTTTATTTAAATAAAACATTAATTTCAACAGTAGATCATTCATGTAAGTTAATTTATTTTGATTAAAGTTGTTGTTGTTGCGGTTGTCGTGTTGTTTCTTTATAAATTTCAATTTGCTATTTTAGAATGTTTGAAAATCCCTTTGTATAAGTTAATTTTCTAAAGGATGAGCTAATCAGCAAACTCCAGGTTCGAGTCCCATCACACTTTGATTTGGACATTCCGGTATAAATAAAGTATTAATCACAAATATCATCTGAAAAAACTTTGTTCAAACACTTTCATATTCATTTATTTATTTAAACACACAAACATTGGTATAAGGAAGCACCAAATAAATATGCCCAAACTACATCATCTGGTGTGTGTGAGGGATGAAATACTTCCTGGACGCCCAAACCGAAGTAGATGGTTTTCTTATTGGGTCACTCCTCTAGCCTTTGACTCAGAAGGCGAATGTATAAGGCCATAGATCAGCTTTAGGAGATGCAGTCCCATAGTAGTAGGTGACCAACAATACGTTCATATGTCGTTCGTTTCCTTAGGACAATGGAGCCCATGTGCAACATTGGTTTGGAATGAGGGTTTTCCCACATCCCTTAGTAGATGTTCCCTACCCACTAACTCAGTTTAAGCCTCCACCGGACATTGAACTTTTATTCTCTCAATTTTGTAAACAACTGTCTGGCCACGGGAAGGCAGTGAGTAGTGCTTTCGTGACAGTGGCTGTATATGAGTGGTAATATGAAAGCATTTGGAGAGGGAAAATGGACTCTCCCCACTCTTAGTCTTACCAGAATAACGTGCTTGAAATCAATAGTGGAAATGCAGTTTTGGTTGTCTGTCATATTTTTCAGTGTTCAACTTTTAATCCTGTTTTAGGTGACCAAGTACTGCTCATTAGAAAGTAATTTTCGCCAAAGACATAACTTATAATCTCAATAAAAGTGTTTTTTTGTCATCACCGAGTTGGATTACCAGTTCGATAAACGTCTTCCCGCCATACATAACACGTAAATCACTGAGTTTTCATTTCAATATATTTTGTTTTTAGTCGACTCTCAAAGAAATCACTTTATTAGTTATTCACTTAATACTAAGTGAGCTTTTGGCATACAAATCTTGAAATAGAGAACGATTTCCATACATCACTCTTCCTATATCGTTATCCTTTTATAAACCTATCTGGTTAATATTTCAGTGAGTTTGTATGTGAAGATGTTAGGATCAGAAGACCATTTTCAGTCTTTTTCAAGATTAGTCCAATCGTGTATTACTTACTTACTTACGCCTGTTACTCCCAACGGAGCATAGGCCGCCGACCAGCATTCTCCATTTCACTTTGTCCTGCGCATTCCTTTCCAGTTCTGTCAAATTTCTGTTCATTTTCCTCATCTTTCTCCGTTTCTCGCCGTAATGTTTTCTTTGGTCTTCCTCTTTTCCTTTGATCATGAGGATTCCATGTGAGGGCTTGCCTTGTGATGCAGTTGGGTGCTTTCCAATCGTGTATAGCTACACTGAATTCCCATTATATCATTGATCTTTAAGTATAGCCATGTTTTATAGGCATATTAATTTACGAGGGTTTATTAGTAAAGTGCGATGATTGTACAAATGAAATCCATTCATGATACGAATCTTAATGTCAACAATCTCCAACTACTAACTTCATGAGGATGGTAATTCCTGAAGTTTTAGTCGAAAAACTTTGGCCAATGGAGTTGATTCATATTAGACGTAAGATAAATGTCACAATTGACAATGGATAGTGGTTTCTCAATATTACAAATTGATTGGAGTTAAAAATGAGAACCATTGGGACGTCAACCCAGTTATGTAATGTTTAGGTGTTTTCTATGAGGCTTGCAGGTTGTGGGTCTGCATTACTCAGGAGTTCCATACTGGGATGAAACTATTGTCCAGTCCCTGATTTCTATACACGACAAATATCACCTGATAATGGGATGAATTTCCACTAAACCTCTACACTAAGGCAACAATAGTAATTATAAACTGAATTCGGCAAATTTAATTTATGCAAATTCATAATGGAAGGGTAGATTATTCAGACTAGGTCATCTTATAATTAATCAGAATATTGATTTATCGGGCCTGAGTTTAGACCGTCCTTTACTGCTGTAATATAATCACTAGCGTAAACATAAATTCCTCAAAAGTTTGATTAGAAACTATAATCATTGATTTTAGCTCATCATCATCGTCAGCTAAAATGTAACAATGGTGTGTCATAATTACATATTTTTATAAGACCAAATAGCTAGACATATAGTAAACTCGAATTTTCAATGCCTATACAATTGATGTCAATTCCTGAAATCACTTTATCTAATGAAGAGAACTAACAACAGCTTGAGTATTACAAGTAACACTTGTAAACTGTTTCTCCTTAACCTATAACTCCTCATCAATACTCATGCTATAGCACTCTACCAGGAGTCGAGATATTCAACCTTCACTTTTAAATTATTGAATCAATCAATATTTAATGTTTTTGATTGAAATCATGAGTCAGTTGAAGCTAGACCACCATGGAAAACCTGGAAGCACTGGACGGCCGTTTCGTCCTAGTGTGGGACTCCTCAGCAGTGCGCATCCATGATCCCGCACCTCGCGAGATTCGAACCCAGGACCTATCAGTCTCGCGCCAGGCGTTTAACCGACTAGACTACTGAGCCGGCATCCAATGGTGTTAATGTCTAATTTCAATCAATCCACGAAATTGCACGACCATCTTCCATTGTACTGAGGTAGATACCTGTTTCTACTCGACACGGATTAGCTCCACTAGTCACGGCTTCTCACCAGAACTCCGAGGATTTTCTCACGAAGCTAGTCACTAGTGAGCACATGGTAATTATCAGTTTAGGTGTTGTGGATCATAATATACGGTCCCAATCACATTATTATTATTATTATTATCCAACTAACAATATCATAAAACATTCTTCCTAGTGAGATGGTGGAGAAGGTTTGTAGCTCAGATGGATGATTTTGATGGAGTTTTGTTCTCTGAGCTGGATAGTTTGGTTGTGGAGCGTTCAGAAGAACGATGAAAGCTCCACAACCAAACCATCCAGCTCAGAGAATAAAACTCCATCCAAAAACATTCTTCCTAGTTTGTTTTTTTCATTCATTTATGCACTTGAAATAAATTATAAACAATGTTGTTGGACCAGATTGCCAGGCGAAACGTTGGATTTACTTAAAAATTCATTCGCTGAGATTTTACAAATATATTCTTCTTTTTAATGTTGTTGTTTGTTTGTTATTCATAATGTTTTTATTCTTCAATCATCTGTCCATTTGGCATTTGGCCATCGATCGATATTAATTGTAATTATTTATTCCTTTTATTCTCACGTGAATTTTTTCTTTTCACTCCAAATATTTCATTTTGTATACAATTCGTTTGTGCATATATGATATATATACATATGTGTACGTGCGTGTATGTGTGCGCGTAGATATACATACTACCCATATATGCATACGATACCATGGCTACTATTTATACTCGACTATGTGAAATTACGCCTACGCATTATGGTTAAATTGTATCTTTAAATTGATTGGATAATTTATGATTTGTTTTGTTTGTCCTTCAATCAACCAATCAAATACATTCGAATTTTCTATGAATAAGTAAACAAATTATTTATTGAACGAATTCGAGATAAATTGTCATCACATCTGTAGGATGTTGTGTGGAGATCGTTGAGATCGTGAATCGACCCATGTTAAATCATCATTGAAAACTTGAAAGCACAGGATGATCGTTTCGTCATAGTATGAATTTCCTCAGCAGTGTGTACATCCACGATCCCATACATACGGGACTCAAACCCAGGACGTTCTGTCTCGCGTGCGAACTCTTAACCTTTAGACCACTGAACTGGAATCTAGTAGTGTTAATGTCTAAATTCAATCAGTCCATAGTATTGCACAACCCTTCATCTGCGGTGGATAACTGTCTCACATCCGTTCAGTGCTTCCAGGTTTTCAATGATGGTCTTGCTTAGATTGACCCGTAGTTTCAACGTTGAACAAAAATTATTTTGTTTTAAACTTGACATTGCTCAATCAAATGTTTCAGTACGATTTTGGTCATTTTTTCGCAGCTACAAAGTAGTCAGAGTTTAGTCACTTTTCCTTTATTCAATGTATCCTCAATTCACCTAAATGGACAGATATACATTGAGTTGCGAAACATATAGAATAATAACAATAACCAAAGTAAATTCCCTCAGGATTTCTTTTAATGATAAATTCCAACCAATCAACAAGCAAATCAAATCCTAAGACTCTATTCATTCCATCCAACTATGTGGCATATTCTATAGATCAGTCAGTTATTCGTCATCATTAACATAAAGTTTGACTGTGATAAACAGTGGCTCAATTTACCATACAATGAGATGAAAACAACCGAATGAACAACAAGAGAAAATGAAGTAATTTAGCGACCTTGTTTACAAAAAAAGCTACACATTGCAAATATTGTTCGAAAAGACGTATGTATGAAGAAATACTGAAACTGAAGATTTAAAGAAAGATAAAGAGTGAATGTACCTGCAGCGTTGTAAACGATTCTAAACCATGCCACCTAAAGTGTTTCGTCCACTGATCATGATGATCACGCGAACACTAACCAGATTTTATCTATCAACATGGCGAATTCAAACTGTTCTTAGCTCGTTTTATTTCCAAAAAAAGAGTTTCATCGCAATCAGGACTCAGTAGCTGAGTGAATAACGCGATGACGTTTGAAGCGAATGGCACTAGGTTCGAGTCCCAGAGTGAACATCAACTCTGAGATGCAGGCAGATCCAGCTGACGAGTCCCAAATAGGACGAAACGCGCGTCATGGATTCCGCTGCTAGCCACTATCCATCATATTTAAATACTATTGCTTAAATAACTCATATTTTCACCGACTTCATTTTCAAATCAATTAATATTGAATGACATCGTATATTTTTTTATGGCATTATGTCCAATCCTAAACATATATTGTTGAGAATTTTTGTGTGGTCTTTGCACTTAAACTAAGATTTGTGTTAGATGATTGTGTGCAATCGATAGGAGGTAGTGGTTCCACTTTTTGGACTTGTTGGGATTCGTCAGCAAATTACGGTGTCTAAAAAATTGACTAAATTAATGGTACTCTCCATAAAATTAGGACCGATGTCTGTCAGCATCACAGTCACTGGTTGAGTCAGTTCGACTAGTGGCTACTGTAAAAGCTGTCTGATAGGTTTTGATCAGCATGTAAAAGTATACAAACATGATACTAGTCATTCATTACTCAGTAGTCATTTAGTTTGGAGACCAATCTAACGTAGAATGATTGTGAGTGAGTGTTAGCGACATGATTTATACGGTCGTATAATTGGTGAAACTAAGAATATTATCATTTCTATCGATTTTAGAGTGTGACCATAATTTTCATAAGCTAAATGGTTTCGTGGTGGTTTTATGTTGTATGTTCTGGTTTGACTTTCACTAAAATTTTCTCGGACACACTCAGATACACTATCTTTTGCGTTTATTTGTCTCCACTCTGTTTGACTTAGTACGGTTAGCTTGTAAGGAACTTATTTATTTGGTTTTGAACCATACTACTTATGTATAATAAGGACCAGAGATACTTTAATCAGTTTCCCAGAATTGAAGTTGATGGAGAGTGAGGAGTTTGAACTTTTAACCTAGTAGTTGAAGGTTGAATCGTTGTAATTATCGTACACTGATAGGATTAGCCTGATCCAAAATCCATTTCCACTTACTTCAGTCTAGCTAACTGAATAGGATCGATTTGGCCTCTTATATTCCTAAGGTGATCACAAGATCGCTCAAATTTTTTGAACAATTCGACCTTTTTTCTGGTTGGTTGGGATTACTTGTGGTTTGCTAGATTTAAGAATGCTTGAAGGTGATGTTTTTGGTTATCATATGTACAGATGTGTACTAATTCGTTTTTTTCTACCTGTTCTATCTAGAATATTTAGTTTTCAATCGTTCACCTTCTCCTTGTGTTAGCGGTCAAATTTTGAAGTGTTGTGTGTCATCCCCGTTACCCATATATGCAATAGACTCAATCGTATTAGAATCTCTCATGTTGTATAACAAACATCAACACATACATAAACCTGTGTCTAGTTAACGCAGTACTCAAACGAATATTGTCATTCACTGATAACTATTTTTGGATAGTCCCAGTTATCTCTTTTGGACTTTTTTTAGAATTTCTTTTTTCATATTTTTCAGTGTTTCAGTTTGTTGTTATCTATGGATCATATTTAATGTCCTTCTTTTTCTCCAGATGGCCGTTTCAGCATGATCAATGTAACTAAACATCCAGAATTACATATTCGATCAATTACGGAAGCTGAACTCACGTCCATGGAAGTTCGATGTGTTCTTCAATCGATTGTTGATGAATCAGTCACTGTTGAACGTCCGGAACGTGGTCGGTTACAACGATTACAATTTCGTTTTTCATATGCTGAACTTCGAAGTGTCGGTAGTGAGATAAACATTTTAAGAGTGAGTCACACTTTGATATAGTTGATATTTGGTTAAGGGGTTTGTGAAAATGATTTAAAAGTCTTTTAATAGTCGTTAATTGATAGCGGCTGGATAAAAATTTCGATTTCAATTGATAAGACCCAGGACGTTTTGATTATACAGCAAATTCATCGACTTGAAATCATTCAGTATTTTCATTCAGCATTATAATATAATGTAATATCATCTAATAATCCTGTTTTGCTAATCCCTTGATTAGAATGAGGGTTTGTAGAATTTCTATTAATTTTTAATGGTTGAATTCATGAGTCGATCTAAGCTAGGCCACAATTAAAAACCTTGAACGCCGTTTCGTCCTAGCGTGAGACGCTTCAAGAATGCACATCCACGATCCTACATGGGGGACTCGAGCCCAGCACCTCTAGTCTCGCGTGCGAACTCTTAACCTCTAGACAACTGAGCCGGCATCCAACGGTGTTGAAGTCGGATCGATTGGAGCTAGCCATTATCACCGTTGGATGCTGGATCAGTGGTCTAGAGGTTATATGCTCGCGTTGGAGGCCGAGGGTCCTGTGTTCGACTTCCCTCGGTGCGGGATCATGGATGTGAATTGCTGGAGGGTCCCATACCAGGATGAGAGGACCGTTTATTGCTGTCAGGTTTTCAACGGTAGTCTAGCTTGGATCGACTTGTGAATTCAACTGTGAATATATATTGGCGCAGAGCTATGCTGGAAGACTAATTGGAAAGAAATTCCTGTTTATTTATTTATTATTTTTTTTGATAAATCTTTAATTTGAAGGGTTAATAGTTTCTTTATCGTAAATGGCAAGATTTTATAATTTTTCTTTTTTACCTCTTCACATTTTAATTATTTTTCAGGGCTCTACAATTGAATTACCTTGGGCTGTCGAAGGCGAAGGTCGTACACAAGTGGATTGGTATTACTTGAACGAAGCTAGTCGTGTCAGACAAGCTATCGCTTTGGATTCGTCAACCACCACAACCACTACGAGTAGTGGTAGTGGTAGCAGCAGTAATTCCGGTTCGTCCATAACGACAACTACATCAAATTCTTCTGGAAGTGGCAGTAATCGACGACACACTAGTGAATTACCATGGGGTACTAAATACGAATTAGTAGACGGTGCTTACGGCAATTTACGACTGATCAATTTATCAGTGACTGATTCTGGACATTATATTGCCGAATCAGTTCATTTAGGACGTTCACTGCGAATAAAATATACGATACGAGTTAGAGGTAGGTAATATATATGCGAACAGTTAAACGATTTCTCATAATTGTGTTTCGATATCTCACCTGCATTACTTTTGAGTCTGATTGTCTAACATTATAGGTAACTATAAAACCTACTTGTAGAGGGGTAGGCTCCATATGATCAACGATTATCTTATTTATTAATCAACTTTGAAAGTAATTCTAATATTGTGATGGACAAACGATTTTATAACTGTGTTTATTGGGTTGTCGAGAGCTTGTTTAGTTTGTAGCCGAGTAGTGAGTGCTCACAAGACGGAATTATGAAATTCCATACGCTCCTACCCTGCTGAATGAACGTGTGATTGAGGAGACAGAATAATTCATATACAAGAATCAGTTGTCTCATATAGGTGAAAAAATTACACGGTTACACGCAAAAATGTTTCTGTGTAGGACTCGTTGGCTGGATGTATCTCCATCTGAGTCTTGAAGTTTATATTAAGACTCAAATCCTGTCTCTTTTGCTTCCATCTTGTTGTGTCTCACTATTTGGTTCAGTTTAGCCTACGGTAATTGTTATTGCGAACAATCAAGATAATCGTAATACGAACTCAAAAACTGGTAACTCTTGCGAACAACTCTTCAATAATAATCCCCGATTATGGAACCTAAAAAGAGGGGAGAAGTTGGGAAGCAGACTTGAAATTGAACAAAGTTGAAGACGAATTGAAATGGAACAACTTTACATATGATAATCAGGCATGATCTGGAGGCACAGAAAACTTAACAGTCCAAGAGTAGTAACAACCAAATCATCAAGCAACTGAGGTTATGGGGAAATAAGAATTAAAAATTGTGAGTGCGTGTATCGTCACAAGAAAGGTCTAACGTTTATTCACTAAATTATATAACCTGGTATTCTGTTAGCAAAACGTTCATGCATTATGCACTGGGCTACTGTGTACAAACAATCCATTAACGTGTTCGACGATTAGTAGGTTTGAGTTCCAGTATGAACATCGACATTAAGACTCAGGAGCATTCATTTAATGAGTCCCAGATAGGACTCCTGTATTTCATTGGTATCTGCAATCAATCTATTCTATAAAAAACTTATGTTAAAACGATTGTTTTTAGGGAGTCCGCACACAGTGCACCACTAAAGATTAATCAAAATTCAATGTTGAATAGCATTAACCTTTACTAAGAATGATGATCGAGAATATCTATAGCTCAACATGAACATTTTGAGGGTGTTTTGTTCTATGAATCGTATGGTTTAATCGTGAATCTTTCATTGTCTTTCTTGATAACACCATCAACACATACTTCAATAAGAAGTGAGTTGTTAGAATTGTACCACCATTGATTCAGAATTCAGTTTGTTATTGGCCATAGGTGTATGTTTGTTTGGGTTGCTTTCATCTCTGATCTAATCTCTGACTTTGAAGTTGTTTATTCCTTTCCTTATTGCTTAATAGATCGTGTCCTTTTTCAACGTATTAATTTCATATTAAATAGAAAATAGTTTCAATGAATAATCCCATTGATTTCTCATCTCTTATTTATTTCTAATAGCACCTCTTGGTGTAAAAATCACACCAAATCGTCGAACTGTTGATTGGGGTAGTCGTGTTGAATTAACATGTGAAGTAACTGGACATCCACGTCAGTTAATTTATTGGTTACATAATTCACGTTTAGTTCCAAGACGTCATCATGTACGTCATATTCCAACACCATTTACATCATCAACAGGGGTTAATTATAATAATAGTCCATTGAATTCAATATCTGAAAGATTAATTATTGAAGCATTTAATTTAGATGATATTGGTGTATATCAATGTATTGTTGAAAATGGTCATCCAACTGATCGATTTAGTTTAAGTATGAATGGACGTCAATCATCTGATGATTCTATATTTTCATATTATGCTAATACTATGCCTTTATCTACAATGATTAATTCACAAAATAATACACATACTACTACTAGTAATAATAGTAGTAATAACAGTCCTATATCAATCAAACAAAATCCTGGTCAATTATCTGAAAATGATCTAACAAGTCAAACAAATTCATTTTCTAGTCTTGAAAGTGTTGGTGATCTAATTGATAATGCACAAGCGACAGCTTTATTAATGATGGGTAAAATGCGTCCATCATTAACATGGCAAAATCCAGCTGTTGAATTAGGTTCATTTGCTTCACAAGTATTATTATCATTACATATGGGTACTACAGATGCATTATTAGAGTGTAGATTTGCTGCTAATCCACCACCACAAATTATATGGTATCGTGATGATAAACCAATAATATTTGATGATTCAAATGTTCTCTCTGGTCAAGTAATGTTAGATGAAGGAACAGCTTGTACAACAATTACACGACTTACAATTAATATTCGCAAAGTAAGTGATATATAATACATTGATTTTCTTATTATTCTACATATTTTTCGATTGAGATGATGAACCGATTGATGTTAGACCACCACAATTGAAAACCTGGAAGCACTGGACGGCCGTTTCGTCCTATTGTGGGACTCCTCAGCAGTGCGCATCCACGATCCCGCATGCGAGGTTCGAACCCAGGGCCTTCGGTGTCGCGCGCGAATGCTTAACCAACTGGACCACTGAGCCGGCATCCAATGGTGATAGTGTCTAACATCAACCAATCCACGAAATTGCGCGACCAACTTCCGTTGTACTGAGGTAGATACTTGTCTCTACCCGACATGGATTAGCTCCACTAGTCACGGCTTCTCACTAGAACTCCGAGAATTCCCTCACGAAGCTAGTCACTAGTGAGCACATGTTGATTACTAGTATAGGGGTTGTGCTCTAACATCAATCGGTTTATGATCTCAATCGAAAACTTAATAATCTCCACAACCCCTATACTAGTATTCTACATATCTTGAACCACAGTGAGCGATGTCGACTTGTATGTAGATGGTAGAGAGGCGGCTAAATTAAGATATGACATCATTTTATGAAGTTATTGATTGTTAAACTGAACCATGTTGATTATGGTCTACATGATTATTGTGATTAATGGTTGAAAATGTTGTTTGACATGAATCCGAATCGCTTTTACTGATATATTTACTCTTTATTTTATTTTAGATCCTGAGTTTCAGATTTCTAGCCTAATTTTTTATTCTACTGTCGATATCATTACTATTTTGAACACTATGACATTTCGTCATGCTGGTATGGTGTTATAACTTAAAGCAATACATATATATATATATATATATATATATATATATATATACCAGGGTTGATGTTGTTTAGAACTGAATAAATTACCATTCTTGACTTTCTGTTCTTTGATGTCAGTAGTTGTTTTGTCTCTTTTACTTCTCATCTTATTCATTTCTTCTCAAACTCTCCTTGTGCTGATTTGAGTTGTGACAAGATGTCCTACCTATTTTACAAGACCTTGTGACATATTGGCTATATCGAGGCATTCTTGACAGGATACACGTATACCAACTAAAACTGGTTTAATTTCAGTCGAAAATATCAATAATGCAATAATCTGAGACTATTAAACATTGCATTAAAGTTCATACTCGTTACACAAGTGAACTGTTATATGGACTCAATCGCTAAGCGGATATTACGTTAGGCATTTTATATGAAAGGTACTGAGTTTGAAGCCCAGAGTGAACATCGATTCTGAAATGCAAATCCGTCCGTCTGATGAGTTCAAATTAGTACAGAACGCACTTCTTCGACTTTAATTTTAGTAACGTTTCAACTATTCTATAAAACGATGATGATGATGATCGTTTATTTACTTTGCTTGAAATGGCTCTCAATGTGAACTTCTATGACACTTTGTGTCAACGGTCGTGTTGATTCAAGAGTATTATTCACCATGAAAATATGTGACTAAACTCAGGTTCATGTATGCGGTTTCGAGATACATCTAAAGGTTACTTCTATCAATACTGCATGATGCATCTTTTACTCGGATGATTAGACATTAACTTCTAGACTGCTCCCCAGCTTCTATGAATATTCTACTCTTGAACACGGGACAGAAATACCTTCACGTAGAAAGTTGAGAGTAAAAGTGTTTTTTAGGATAACATATGATCTTGAGGTCCTAAGGTTTGGTTATTATACAATTGAGATAGTAAAATCATAATTTATGTGGAAGTTTCTAAAAAACGCTGATTGGTCGAAGCATTTTCAGCATTTTACTGTGTAATAAAGAATTTTTCGTGAGATTATCAAAGGTTTGGAAAACCACACAAATCTAAGTGAGATCGAGTTAGAACGTTTGACCCTGATGGTCGTGAATGCCTTGTGCTTTAAGCATCAATCCACCACCAACATTGTCGATTGAAAAAAAGTTGATAAGTTTGTTTCCTGTTTACTATTGCAGGTCGATTGAAACTGACTTAAATTTGTAGATATATAAATGGCAGTCAAGTAAGTGGACAATAATACTTTATTTTATGAGAGGATGCTCTAACACAACATTTTATACGTCCTACTTACCCCTCATGAAGAATAGGCTGCCAACCAGAATTTTCCATCCCATTCTGTCCTGGGTTCTCTTTTCCAGTTTTCTCCAGTTGCTGTTCATTCTTTAGATATCCCGTCTCCGATTCCCGGTTTTATGTATTCTTTGATCTTCCTCTTTTCTTTTTGCCTTGAGTATTCCAAGTTAGTGCTTGCTTTGTGACTCAGTTCGATTATTTGTGTCCTATCTACTTCCAGCGTCTTTTCCTAATCTTTCCAACTGAAAGGCGGTATGTTCTCTGCCATGGTAGATTTTTGCTAACGGTATCCGGCCAGCGAATGTAGATTATCTCTCGTACGTGGCTCCGTATTATATAAACCTTTAATTTGACATAGACACGAACAGGTTACTTATTACACTAAGCTCGACTGTCGTAATTTAAAATTGTCAACTGGAAATTTTGAATCAGAGCTAACAGTTGATGAGGATTAGGCGAGACATAAATGGTGCCGAAATTGTTTGTGTGCGCTGAGAATTTGACATTCGCATCATGCGTCATAGACGGTTATGTAAGAATAATATTAACTTAGTGTTCACGTAACTTGCCAGAATATCATTTTCATAGACTTAATATCACTAGCTAAACTTAATTAGTCCACCCTTGAAGCACCGAATGGCTGTTTCGTCCCGGTATGTGGCTCCCCAGAAGTGGCCAATAATGACCGGCTTCTAGATATAATTCCTGGAGTTCTAGTGAGAAACAGTGACTGGTATTGTTAAACCACGTTGTGCGTGACAGTTATTTAGTTCAGGTAATAGATGGTTGCGCAATACTCTGTATTGATTGAAGTTAGACATTAACATCGTCGGATGCCGGTTCACTGGTCTAGATGAGTTAAACGTTCGCGAGTGAAACCGATAATCCTATATCCAATTATCATTAACATTATCAAAGTAAATGTTTAGTTCATACTAACTTCCATACTGACATGTTTCCGATTGTTTTCTTCATTCTTGTTGTTTAGTTGCAAAATTTAGATGATATGTGGACATTTGGTGGTGAATATCGGGCAGTAGCTGAAAATTCTTATGGTCAAGCAGATTGTCGAACTTATGTGTTGATGGATACACCGCTTCGTCTACGTCCAATGGATATTGGAAAACCGGCTATAGCTGGTCGAGCCTATACATTAAAATGTTATTTTATCGGTAGTGGAATTCCTACAGTACGTTCTATATATATCTATGATATGTGACGGGTTTATTAGACGTTATCAAACGATAGTTTTCATTAAGAATTGACTGACGTATTATCAGTAATAAAAAAAGGAATTACTGGTGATGAACAGGCAACTGTTTTGTTTCACTGTGAGATGTTTACATGAAGACTTTTGTAAATTTGTACAAATCTTCACAACCATTCATGTTTATCAAGGGTGAAGGAATTGTGAAGATTATTGGATTTCTTGGTTCAATAACACAGAATGATCTTTGTTAGATAAACCTTTGTCAGACAGGAAGTAATGAATAGTTGTTTCTTCTTAATATACGAGACTCTTGAATAGTGGGCGTCAACAACGACCCCGATGTAAAAAGCTACAAACTTCAACAGTTTATACAACTTTCCTTATTGAAAGAAAAGCATCGAATACTTATTAGTTACTTATTTCTGGAGGGTAATTCTTAGTGTTCTAGTGATTAACTGTGTTTAGTGGAATCAAGTCTTATCGGATGTCTGATGGATATCATCGATGACAAAGGATTTTGTTTGAGAAATAACACCACAAATCGAATAAAAATAAGAGCCATCTGATATCAATTCAGATTAAGTGCTCACTGGAAGTTTTGAAGGGTCTTGAGTGTGATTTTCAAAGGAATCCTATACTAGGACGAAATTTCTTAAAAATATTTTTGTATTTATTTTTGCTATATCGTTTCTACTTTACAAATTAGCTTCAATGGCATCGTATAAAAAATGGTCATGATCTACGTCGTATCCCTGTGGATCATCGACATCAACTATTAGAAAATGGACGTGTACTTCGAATAACTGAAGTAAATCAAGAAGAAGATGAAGCTGATTATCGTTGTACAGCTAATTTAGGCGATATGACTGCTAATACAACTGTATCATTGAAAGTTTCACGTAAGTGATCTATTTGCATATATATCTTTGTATTCAGCAATAAACTATATGTCTAATTGAAGAGATTTTTGTAAAGATCAGTGTTTATTTTATAGACTGTATTCATCACACATTGATTTTAGTCAAGGTACCATTGAAACCTGGGAGTAATAAATAGATATTCAGAAGTATCAGGAATCAAATAGTTGTCACTATTGATGTTTATTATCCGTCATACTCTATTTCAAAATAATTGAATTTGAAATTGTACCATTAAACACATCTAGTGGTTCTGTTAGGTAAGTGTTCTCCCTGAAGCCTGATGCTTCTGGATTCGATTTGTTGTGAGATCATGTGTTTATACTAATAAGAAGTCCTATATTAGCCCAAAAGAGATACTCATTGCTTCTTGGCTTTCAGTAGTTTATCAACTGATATCAATTTGTGATGAATACAAACCATAAATTATAACGATTGTTATAATATATAATGTATTATGTGAAGAACATCGATCGGTAAAAGAAATAGGAAATTTAAAATAGACTGAACATCGAGAATAATGGATTATGATCGAGAGTTTATCACCGTCTTATTCGGATCGTGATGACTTCCTATAGGATTGATCACTGAATAGTTACCAATGTCATGTTTGTTTCGTACTTTGTGTTGGTTGGATTCTATCGATTATGTCACGGTATGATAACTAATCGAAGTAAATGAACGTTACATGCGCTGTATTAGAGGTAACTCGTTTAAATTTGTCAGGAGATGGTTAAAAAGTTGCGTAGTTTAATCACTTAATTTCATAATCCCGGCTGATAGAATGGGTTTTAAAATTCTGTTATCGGTCGTCACCTCTGTATGTGTAAAGGTGTAAATATTAAGGTGAATATTTAAAGATTATTTTTATATAAAGAGGCATGTCATCATGGACGTATGTCATTTAGGGAACTATTGAAAATCAAGAAGTATTCAGTAAATATTTCATCCTTGGATTTTAGTTCTAACAAGTTAGTTAGTTACTCTGGTCAGCACTTTCATTTAACTTGACAACAATGCCTACATCCATTCACGACCCTGAAATGTAGAACTCAGAATTGATGAAGATGAAACCTCAAGATATGATGGTAATCCATTGAATTGATAAATAATATTTCGGTGGGAATTTAATTTATGTATGACTTGAGCGTCACTTGGGTGACCTTGAAAAACTTCAACCATTTACCGGAGTTGAAGTCGGATTATGAAATAGTGTGTGGAATTTAGACTCATTGTTGAAGTTAGAAGTTACTGTTAGTAATTAGGGTCAGATTTTGGACCACAAATTGATATCAGCTATAATAGCAAATGTTATTGAAGACTGAGGATAAACTCCACTTTCATCCGTAATTTTTACCTTACGCCTGGTTAACCAGAATAAAGCAGGAACGGAGAGTGTGTTTCATTCTCTGTTGTTTATTCTGGCTTACATGAAAAAAATGTAAAGTTTTCTACGACGAGAATACCACTCCATTATGCTACGAATGTGTCAGTTGTAGCGTAGTCTGTCATGATAGAAAAAGAAATTACAACATAGCAAACGAGATACCTCCGGTTAACTTTAAGATAGAAAGTACTATACAATTGACTGGCTAAATAAACAAAAACATAGCCATTATTACTGACTACAATACACTTGGATGACTTGACAATGTGGAGTTTATTCCCAGCCTTTTCTAGGAATATGGATAAATAAATTTCCCTCAAAAATCCCAGTTATCACTATCTGAAATTTAATTGGTTTGTCCTTGAATTACAGTCCTACCGGTATTTCGATTGTATGTTTTTTTCTGCTTTATAAAATTTCTTTTCCAGACGCTCCTCGTCTATTTGAATTACCACAAACACGACAAGTGAAAGATGGTCATGATATGTTGTCTTATAGTTGTGCATTACAAAATAGAGCTGATAAACCTTGGTATGCATGGTGGGAATTTCAACGTGAAGGTACTAATGCGATTGTTCCGTTACCACCGTTTAAAAAGAATGCATACGATGGTTTCTCGGTCTCGGTAAGTTTTAAACTCATTAAAATCACTGATAGTTTTACGTTTTAGTATATTTATTGTATCTGGCTGGGGGTAAAATACAGAACTCACATTTCGCCTCATCACTGATTCGTCATTTGAGATCCAAGTAGGTATATGTAGTTGACGAGTCCCGAATCAAATGAAAGCCCTGTTGTCGATTCCACTGTTAGCCACAAAATATATAGTGAAACTTGTGACATAACTCTGTATCGGTCCAATCCGCTTAAAATCCACATAGTGACTGACCAATTGGAGTCTTCAGTATCATTAAAAATGAACCCATTTCAGTGATAATCTCATTCTGATTCTATGTCATATCTGAAAATCGATAAATAATGGTATATATATTCCTCCATATATATATATATATTCCTTTCATTATAAGCTTCCATCCGACCTATTGACTAGTATTCTACCATTTACTATTCTTAAGGATATCCAGTTTATTGATTACCGTCTCTCATAATTACAGCCACTTTTTGGCTTGATCTTGTGTAAATATTATTTCTTGTTTTGTAGTGTGATGTTGTCTGTTTAGTTGGTATATAAACTAAATATGTTTGAAATAAATAATTCACATAGTAGAGGCTGTTTTTGGTGTTCTGGACTTAACTGGCAGGGCTAGAAGGAAAAAGAATTAATAAGGACTCTAGACTGTTCATACCGGTCGATACATCATTGGTTTGGCACAATCCTAAGATTGTATAAGTCATATTCCGATTGACGAATAAGTCAAGTGATAATTAGCCGGGTTTAAAGTCACAGCAGTTACATAACTCTAAATATTATTACACACTTTGTTATATTCTATAACCTGTAAATTATCACGTAGTAAGATCGCTAATTAGAACACGACTTGTATATGACTCTGACTCTATGCTAAACCAATGATGCGTTAATTAGTATGAACAGCTTAAAGTCAGCTTTGATTCCTTGTTGGTTACCCTTGCCTTGCTCTGCCTATTCAGTCCAGAACATAATCTCAGCTTCCATTGTATCAATAATCTGTTTCAAATAGTCCATACATAGATCCTAACAGTTACTACTCATTTACTTTTTGTTAGGATATAACATCTATATGACATGAAATCGAGTTTACTTAAGAAAGAGAAGATTAGTTAAGCTTTCAGTTTTTTGTCCAGATTTGAACGGAATTCTGACTAATAGTAGTTGTGTATTGCAATAACTTAGTTATACAAAATACGATTATAAGGTTACTTAAAAGTTAGAAGAACAATGATTCCTAAAAAAACCGTTGTAGTGGACTTTACTCTCAAGAATGTTTGTAAGTAGTATGTAGCGGAATGTTGTGTCAAAGTTGCAACAATTGTCAGACAGTGTGAAGAGTTTCAGTGCATCGAAAGCACAGCGTTTGGAGAGCACTTGGAGGAGGCCAGTCGAGAAGACATTTTGGACTGCAGAATACACCGGAAAAATGAAAATGGATGTTTGAAAGCTATGTATATGTATGATGTAAATACTTTGTAACTTCCCGCAATAAATATATATATCTACTGTCTATTGACATGTTTTATACCTTCAGAGTTTGTGTATTTTCTCTATTCAACTTCGTTACACAACCTTTTTATAGTTTGTTTGCTTGTTTTAGTAATAAGTTTATGATATGGATCAGAATCGTTCTCAAGGACCCAGATACTTGTGTCCGACTATCCCCTTCATACATATCTTTCCATATTGTTTTCTCAAATTATATTTTCGTGGTTTAGTCTTTCTTTTCAACATTTCTAATACCTTATTTCGATGTTTTTTTGTCTACTTTGTCCCGTTAGCCAAGTATGGCAACTTGGGCTGACATTAGGTTCTTTATTGATAATATCTTTGTGTTGTTAAAATAACTTTGTAGATATATCATCCATGACCTACTTCAGCATGACCCTAATCAGAATGAACCTAATTATTCGTTAGCTGTTTGATATTTTCTTTTTCTACAAACATCCATGTTTTTTTTATGAGTTGTTCAATAGTCAACATATGCTTTGACAGTTCTAAGCTTATACATGAAGTCTGTCAAATTTTTTTTCTACGACGATAAATATTTGTTTTCTTTTGTTTTTAGTATGTTGTCTCAGAGAATGAAGTTATACCATGGCGATTACCTGATAGTTTACGTGAACGAGTACCATCATTTGTACATACTGAACCAAATTCCGCTGTTCATGTTAGTGTTAATGAATTACGCAAAGATCAACATCATGGTAATCTGACATGTGTTGTTGTCAATGAAGTTGGAACTGATAGACAATCGATTCGTGTCACATTTATACGTATGTCTTTCTCAAAAAAGTTATAGATATGATTAACGATCTCTTTATTTCATTTATGTTATAATTTATTTATTTATTTAAACACAAACATTGTTACAAGGAAGCACCAAATACATATACTCCACACCTCGTTATTCGATTTGTGTGAAGGCTGAAATACTCTCCGGGCGCCCAAACCAAATCAGGTGGTTTTCTTAGAGGGCCACTACCCGAGCCTTTGATTCAGAGTTCTAACCCACAAGGAAGTGAAGCAACGTTCGGAGATGCAGCCCCATATTATCTGGTGACCAACAATAGGTTCACATACCATTTTTTCCCTCAGGATCCTGTAGCCCATGTGCAACATTGGTCTGGAGTCAGAGTTTTCCAGCTCTCTTTAGTGAATGCTCCGTCCTCATTGACTCAGTTTAAGCCCCCATCGGACATTCTTTTCGTCCCTTCAATGTCGTAAACAACTGTCTGGGCGCGAGAAGGCAGTGGGTAGGACTTCTCTGACAGTGACTGTATACGCGTGGCCATGTGAAAAGGTTCGTAGGGGGAGGGCGGACTCTCTCCACCCTCGGTCGTACCAGAGCAATAATAATAATAGTAATAATAATAAAATTACTTGTGAAAATTCTATGGAAGTTAAAGAAAAAATGGCTCAGAATCATTTTTTAAACAGTTGATCAGCACTTTTAAAGACTATTTGGAACAATCTAGAAACAACAGTATCATAATATTTGTTAACCCTAGAATAAATATTTAAAGATTTTGTATGAGCAATGTTGAGGTTAGACTTTAGAGAAGTAAAAAATAATAGATAATAAATCGGCGAAGTTCGGTGTCTTCATGGATTCAAGGTAGATGGGACTTGTATTACATATACCTTTCAGGCATTATCACTTATCATTCAGTAGTAATTTGTGCAGTTCATGAAATCCTTAACCGAAGATTTGAGCTACATTATTTGTAAATTACCTAGTTGGAATCTATGCAATGATTGTGATTAGTAGCTAGTTCTGTTAACCTCGATCTTGATTTTTCATTGTTGACCTTGAATATATCGTTATCTGCCGCTTTATTTTAATTGCTTCTCCAAAGAATCAGATTGACAACAAAAAACTATCATTCTTAGATTTACTGACTTCCAGAACCAACGCAGGAAAACTGGAGACTCAAGTGTATCGGTAGCCAATCGACATGGATCAAATTCTCAACTACATTAGGAGCAACCTAAGAACCCACAAATTCAATTGCGTGCAAACGTGATTTAAGAGGTTGAGATTATACTCCGGTAACACTTGCAGCGCGGAAAAATGAAGAGAAATATTCAGTGAATATCTTCCAAAAGAATGACTATCCATGCAGCTTCATAAAAAAAAATCAATTGAACTAATCAGCAGAAACGAAACCAAGTATTGAGACCAACAAACAGATCAGCCTACCATGAATAAAAGGCGTAGCAGAAATTAAAACAAAATTATTGAAGCCTTTTGGAGAATAGGTATAGTAACCAAACTAGAAAAATCACTTCAATTAATTTTATGCAAACCAAAGAACGAAAAACCAAACATCTACAAAATAAAACACTATATCGGACAAAGTCGACCCTTTCTTCATCTTCGCCTTCATAAACATCAATTAGCAATCAAACGCCATAACATATATTCGCTTATATCAATACATGTGGACAACTGCGGAGACATACAATTGAGAAAATGTTGAAATATTGGATAAAAGGAATACTAAAAACACTAGGAGTTTTTTAGAAGCTTGACACAGGTCAGTCAGTAATCAACAAACACATCAAAATTGACCCGATTCATCAAGTAATTGGAAAAATCATAGACGAATATAGGATCAAGACGCAGACAATAACAGGTTAAAAGTCAACAATAATCAATCGAAATCGAGGTCCATAGGACAAGCTGTTTCTCATATGTAGAGAAATTCGAATACTTTCCTTCTACCTGAAGTTTGTGCTGATGATGTTGTTCCGAAGAACAATGAATGCTCCACAACTAAACTGTTCAACTCAGAGAACAAAACCACCAAAATCATCTACCTGTGCGACAAATATCCATTGTTATTATTGTTTAGTATAGTTTTTTTATTAATCATATGTAGTTAGCATTTTGTTTTAGTAAGGTTCTTATTAAAGGGATAGAGTGGCTAACCTCAAACCCAACTCCCCCCTTCATCTGTTCTTAGGACCGTCAGTAATCCCAGAAAGGCCCCAGGCAAAGTCAACTAGTCACTTGTAATACTTATAAACTTTATTATTATTATTATTATTATTATTATTATTATTATTATTATTATTATTATTATTATTATTATTTAGCTGAATTGGAATTCGCTATTCGACCGCCTAATAATCAAGATGTAACTCTTGGACAAACAATTTCAATTGATTGTGCGGCTAAACCATCGGATTTACAACCAGTTGTTGAATGGAAATATTTACAGAAAAGTAAGTGAATTGTTTGTAGGTGTTTGTAGGTATGAATTTTCTAAGGAATTTATACAAACAACTTCATATCTATCAGAAAGGGGTTTTATAGATATTATAGTAATTTTTGATGGTTCAATTCATGAATCTACCAAGGCTAGACCACCATGGAAAACCTGGAAGCACTGGAAGGCCGTTTCGTCCTATTATGGGACTCTTCAGCAATGCGCACCCACCATCCCACCCATGGGGTTCGAACCGAGGACTTTCGGTCTCGCAAGCGAGCGCTTAACCTCTAGATCACTGAGTCGGCACTGTTGGATACCGGGTTCAAATCCCGCGAGCGGTATCGTCAGTGCACACTGCTGAGGAGTCCAATACTAGGATGAAGTGGCCGTCTAGTGCTTCCAGGTTTTCCATGGTGGTTTAACTTTGATGGACTCATGAATTCAATTACTAAATTTTATATCTAGAATAAACCATCACACTTTAATAGATCACTGTTATACTGTCTTCAGTATAACACTGAGTGATCAGTAACTTTCAGTTATTATCCATCAAATTTTTTTTTCATTTCTTTGTTAAGCATTCTGTTTCATAATGGTTATTCCACTAGATACATCAGTAATTTCCATGTACTTATATTAAATATTAAATATTCGACAAGAAACCCTCTTAAAGTTAAGTTTTATGCTATTTGATACTCCTTAGCATGACGTAATTGTAATCTTGATGGAACTAAGCCTATCATTTGGATTTATGTCTAACGAAATACCATCAAATTGTAGTGTACTTGATATCAAGTCACCCATACATTGAAATTTGGTTGATACAAATAGGAGTAGACAAACATGGTGGTGGTTACTACTCAGTGATCAATCATTCTTACATTATATTTCACTATGTTTTCATGAAATTTTTCTTCGAATTTTCTCTCTTTCTTTTAAAAAAAAACAACACAACAATTAGCTACTGGATCCTACGTTAGTGTAAGTCAATTATCTGAAGCAACAAATGGACGTATTGGTCAATTATCTAATGGTACCTTATTGTTATCTAATGTAGATGAATCGGATCCAAGAGAATTTCTATGTTTTCTTAAACCAGGTAGATTATCAACTGCTGCACAACGTAGTTCAGCGGTTAATTTAGAAGTACATGGTAAGTTAATTAGTTCGTTTGTTAAATGATATGAGATTATACATACGAAAGGTTTATATTTTTAGTACATAAGTTATATATGGTTTGGTATTCCTATCGAATTTATGTTGATCTGGGTACTAATGAAAACTAAAACACATGAGACAGCTGTTCCGTCATAGTATTATGCTATATATAGAGTAATGGCTCAGTAGTTAAATCGTTTGAGTATCAGCTTCCAAGTCAAAAGTTAGAGCGCCCACTATCTATATCTTTGGTCTAGGTAACCGGATAGGATTTCTTGCCTTATTCAACAGTGGAATATGTACATTCTGATCGGATACCTCGTTATAACAATTCCTTTCGACTAAATAGTTAAAAGTCTTTTCTACGAGAATATGATACACATCAGCATATAACTGAAGTATATGTTTTGGTGTTAAAGAGAAGTAAACTGATCAACGAATTATTTTTGAAACCTATATTGTTAGATCATTAGGATCTAGTTCATAAGAATCTTGGTTTCAAGGTTTGATACTAGGTACTAATTTTGAGTGAAATGATACACCATGTAATATCCAAACTCATGTCATCTAATGTCACTTGTAAAGACTCTACTGCTCTAAAAAAAATATGTTAATCTGTTCTGAAGTGCATATTCGCTTATTATCCTGAATGCTCGTTTCATCCTTCTAAGGTTTCATCAATTAAGGGGATGTGTTTAATGTTTTAATGTTCACAACTTACTTATTATTTTCAATTTAGACTGAAAATATTCTGCATAAACCTTTCCACAATTGGTTGTTTGTACAGATTGGCCTTTTTGAAGAGTATTTTCGATCATGTACTGACAACCGCTATAAATCAAGGAGTATTGAATAACTGTTTCGCTTTCGTTTGATACTCTTCAGAAATACACACTGATAACTGTGCTAGAGACAAAACACATAAATGGATTATCTGTCAACCGTTAATTTGTTTATTTAAATTCCCCTTTTTCTTTATTGATCATATTCATTTGTGACGTTTTTTCTCTCTCTGTAATATCTACAATAGTACCTGCACGTATTGATCCATTGGATGCTGTTGAAAAAGTTCGCGGTTCTCGATTCAATTTAACTTGTAGCGTTTACGGTGATCCGGATGATTTAAAAGCATCTTGGTATTATCGTTTATCATCAAAATCACGTTGGCAGATTATTGATAAACCATGTGTTGTTCCATTGGCTTACGTTGATGGTGTTGCCCGTAGTAGTAGTGGTGGGAGTACACAACGTGGTAGTGATGGTGTAACATTAGAACCTTCCAAAACCGATGATAATATATTTTCTGATCTTCAAGATTTATCATTTGATCCTTCAGACAAGTCATCACCATCACCGTCTACAGAGTTTAACAGAGATTGGAGTCCTAGTTTAGCGGATTGTCAGAGTTATGCTACAGAAGGTTTAGAAAGTGGTATACTATTTCGTCAGGTAAGTGAGGAATATATTCTTGAGAGTTATAAAACTCACTTGTTTGAATCATTTATTTTTTAGAATTATGTTCTGTCTGTCAAATATTCTAATCTAATACGGTTCACTAATTAGGTAGTTGATTGTGCCAAATTTGAGTAGGATAACCCCTGAAGACAATAGAACATGGTTACTTAATATCACGAATTGATTGGATTCAGACTTGTATGCCATCAAATTCTTACTCAATGGCCTGGAGTTCAGTCTTTCGTATGCGAGACTGAAGATGGTGAGTTCGATTTCCGCTGATAAGGTTGTGGATGCACACTTCTGTGAAATCCTATTGTGGTACGAAACTGCTGTCCAATGCTCCTAGGCTTTCAGTGGTTGTCTAATTTAGTCCGGTTCGTGTCTTTAATAACAGTTGGTTGTAGACTGAACTTTATGTTAAGGACTAGTAATAGTTGGCTGTCAAAAATAAAGAACGCATAGTAATTGATAGAGTTCGGATATTCAACCTATTGGTGGAAAGATAAGTGCTTTAATAACACCAAAGCGTCACTCTTCTAGATTGATTTACTTTATTTTGAATCATATTTTTTGTGTATGTGAGTGATTTTTCTAGTCGTTCAAATCAGGGTAGGTGAGGTTAAGTTCTACAATCCACTGTTCGATCACCTTTAATCATACCTAGGTTGATCATAAGTAAGGAATTAGCTGAACACTTTAAGCAATTCACCTGTATTTGGAGGGTATCATTAGCTGTGGTGGGTCCCATGATTAATGAGATATAGGCACGGATTGAGGAAACGCACCTAAGTGTTTGTCAAATTACGTTACTTATGGAATAGACTAGATGTCATCATTATTTCTTCTTTTGGAAAAATGGTAATTATTTGTGCAAATTTTTATGCCACTGTAGACGTGATTGTGATGAGCAGCAATCATTGAAAGTGTCGGACATTTCTGGGATATCCGAATTCGACAAACCTATCTGAAATCAATTAATTATCATTTACAGATTTCTGTTGTAATATGTCCAAAACGTTCCTTTGTTTCATCCTAGCTTGGTTGAGTTTCTTGTCATAGGGTCAGCAAAGTGAATAATTCTCCTTGTATCACTATCAGAACTAGTGACTTTACTTTACCAGAGACACAGTGACCGATTGACAACGGTCGAGAACTTAAACCTTATTTGGGTATGACAAATTGAATTACTGTATACATTTGCCAGGTTCTACATCACATTTAACTGACTGACTGAGTGACTAACAATTATTAGTCCACAAACTCTTTCCATCCCTAGAGACCTATCAAAAGATGATGTTAGCAAACAGATAACTTCTTTGTGGTGTAATTATACTTATGACTTATAATCCAGACAATGATAAAAAGTGAATTTCTGACCGCGGATCAACATAAGTAAGGACATAAAATGTAGGTGCCACTGCTCCAAAAGTGAAAGGGAAACTTAGTGATGTCAGTAATTAATTAAAAATCTGTCAAAGAAGATAATGTACGAAATGAGAGTTTACAAGTAGGAGAATATGAGAATATAATAGTCCAACTCTCAAATAATTATACAATCTAAAGATTAAGTGTTCATATACGAGACTGAAGGTCCTGCGTCCGATTCCCGCGTATGAGACCGTGGATATCCATTATGGAGGAATTCCATACCAGTACAAAATTGCCATCCAGTGCTTCTAGGTTTCCAATAGTGATCTAACTCATATCGGTTCATGATAGGATAGGAAATAGGCTAGGATAGAAAATAACATCTTAATCATAAGTAATATAGTTCACAATGAATTGATGGGGATCATAGGAGAATTTATATCACTGAGTCATATTGTAAATGATTTTGTATTGTTTCTATTAGTATTTCCATCTTTTAATTAAAAGTATTGTTTGGACTCGAACTAAGAGGTCTCCATCTAACAGGATAGTTTAGACTAACAATCAATATCTTCGTAGATTGATGCAATGATCCATTGCATATCTATTCATTTCTCTGAATGTGTTATAACTTGTGATCGTTGTTTAGTGAGCAGTGACTTATCGATCGGACCAAAGACGCGTAAAACACGTGAGAACATCCTAGAGTTTTGATTGGCCCTGCTTTCCGCCTAGCCCAGCCAGTTAAGTTCAGAACCCAAGTCTCAGCCTCTGCAACATGAATCATTATATTTCAAACATACTGAGTTTATATACCAATCAAACCGACCGCAACGTACCAATAAAATATGAAACAACATTTGTACAAGAATTAGCCAGATGTGGCTGTGAATGAGAAAGGTAGTAATCAATATACTGGGTATAACTCAAGAACGGTAAAACGTATAATAATGGTTTATGGGTCAAAATAAAGCTCATAAGAAGAGGGGCATGAACATAAATAGTTTATTTATTTAATAATTATACAACAGAAATATACGTTTAGTATTGGTCTATAAAAGGATCCCAAAGTTACTATTAATTATGTTTCTCGCGTCCCAACAGAATGTTAGTTTTTAGTCAGTCAGTTTTAAGCAACGTAGAAAATGGCACATTTGTGTTCCAGTCCAACTTGTTTTACCAAATCTGTGCAAAGAAACTAAATTATCCGGACAAATACCAAAGAATTGAAAGTAGTAACAGTGTTAGTAGTACTAGTAGGAAATATTAGAAATAGACAATTTAATTCAAGAAGGAAGAACGAGTTCTCTGAATTGAAGACATAAAATAATTTCAAATCTCAGGATCGTCGGGAAAACAAAGAATGAATATATTTACTACACAATATATTCAGCCATTGATTGAAGTTATCACTCGAACTCTATCCAGGTGGTTAGTATCTATTAACACGAGTCAATTCACTAGTCAATAACTTCATAGATTCAAGTGATTTTATAATCTAGGTATCCATAATTTCCTTCTAATTCATTCCTATACCAGCCATTAATACGCATTGAGGTAGCCGGTGGTTTAGCATGCATAAGATATATCCAAACTCCATATTTTTTTATCTATATTTATTTTAACACATAGATATTGGTACAAGGAGGCACTAAATACATATGCGCCACACAAGTTTCATTCAATATGTGTGAGGGCTATGATACTGCCCGGGTGCCCAGACCGAATCAGGTGGTTTTCTTAGGCGACCACACCCAGAGCCTTTGACCTAAAGGTATGATCCACAAGGCAGTGGAGCATCGTAAGGAGATGCAGTCCCATGGAAGCCGATGATCAACAATAGGTTCATACGCCATTTATTCCCTCAGGATACTGAAGCCCATGTGCACCATTGGTTTGGAATCCAGTTAAAGCGCCGGACATTCGCTTTTCGTCCTCTCAATTTCGTAAAAAACACTCCCGTCACGAGAAGGCAGTGAGTAGGACTTCCCTGGCAGAGGCTATGTGAGAGCATTTCGAGAAGGAAAATGGACTCTCCCCATTTTCGGCTGTATCAAGATTTCACTATTTCATCAGCTAATTTGCCTTACATCTAACCTCACGATCGTTCACTTTTTCAAACCTAATAAACATGGTTTAGATAAACAATTACAACCAATCTTAACAGTTTCTTACATTGTTTTCAATCATCATTTATATATAAATTGATGGAGTTTTATTCTCTGATCTGAATGGTTTGGCCATGAAGCTTTATCTATCTCTATATATGTGTGTTACTTTATCATCATTAGGTTTCATTCTTTAAACCAAATAAACGGGGTTTAGATAAACAATTACAATTTTTAAATTTAAAAGAAGTTCATATGGGTGAATATTTATGTAAAGCTTCTAATAAATATAATCGTAATTCACGTGGTCAACCAATTGAAGTCGAAGCATTTGTACGACTTACTGTAATTTGTAAGTTTTATTATTAATTTCATTATTACATAATATTCATTATGTTTATTCAATGAAACATCATCATTTAGATTAACATTATTCTCATCTAGGAAATTGTATAATGATGATCAGTGTTATACTTGACTTATTGTCTTTTCTTTCTACATGAAATAGATTGAATTAGCAAATGTTCTGATTTCATTACATAATCCAGTCCATCTAGTGGAGATTTTTGTTCTCTGACCTGGAGGTCTACAGCACAAGCTATGAATCATATGTGAAATAATGTTCCTTATGAGATATGAATACAAGTCAGTTGGCTTCCTAGTTAGTTTATCACTGAGCTATGCGGGATATCACTCACTTCTTGTAGAAGTGAAATGTATTTATAATCGATTGATCAATGAATAGCGACTCATGTTACTTTTATTTTCTTCAGAATGGGGATTTGTGGAAATTGTAGTAATTTTAACTGTTAAATTCATGAATCGATCTAAGCTTGACAACCAGTGAAAACCTAGAAACACTAGAATACCGTTTCGTCCTGATGTGGGACCCCTCAACAGTGCGCACGCGGGACTCGAACCTAGGATCTCCCGTCTTGCACGAGGACGCTTAGCCTCTAGAATACTAAGCCGGCATCAAACTTAAAATTACTACAATCTCCACAAATCCTCATGCTAATAATAATCATATGCTCACAAGTGACTAGTTTCAAAAAAAATTTCCTAGAGTTCTAGTTAGAAGCAGTGACCAGTGGAGTCCAATCCGCATCGAGTATGAGACAGTTATCTACCTCAATCAATGGATGAAGGGTTTTATTTTTTTTTCTCTTTATAGTATCGATGAGATTTTATTGATCATGTTATATTGTAATCACTAGTTTAAACGTAACTCAACGTCATGTCCACTATATTTTGATGTTAGTTAGTCAGAGGTAATCACTAGGGGACAAACACTAATGGTGGATTGAAGTTATCTGATAAGTCGGTAAATATAGGTTTCTCCACAAAACCAGCTGAATTTGTAAGCAAACATCAAAGTGGCGAATCCAAATAACCTATCCTGTTTTAATGATCCCTTGACAGATATCTTTTGTCCTATAAGAAATAATAACACATATGATTAAGTGAATTATCTTTTCTCTTGAATGATGTTATTAACTCTAATCTTTTGATTATTATGATTATTGTTTTCGATTTTGTATAGCTGTCCCAGATTCTGTTCAGTTTGTATATAATAGTTCTAGAACAACGGCTACAAGTGTATCATTTTCATGGTTACCACCTTTACGTGATGGAAATAAACCAATACGTCAGTATAGAATTCGATATTCACATTCAGAGCCAAGTGCTAGTGGTCCGATGTCGTCTATTCAACAGGTGATTTGTTATTTGAAATATCGATGTTTGTTTTATTATACAGTTTGTCTAAGATTTACACGAATCGAGGTCAATACAATCCTTGGACACTTAACTAGGAATCATGAATATGGATCCTGGGAAAGCTTGAATGGTTTCGAATTTCAGTATGGGTGTACTGATAAAATATTCACTCTTTATCTGGTTCTGAAATATAGAAATGCTTGCTAATGTGTGTATATATATACATTTTTATATTTTGATCTTAAAACAACATTCAGATCTGTTGACCGAGAAGTTTCATGTCAGTATGTGTCATTAAAAAGCGTGCCCAAGAAGTGAATTCCCCTTGTATAGGTTCTCTACTCAAACAATACTGGTTATGACATGCCATCTTCAGAAATAATAACTTCATGTAGTATTCATCAGGGTCATCCACTTGCTTCATTTTAATTAAAATTTGTCATATATATATTTTTTAGAGATGTCACTTTCATCTTCTAACTTACTGGGAATCAATCTTCTAACAGGAGATTTACTCATCAACTTAGAATACACAGATGACATAGTCTTGTATGGTGAGAACTAAGACAAATACAGAGTATACTGATCACTTTGATCAACAATCCATGTATGTTTGGGAATGTAAATATTTCTTTGGACTGGTCGGTGTCAACGCCTGAACTAGTAATGGGGAGTGCAGTAGTTAAGTACGTTAACCACTTCACTTATCTTTTAAAGTTCACCAGCCCTGGTGGGTTGATGTCTGACCAAATCTCAACATGAATGCAGATCTCGGCTGATGTTTGCCAACTTGCTTCACTAGTAGCGTAGGCAAGATAAAGCTGTCTGTCAATGCAAACCTCGGTTGCACAATACACATTTGATATTATTTTTTTTCATTTTCTAGCCTAATGTTACAGAAATTGATGTATCTGAAAATCAACATCATATTGAATTGAATAATCTTCGGCCGTATACAAAATATCATATTACCGTGGCTGCAATTAATGATGTTGGACCAAGTGTTGAAAACGCTCTCGCGCTTACTACTCAAGAAGCTAGTAAGTTTGTTTATAAGTCTGGGTACTGTAGACATTGTTGAATCGGTATTGAGATCACGAACCAAACTAAGTTAGACCATCGTTAAAAACATGGAAGCGTCGAATAACAACCTCATCCTAGCATGGGACTCTTCATAATTGCTCGTCCACGACCACACCACTGGAAACCAAGCCCAAAATATTCGGTTTCGTACACATATGCTTAACCTGTAGAACAATGCTCAGGAATCCAACGGTTGACAGATCTAACTCCAAGCAATTTGAGGTATTTTGTGGCTATGCTCTATCTTCCCCACACCTGACACAATTGACTACCTGATTAACGAATCCTTGGTTGTCGTCACTCTAAATGATGTTTTTTTCTCTTGAGGAATATGAAAAGAAGACTGGATCTATATTGTGTATGTCGTGTTGATGTACGAGCACGATCGTATTTATAGCTCAATGAATAAACTGCTTGAGACCAGTCACACGCGACCATTTTGTGAATGATTTTTATTAGCTTAGCTTTTCACTTGTCAAATTTCATCACAACTATTGTAAATCTGTTAAAAAAGATTAGGCATGCTGTTCTTAAGTGTTGATTTTCCCTGGCTTCTTCCGTTTATCGGGAGGCATTATCAGTGACGATGATGGTTATTCATGAGAAACATTAGTACTAATATCATATCTCTGACGTTAAATTTGCTTCTCTTTAACTTATTTTCCCTGGTGTAATTAAATATATCAGTATGATCTACTTTTAGGGATTTTCTCCTCATTCACTTTTTAGTTAGCGGTATGATGTTTTATAGTAGAGCCTTGTTTCCACTAGTGGTTGATTGATATTTCTTAAGTGTATCAGCTTTTGTATTTTGACGATTACCAATGTTCTTATTCAGGGTTGTTAAAAATACATTAGTGGTTAATATTTTTTGGTTGCACATACTATGGAAGGATCTTTCTGCGTGAGATACTTGGAAAGCAAACTGGGCTAGAAGTGATGGAAGCGTAACTCCACAGTGCAAACGGAGAACTTCTTGATACCAGTCACAGATATCTATTTTGTAAAATTACTTTTATGGTTCAAGTTCCATAGTTTTGAAACTTTACCACCAAAAAAATTATGAGATATGATATGGTGTTTTATATTTACGTTCAATCTTATCAAAATTTCTCTTTCATTAAGAAAGGTAGCATCGCTGAAGATGTTGGGTATCCTTGGGAGCAATACAACTTAACTTTCGGATCTTAAATTTACATTTTCCAGTCTTTTCTCTATTCAGTCGATCATTTTGACGAGAAATAAGTTTTCCAAATAACATAGCTAAATTTAATCATCACACTTGGCAAACTTGTCTATCATTTCAAAGTTGATACTACAATCTATTCGATCCGATAGCAATAAGTATAATGAATATGTTTATCTACTCAACTTTTGAGTAGAAGTACACAAGCACTCTTCTAGAATACTAATAAATTCACTTAATATTCATACGATAATATAATTAATCAGTTAGAACGTAATAAAAAAGTGTATTCACAATTGATTGATCACTGGTTGGGGATCAATGTCATGTGTGTCAAGTCCTTATTTAGTGCAGATCGAATGCTGTCGACCATGTTGCAATGTGGCCACCAGTCTAGGTGACTCGACACTGCGTGCATTGTGAAGCTGGGTGACACGGGATCGAATCCGCCAGGGAGCACCAGTTACCCCAAGATTACAGGTACACCTTGCTGACGAGTGCCAAGTAGCACGAAACCCGGGTTCAGGGTTTCCTGTCGACTACCTTCAACCACCATCTAATCTCAGAAAAAGTGTATTCTTGTCGAACACTAAACGGTACGAACAAACTTTATATAGATTATTCTTTTTTAATATTCTATACCATTGATCGATCTATCCATGTAATGTGATGATATCTGTATATATTGAAAGAGATCATATCATTAATATGACCTTAACTGGTCATCTAATAACTTTGATTTTTATTTCATTTTATTACATTACTAATATTATATCTTTATATCATATAAAATAATTTCAGAACCAGATGGTCCAGTTCGTCGTCTTATCGCCAATGGAACTGCTTCTGATACAATTATAGTTAGTTGGGATAATCCAGCATTAGAACATTTAAATGGTAATGTTGATCGTTATTGGATTTGTCGACAACGTATTAAAGATAGTTTGTCAATTGAAGAATTAATGGAACTTCCATGGCCTGAAGATCCAAACGATGAACACAGGCAGGTTTTGTTTTTCTTAAATAAATCGCATGATTATATGAAACAGTGTTTAATAATTTTTTAAAAAAAGTGTTGACTCTCAACTACAATAAAGTTTGTAGGTTCGAATCCGGGTTGATCTACCTTTTTTTTTACTTAGTCAGTTATTTGGTATCGGTGATCAATACACAAATAGTGCGTACATAGATATGTGCTTGCTAACTGAATTCAATAACATATATCAGTGATTGAATAAAAAACCCACTTAACAAGGGAACTGTTTCAGAGGATCAAAACCAAGGCATGACATAAATTCATGCCAGTCATTGACTGTTGATCTAAGTTGTATTGGTAGATGCAGACTTGTTGGGGATGTAAGATTCTCAGAACTTACTTGGTAAAATGCCTTATTTTACAATTCTATTTTAAAAATTTGAATTTCTTGTTTTCGCGCCAAAAACACCCATTTTCACTTTCATATCGTATTTCTCACTTGGGAGGGCCCTTGATGCTATTGGTTCGTTATCTCTTTTAGTATACCATTTTCTACCTTTTCCCAAGGACATTTTTATGCTGTATATATACGCTTGCGTTGTGCTTCTTGTTGTTCGTGCTTCTGACTGCTTGTAGAATATATTTCCCTCTTTCGAACTTGGACTTCTCTCTCTAGTTAACGGGGCTAGGACGCATCGGAATAACTAGCTTATTGGTCATTGTGTCACAGAGTCTTCGTTCCGTTATCAGATTAGGTGAACTCGTAATTTCTTCAAACATAGCAAGATTACCTGACTGAGGTCCACGAGATAATTGTGATCAATGCTGTTGGATGGAGACGTTGTATGATGTGTGTCGAAATCGATCAAGTCGGTAGACGCACATCCCCTTGTTACCTTTCTCTAGATCTTAAGTTTTGATATTTCTTCATTCATAAATACTTCAAATGATTTTGGTGTTCAAATTGATATAATTTTACAACAAACAACTTTTACCTTGTTAATTTATGTTGATTCTACTTACGGAATATCCATTGTATCCATTGTATCTGCTATAACTTGTGGCCTTGTGTTATTTTAATATATGACGTAATGACGCCGCCAATTAGAGAATAGTGATTTATCGACAGGACCAATGACACATAAAACCCGTACGAACAGTCTAAAGTCCTTATCGGTCCTTCTCCCTGCCTAGCCCTGCCTGTTAAGTCCAGAACACCAATGTCAGCCTCTGCAATATGAATCATTTATTTCAAGCATACTGGGTTTATATACCAACCAAACTGACCACATTGTACCATAAAATAGAAAACAACATTTATACAAGATTTAGCCAAATGTGGCTGTGAATATGGCATGTAGTAATGAATAGTCTGAGCATAATTCAAGAATCATAAATCGTACAATAATAGTTCATAGGTCAAAATAAAGCTCATAATAGGGGGATATGAATATGAATAGTTTAGTTATTGAACAATTATACAATAGTATTAAACCATAAATGGATCCCAACAGTTAGAATTCATTATTGTCATCGGGATACAACACAACTGTTATGTAAAACTGGGTTATTCGGTAAGTACAACTAAGAAATGACATTGAAATTAAGATTAAACTTATAAGTATTAATAATTATTGTATCAGTAACACTAAAGTCTTCAACTACTTTTTCTCTGACCATAGTTAAGATGGCAATTTCATATTGAATTCCAAAGATGTTATATTAATGATTTGATGTCATACATTAGTTGATAACATAGTGACTTTATGGAAAATATTTTTATACAGTCAGTTGCTACCATCGCAGGATAAACATTTGATTCATTAGTTCATCACAACTTTCCAGTTCAGGACCATGAAGATAGTTTAATTCAATAAGTTAACATGTCATGCTAAGGTTTTTATTATAAAAACTAGAGGTAACCCTGGTAAAGTCTTTTTCTATTTGATTTCCCTCAATCTATTACTTACTTACTTACTTACTTACGCCTGTTACTCCTCGTGAAGGAGCATAGGGCACTCACCAGCATTCTCCATCCAACCCTGTCCTGGGCAATCCTTTCCAGTTGTTAGTCATCCTTTCCAGATCTGCTTCCATTTCCCAAAGTAATGTGTTATTTGGCCTTCCTCTTTTCCGCTTCCCTTCACGATTCCAAGTTAGGGCTTGCCTTGTGATGCAGTTTGATGATTTCCGTAATGTATTACCTATCCATTTCCATCGTCTTTTCTTAATTTCCTCTTCAACTGGAAGCTTGTTTGTTCTCTCCCACAGAAGGCTGTTACTGATGGTATTCGACCAATATATGTTGATTATTTTGCGTAGACAGCTATTTATAAATACTTGTACCTTCTTGATGCTGGTTGTAGTAGTTCTCTAAGTTTCAGCTCCTTACAATAGAATCCACTGTCTTGACGTTCGTATTGAAGATTCTCACTGTGATATTGGTCGAAAGTTGTTTTGAGTTCTAAATTAACTCAATCTATATTTGCACAATATTGTCACTTCACTTTATGTATGGCACATCTATTAGTGCCCTTATTGAAAACAAGATTTTATTCTCTATAATAATCTTGATCATGTTACAATAGAATTCTTCATTAAATTCACAAATCGATCATTGATATTTTTTACTTTCAGTACATCAATGCGTGGTCGTTATAGTCGTGTACATTGTAATTTGATTATAAGACAAATGGATCATGAAATTAATGGTCTGCCAAAATTCACTGCTTACGCTTTTCGAGTTATTGCTATGAATAGTAAAGGTCTATCACCTCCAGCTTATACACAAACAAGAACTTTAGAAGATTGTAAGTTTACTTTGTTTTGTTTTCAGCTTAATGTGGTTTTAGTATTTAAGTAGTTGAAGTTAGTTAAAAAGAAACCCTCTTTGATATAAGTTTCTTAGTACTTACCACTTATAATCAGCAAAGTGTACTTTTAATCTTAGGGCGGGGGAGATTGATGCGCTTTCCACGCTTTCCAACAGACTCCTAACGGCCTAACATCAAGTCATATTATTCACATTGCAACTTGATGGCTAGAATTAGACGCTTATCTAAGGACTAAATAAATATAACGCTACTTAGAGGTAATTAACATAAAGCTTTGGATAGAAATTCTGTGCTCGTTAGTATTTGTCAACAAGAAATAACTTATTGGGACTCGAATCAATGATTAGAGTCTGATTTATTTACTGCTTAGCTATTGAATTCATGGTTGTGATCTTCTATAAGAATTGTGATATGTGTACTTGCTCACCATTTAATCACTTATCAATAATCTATGTCGTCTATGTATGGTGTGCGCTACTTATGCCGTCAGATATAGGTAGTATGTAATAGTAATTGGAAGTGGAACGCTTACCAGCATAAGATTGAAATAAAGAGAAAAGGAAGGAAAACAGGGCGCAACCGGAATAATAGCAGGATTGGAAGAATGATGAAGTATGTAAAGGACAATTCAGGAAAGATGTGCTAACGATGTGTTTAATGTATGATTTTTATATTTTACAAAGGCATTTTATGAATTTGCGTAAAACAATAAATTGGTTTACCTTACCCAAATCTTCGTTCACAAGATATGTGCGGATTGTATAGGAAGAGGAGGCCCTTCATGTGATAACTCTAGTCGCATAACACTTAGATTGACAATTATTTCTTTACAGTTGTCATTTGTATTTTGAGCCGTATAAAGCTTTGTGTAGCCAAATAATTAATAGTTAATGATTATACGTATCAATGAAATTATAATTATCGATCGAAGTGTTATGTAATTAGAGTTATTACATGAAGTAGCATTGAGTCAGGGACAGCCAAACCAAAACGTGGCATCAGTCCTTGAAGTCACTAACTTCTAGTCTGAGCCATATTGATATAAATATGTAGTATATGTTCTCCCGCATTGGTAATGTTTTTCTCTTAGAGGTTTGTTAAAAAGAAATAAGCTTTGGTGATAACTCATCTCCAAATTTCGACTTACTTCATGCGAATCCCCCACTAATTATCATGTTTGATTGTCCTTATTGTTGCTTTTTTCGTCTTCCCCACCTCCCATAACAGTACCGCAAGCTCCTCCTGCAGATGTCACATGTGCATCACAACAACATAGTATCACTGTTTCTTGGAATCCGCCTAACCCTGACACGATCAATGGGATTTTGACAGAATATCATGTTAGTTATTTTGCTGCGAATGAATATGGCGGTGAGTTGTCTTTATTAGTTTTTTTCCATGCTGTTCATGCAGAATTGTGAGATCCACGTAATCTAAACCATATATATTTAACAATATTGGGGTTGTGAAGATTGTTGAACTTTATTGAGGTCTTGAGTCAACCTAAGTTATACCACTATTGAAAATCTGGAAGCACTGGATGACTGCTATTTCCTAGTATAGGACTCCTCAGCAGTGCGCATCCACGACTCCACATGCGGGGGTCGAACCTAGGACCTATGGTCTCGCGGACGGACGCTTAACGTCTAGACCATCTATCACAAAATGACAGCTGATACTACCCTTCACATTTCGACGTCCAAGAAGTGTTTTGTATTCATGACTTACAGTCGTTTTACTGTTTATTTAGGGAATAACTGGACATTAGAGCGTAACTTTCATCAAATATTTCATTTCAAACGCCTGAGATTATTTGCATCTTCGTGCTACGAATATTGTTAATGTAGCACAGCCCGACGTTCCCTTTGAACATACACGAATATGTTGAAAGTTAGAGTTTATAATGATGCGTTTAATGAAAATTACACTGTCATATTCAGCACTCACCCACTTAATGAGCAGGGAAATGATTCAAATTGCGTGGTAGAACACAATGAACATTGAAAGCATCACAGATAATCTCACTCCCTACCTCTGTCTGTTACAAATACATACGAATGAAGTGTACGTACCCATATATCTGGTTATTAAAATTTCCATAACAATTTGTCAATAACTGTATTCATTGTTCTTGTATTCCTCTTTATTTTTGTGTAAACATTAGATGAAACAGGTTCAGTTAATCAAGCTGTAAAAGGTCAAACTACAGTGACTTTAGCTGGTCTGTTAGCCTATACAAATTACACTATCCAGGTCGCTGTTAGTAATCGTAAAGGACGAGGTCCTGCGTCACCAAGAATTATTTGCCTAACTAAAGAAGCTCCTCCAGGTGCACCAGGTACGTATTTATATCTATCTGTTTGTGTATGTTGATCGCTTGATAATGTCGGCCATTTTATTTCACGATAATATTTACACCATACCATAGGCAACTGAACTCTGACCATAGCTATTATCTTGATGATGTGGTCGAGTTTGTCTATCATGATGACCCAATCGACATATTTTTAGTGGGATACCCCTTTTTCGGTCCTTATTAATTTATTTATTTGAAAACAAATATTGGTACAAAGGGGCACCGAATATATATGCGCCACACAAGTCTCTTGATTCGTATGTGGGCTATGATACTACCCGGGTGCCCTAACCGAAGCAGATGGTTTTCTTAGGCGACCGCACCCAGAACCTTTGACCTTAAGTTCTGATCCATAAGGAAGTGGAACAACGTGAGGAGATGCAGTCCCATGGTAGCCGATGACCAACAATAGGTTCATACACCATTTGTTCCTTCAGGATCCTGGATCCCATGTACACCAATCGTTTGGAATTAGGGTTTTCCAACTCCCCTAGGTGGAACCTCCGTATCTACCAACTCAGTCAAAGTGTCGGTCATTCTCTTTTCGTCCTCTAAATTTCGTAACCAACTGTCTGGTCACGAGAAGGCAGTGAGTAGAATTTCCCTTGGAGTGACTGTATATGCGTGGGCATGTGAGAGCATTTAAAGAAGGAGATCTGACTGTTTTTACCCTCAGCCGTACAAAGGCACTTCTGTGTTTTCACTCCTACTACACCATGTAAGTTAGTTGCAAAGCGGTTACATTAAAATTGACAAATTCAACGCCCAAAAACGAACTCGTGCTGCCAGGTGTACAGAGGTGTGACGTTAGTAAGGTCTTTACTTTGACCAACTGGCGTTTTCGGAGATGTTCTCTTCCAGTAACAGAAGGAGGTGGCTTAGGAAAGGTCGACTGCAAAAAACACCACGCTTCACCTTCTCTAATGAGTTCCGTCACCTATGGCAAGAGCTTAAAAATGCGTAGCTAACGGATCTGAACTACTCACTAAAAGACCATGCGTGACCGGCTTTTAGCGGTTACCTCTTCCGCTCTAGGGTTTGGCTTTCAGGTCCTTGAAATCATCACTTCACCAGTTTCTTTTCAGGCCCCACAAGACGTATCCTTCCATTATGTGAAGAGCTACTGAGAAGCGACAACTGCCCTCATACCTATAACTTGATTTACGATAATCTTATTATAATCACATCCCTAATCATTCAAGTTTGACGTAATGAATTAAAACGTGTTAGCTCATTTTTAAAAATTACTTCTGACTGTATAAATTGAACAGCTAGCTATGAAAACGTTTATAAAGTACTTAAGTGTACTTATAAAATAGTACTAACATCGTCTAACTATAGTAATGTATAAGATACTTAGTTACAGTGATCTAAATTGTATCGGCACAATGGATCAGTACAGACTAATTCCTTTTTCGTTTAGTTTAAACTTAACTCATACAGTTATGTTGAATAATATAATAGTCGAATGCAATTTTATGATCATTGTCCAATAAAACTATTTCATTCTGTAGCATCATATAGTTCTGAGAATAATTTGCAAGCGACTACCGATGTTGAATTTAGACATGAAGTACCTGTATATTTTTCGTTAGTTAGGATGAATAGGACAAGTGTTTCATGCTAAAAACCAGTTCCCCCTTTCAGGAAATGATGTTTTCTGGTGTGGGTCTAGTTTGGATGATTGTTTGGTGGTATGTTTCTTGTTATCGAAACACAAATTATTACTTCCAGGTTGATTGATTCCAGCACTTAGTATAATTATATGAAGTCAAGTAAACTGAATAATCGGATTTATTCTAATATGCTTCACATATGCTCAGTATATTAACATATTGCGTACGTCAGACAGACAACTTATTTTGAGGGCCCCAATAGTCGTGAAATACGAACGGTTTCTCATCAAAGTCTCCAGTTTGTTCACTTGCATAACGATTTGGTCAAAGCTTTAGGAAGCCATTTTGTTCATTGTACCTGAATTAGATATAATGTATTGTCTGTTATTCTTTTTATTTGTAGAGTTCGTCAAAGTGAAACCGATTAATTCATCATGTATTGTTGTTTCATGGTCACATCCTCGTAAACCTCAGGGACAAATGAAGAGTTATTGTTTAGAAGCTATACCATTGTTAGATACTGCGCAAGATGGTTTTATTAATCTTTTTGCTTTCTCTCCAATTTCATCATCTCCATCATCGTCATATAACAGTAATGATAATAATAATGATCGTGCTAAAGGACCGTGCATACGACCAGATTTTACAAGCTCATACAATTACTACTTTTATTGTGGTAAGTAGTTAAATTGCTTTTTAGATTAATTTAAAGTAATAAATGATTGGTCAGTATTTTTAAATAAAAATAACTGATATTCCTTTTAAAAAAATCCAATTAATTTAGGATAAAGCAAGTTAGATGTTAATGCCTGGATTCCTAGGTGGTTTTCTTAGAGGATAACCACTCGAACCTTCAATCTAGAGGTCCAATCCACAAGACAGTGAAGCGGAATCAAAGGATGCTATCCTATATTGTCGAATGACCGAAATCGATTTGTATTTAGTTCGTTTCCTCAGGATCCTAATGTCCATGTTCACCTCAATTTCGTAAAAAGACGATACCGAGTGAAGTCAGTGAGTAGAATTTTTTGGAGAGCATTAGAAACGTATGACTTTATGTGAAATCTCCTAGAGAAGAAGAGTCGACTCTCTTCAGTCCCGACTGTACCAAACACATTCGTTGGAGCGGGACTCAACAGTACAATCCATTGGTTAAAAGTAGGACCCATAAACCAACAAGCCGTTATCATCCATCTGTTTTTTGACTGTAACTCACCTCTCATCATTCATTTTACTTGTGACGTTACGTATGTAGTCGATACTAAGGACTGAACTTATCAACGTATCGATATCATCAACCTTCCCCAAATTTGGGTCAGATGTATCTCTTATTAGTAATTTATCAGATTGCGGTAATAAATAACTCGTTCTAAGATATCTAAGGAAACACTTGTTCCTTTGAATTCCAAGATTGATATACCTGGTGAGTAGTAAGCAGTGTGAAAACTAAATATTTAAAGCATCTCATCTTAAGTCATTTTACACTCCAGATTGACTTTAGTGTTAGGAAACAACTTCATCATAGACCTACTGATGGAAATAACATTCTCGTCGACTGAATGGTCGGGTATTGATCTCCTACCAGGAGGTCTACTTATCGACTTAGAATACGCAGATGATATAGTCCTGTTTGGTGAAGACGCTGATGAAATGCAGAGTCTTTTGGTAGCACTAAGCAACAATGCCAGAATGTTTGGAATGCGCTTCTCTCCCTCGAAATGCAAGTTGTTGCTTCAGGATTGGTCTGCGTCAACACCTGAAGTAAGGATAGGGAGTGAAGTAGTCGAACGCGTCGACAACTTCACTTATCTTGGAAGTCTGATCAACCCTAATGGGCTGGTATCGGACGAAATCCCAGCACGGATTCGAAAAGCTCGTTTGGCTTTTGCCAACTTACGTCACCTATGGCGAAGGTGAGATATCCGTCTATTAATAAAAGGACGAGTATACTGCGCGACAGTCCGTTCTGTCTTACTTTACGGCAGCGAAACATGGCCTTTAAGAGTAGAAGACACCCGTAAGCTACTAGTATTTGACCACAGATGCCTTAGAAATATTGCTGGCGTCTGTTGGGATCACCGGGTAAGTAATAGTGAGGTTAGACGCAGGGTATTAGGGAATGATGGTAAATCAGTTGATGAGGTTGTGAATCTTCATCGACTGAGATGGTTGGGTCATGTGTTACGTATGCTTGAACACCGATTACCACGACGTGTAATGCTAACCGGTGTTGGAGATGGTTGGAAGAGAGTTAGGGGTGGCCAAACCAAAACGTGGCATCAGTCCAAAAAGTCACTAACTTGTAGTCTGAGCCATGTTGGTAGATGCAGACTACTTGGTTGGGTTCCGCGTGACTATTGTAACCAATGGTTGGAGACTGTAAGTGACATGGTTCAGAATCGATCACAATGGCGTCGGTGTATACACTCCCTGTCTTCCTTTAAACTAAGAGATTAAAATCGCTTCATATCTTTCCTTCTACTAACTACTTCTTTCTTCCTGTACTATATCCTTATATGCAATCTTTCGCCTATATTTGCCACCTTTGACCTAACCACTGCTATGAATCCGGTGTTCATCTTGTTGTGTTAATGAGATATGGCAACTTGGACCGATGCATATATGTGCCTGGTCCTACGTTGCAGCTGACTGACTGACTGACTGTATCTAACGGCCGTTTCATCTTAGTATGGTACTCCTCAACAGTATACAACCATCAACAGTGATTGAACTGAAGACCCTTAGATCCTGTGGCAATTACTTTAACTTTAAACCATTAAGTTTGAATCCAAAAGTTTATGTCTTATTTCAATCAGTTCGTGGTATTGCACAATCATCATACATTGCAGTTGATAATATCTTAGTTATCACATAAGTAATAGGTACTTTTGTTTGTTAAAAATAGTTGACATTATCTTTATTATTTCATATAATAATGTAGGTTTAATTGAAGAACGACCATATAATATATCTGTTCGAGGCATAAATCAATTTGATGGTCATAAAACATGGGCAGGACCTATTCGTCCAACTGCTAATCGTAAGTTAATGTATACTTGTTAGATTTTGAGTGTGTGTGTGTGTATACGGTGGAGGGTATCTGTCTGTTGATGGTACTTATTATTTTGATCAAGAAAAATTGTTTTTGATTGAGATCATGAACCGATTGATGTTAGACCACTTTTAGAAACCTGAAAACACTGGACGACCGTTTCATCGTTTTTGCCTCAACAGGAGATTCGTTGATAATCTTTGTAATATCTGTTGGTACATTGTATCTAAAAGAAATACCCAAAGAATATGTATTTGTTTTGTTTTTACTTCATCTTTCTGTATTCATCAAATGGGGACACCTTTGTTCTATATCTTATTTTGACACATTTGTTCATTCATATTATTTTTTAGAAATCGTTTTCTATCATTGTCAAGTTGGTAACCTTTCGTACATTCTTATTACCCTTTGACTGTTGCGTAACTTTAAATTCTGATTGACTTTTAGTACCTCTGTTAATGATGTGATAATGATCTATTTTCATTATACACTACTGTAATATAAAAGAATTGAGGAATTCTCTAAGTGAATGTCCTAGGTAATATCAAGATCATTTGATTGTAGACATTGGATAGCACAACTGAGAATCAATTAGACCGGTACTGATCTTGTTAGTGTTTCCCTTTCCTTAGATTTAAAGTTTTAAGACTATTTTAAGTTCGATACTCATTTTGACAATTTCATCTCATTGTGTTAATATTGTATGGTAATTTGAACCGGTGTGCATATAATATCATATTCTAGATTGATGATAACTAATAAACCATTAGAAGTTCTAGTACATAGTGAAAACATATACTTATCGACTTCATCAAGTCGAAAATGAGGCGTTTAATAATCTCTGACATTGGCTAGTAGTAGTATAGTGAACGAGAACACAACTGGAGACAATCAAATGTATTTGAAATATGAAATTACAGAGTATCTTAGTAAAATTTGAGAACCATACAGTAAATACTTCATTTACAAAATGTCAATCAATCGTCTGAGACTTGATTGTTATTTTTTTGTTTCCGCATCAATCATTCTTTGTTCTCGTTCTCTTTTCTTCGATTTTCTTAACCTTCTGCTGCCAGATATTCCACTTTCGAGTGATGGTACATACTACTTATATCTATCGATATCAGTAGCATACACCACAGTAGTAGTAGTAGTGTAGTGGACGCTGCTCAGAAGCATGTTTATAAGTAGTGTGTAGCGGAATGTGGTATCTCATTTAAAACAATTTTCAGACAGATTGAAGTATTCCAGTGCATCGAAAGCACAGCGTCAGTAGAACTTTTGGAGATTAGTTGAGAAGACATTTCAAACTGCAAAACATACCTGAAAATGCAAATAGGCAATTGAAGGTTATATAATATGTATCATGTAAATACTTTGCAACTATTCACAATGATCATATTAATAGTTGAAAATGAATTGAATACTGAAAAACAGAATGATTGTGATCTTTCATAATCCTATTGATTAAATTTTGTTTTGTTTTTTTGTTGTTGTTAGCACCGATTGGAATTATATCGATCGGTGGTAAAATAATTGCACAAAATAAAATGAGTATTTGGATGGATTGCTTAATTATTGGTGGATATCAACCACATTGGATATATCCACATGATGATCTTGAGTAAGTTCTACCCTTCCTCTCTTTTTCCCTTTTCTCTGCTTCATTTCTCTTGTTTTTTTCTCTCGCATTAATGGTTTTAATACGTAGTATTGTACTAATATCAGTAGTAGGTATTTCTTGTAATCAACTTTATATACTATTGTGTGTATGAAATTACAAACTAACTGAGTAAGTGTTTAGTATAGTATCAAGCTTAAAATCACCTTGATAGGTTATCAGCCAGTTCTTAGTCAATCAGGAAACCTTCTTTGTAAGTGGATAGTATTATTTTGTTAAGTAAGTCAGTGATACTGTCCGAGTGTGCAAACCGAAGCAGATGGTTTTCTTAGGGGATCACACTCGAAGCCTTCGACCTAAAGGTCTGATTCACAAGGAAATGGAGCAACGTGAGAAGATGCAGTCTCATGGTAGCCGGTGACCAACAATAGGTTCATACGCCATTTGTTTACTCACGGTCCTGGATCCCATGTACACCGATGGTTTTGAATGAGGGTTTTCCAACTCCCCTAGGCAGATCCTGCATATTCAGCAACCCACTGAAAGCGCCAGACATTCTCTTTTCGTCTTCTCGATTTCGTAAATAACTGTCTGTCCGCTTAAAGTTATTGAGTAGGACCTCCCTTGGAGTGACTGTATGCGCCTGTCCATGTGAGAGCATTTGGAGAGGGAGAGCTAACTCTCCCCACCCTCGAAGGTACCAGGGCATCGGGGAGCAATTTGTCTTTATAAATATAGAAGGTCTACCTTTCCATATAGATTTTCAGATGTTGTCAAATTGTTTCTTAATAGGATTGGTATGTTCATCACTAACTGACATCAGTTATATTGTAAAAATGCTCTTCAACCATATGGATGAATGAATTTAGCGCAGAAATACAAGAGGAACTATCTAGGATTGAATATTTAGGATTAGGATTTATGGGTATTGTTCATTTGTCTGTTATAATATCATCTATAGTAGTAGAACTAAGCACTTCATATGTTTAACACTATCATATCACTATAATATCACTTATTATCCCTATTAACTATTGTAATGGAAATATTTTGATATGAATGTCTTTGAGAGAGTCTTTTTACATGTTTTCACATTCTAGAATAGTATCATCAGCATGTTTACTTTTAGAAATGAAAAAAGAAGTGAACACTTATAGAAGTGGTGAAGAAGATTTGTAGCTCAGGTAGATGACTTTGATAGAGTTTCGTTCTTTGAGCTGAATGGTTTAGTCGTGTTTTAGTGTGTATGTGGGGGGAGGGTGATGGAGTAGTTGGATGAATTACTAAACGTTTCAATATTCATGAAATTTCTTTTGACAAATTATATCTCGGTGTTCCGGGGAGTGCTACAAATGGACGTAGTGGGATGCTTGGTTTATGTGTTTTCGAGGGAGCACTGGTTCATTGGATTTCATTCTCCATTGATCTTGCTTTGTTATTTCTCTTGCTTTGACGAGCTTATTTAAAGTCTTTGAGATTCGGTTGTCTAACTTTTTAACTGGATTTATGTTCATCGGTTTGTATGTACTTTTATCCTCAAGTAGTTCCTCGGTTTTCTTGATGTATTGTTCTTTGTCCATAATCACTGCGGTGCGTTCTTTGTCCACTGGAACTATGACATAATCTTTTCTAGATCAAACCATCCAGCTCAGAGAACAAAGCTCCATCAAAACCTTATTGAAGTCTTTTACAAGTGTTCAAAACAATCTATTCTATTAAGTGTGGTTGAGTAGTATAAACTCTTTGTTATCTACAGGCTACATATTAATTTTATGTCTATGAGAAAAAAATACTATATTCCAATGGATTTGATCTTCACAGTCTACTTAATTATGTTATGGTCATGATCATATGTTTATGCATGACTAACTTCAAGATAGATTGGCGAAATTTTAATGAATACCTGTGATTGATAGTGTTCAACCATGTCAGCAGTGAGATAGTCATCATCGGTGTCAATGAACAACAGTTAGATGTGTGAACCATTGAGTTTCATTTCAGTGGTCTGAAGGTAAAGCGCTTGTGGCAGTCTAGATGTTCTAAACTTAATCTCTGCAGTAGTCATGTTGCTAAGAAATTCTAATATCGATTGCCTGAAAACCCATAAATGCTCATAGCTTATTGTAGTATGAAGGAAATAATAGTTAATAAATTGAATCTTTATCAGTCCATATTGGGTGGCTAATCTTATCTCACTTTTCACTTACCATATATCAAATAATTAACAAGGGAAAGTAATGAGAGGCTAACTACACTCTCCTTCATTCTGTATAACATAATAGATCAAGTCAGAAATACTGAATTATAAATGAGTTTACGGTTCAATTAGTATGACAGATATTCATTATAATTATAATGTGTTTTTTAAAGTGTCGAAGTATAGTAATACTTACTTATTTACACCTATTACCCCCAATGGAGCCATAGGTCGCCGACTAGCATTCTCCAACCCACTTTGTCCTGGACCTTCCTTTCTAATTCTATCCGATTGTTGTTCATTCTTTTCATGTCTTTCATGTGTTCTTTGATCTTCCTCTTCTCCACTGGCCTTGAGGATTCCAAGTGGGGGCTTGCCCCAAAGTGTAGAGTTAGTCACTATATATCTATCATCTGATAGATTTTAGTTGTAACCTGCTTTTATACTCATCATTCTCGTTTTTATTTTGGTTTTTCATACACTTTATTAACGTTTTATTCTCTTCAAACTTCTCTTACTTTTAGAGATTTACATATTATGGATAATGGTACATTAGTTGTAGAAACTGCACGTGTTGCTCATAGTGGACATTATAAGTGTTCCACTGTATCTGATAGTATATCATACGATTTACTTGTACAAGGTAAGTCTATTTAGTGTGTTTTTAATATGTGTAAAACAACACTGTTTGTTCATTGAATTTAATTGATTTTATGGTTTACGTCGTAAACTGAATTTAGTTAGACAGCTAGTAAAGATCAAGGGATATTGGATAGCTATTTTGTCCTAAATAGACATTTTTCCACATTGCTCATTCACTTCACTAGCTCGTTAGGGATGCTATCTACGACTTTCACATCTCTCAATACAAGCACGCTACAATTTGACTTTTCAGTATTCTATATCCACTGGTTTCTATATCCAACTTCAACCAATTCATGATACAGCACAATCAGTTATGCATTACTTTCCGGGTGGTACTTATCTTATACCTGTTGTCAGTCAGTCAATCAGCTACAACGTAGGGCCAGGCACATGTGTGCATCGGTCTAAGTTGACATACCGCATTAGTACAACAAGATGAACACCGGATTCATAGAAGTAGCTAATTCAGTGGTAGTAATATATAAAAGAAAGATTGCATATAAAACTATAATACAGGAGGAAAGAATTAAAAGAAAGATTGCATATAAAACTATAATACAGGAGGAAAGAATCAGTACATAGAAAGATATGATGCGATTTTAATCTCATAATCTAAGGGAAGACAAAGAGTGTATACACCGACGCCATTGTGATCGATTCTGAGCCATGTGACACAGAGTTTCCAACTATTGGTTACGATAGTCACGCGGACTACAACCAAGTATTCGACATCTACCAGCATGGCTCAGACTAGAGGTTAGTGACTTCAAGCACTGATGCCACGTTTTGGTTTGGCCGCTCCTAATTTTCTCCCAACCATCCCCATCACCATTGCGCTTAAAGTTAGTGGACTTGTGAGTATATGATCATTTTCATGGGTGGATTACTCTTCTGATGTGATCAAATAATTAGACACGTAACAATTGCATAGTGTCCTCCTCCTTGGTTTTCAAGATCATTGTCTAGCTATCAATCAGTCCATGGTGTTAACTGAAAATCGATTCAATGTATACAAAATATTCTTATATACTACTAATTAAGTTATTATTTTTTTTGGTGTTTCTTTTTAGAAATCCTTGAAGGTAAGTGACAAGTAAAGTGTTTAAATATGCATTTTTATGTACATACTATTAGATCGTTGTATGTTTAATGCATACTAGATGAATGAAAATGTCCGTACTTCAATGTCAGATTGACTGCTGGAAGTGATTGTCAAGATACCTCCGAGGTTAAACTTTCATTTTTGTTAGGAATAATCAGTTGATACAAATCTATGAGAATGACAAGTACTCTTGATTGACCAGTACGATATATGTATTCATGTATATAGGTTGCTCGTTGACAAACATTTCCCATAGTGAGAATAAAGTCCCTTCTGACATGTCTTAGTATTGAACAACAACATAGCATTTATTCTCAAATCTTCTATTCTACATTAGGTGATTGATAATAACACCAATTTAACACATTAAATTTATCATTGCAAAGTCATTACTCACAGACATACAGAAATATAAAAACAGATAGAGTTATCTATATAGAAAGTAGAATCAATTTGTGAACTCACTTTCTATTTTATAGCCTTGATGTTTCCTTCATCCGTTTTATTTTCCTGTATGATTAATTGGATTATTTTGATGCATGTGTTCTCTACTTGTGTATATGTTGTCCTAGTGTGATCGAGGGTGGAGAAAGCCCGTTCTTTCTCTCAAAATGCTCTCACATGGCCAAGCGTATAAAGCTACTGCCAGGGTAGTCCCACTCACTGAATTCTCATGGTTAGGGTGTTGTTCATTAAATTGAGATGACGGAAAGTGAATGTCTGGTTATTTAACCAGGCTGGTGGATATGAAGGATCTACCCAAGGGAGCTGTAAAACTCTGATTCTAAACCACTGGTGCACATCGGCTCCAGTATTGTGGAGGAAAAAAATGGTATGCGAATCAATCATTGGTCACCAGGTGCCATAGGACTGCATCTCCTTACGTTACTCCACTGCTTTGTGCACCAGATCTCTGAGTAATCGGTTCGGATAGTGACCTCCTAAGAAAACCACCTGCTTCGGTTTGGGTGCCCGGACAGTGTTTCATCCTTCACATATATCGAATGACTAAGTGTGGTGCATATATATTTCGTGCCTCCTTGTACCAATGTTTATGTGTGTTCAAATAAATATATAATTTTCAATATTACTTATCTAAACCAGATGAAAAAGCATGTGTATTTATCAATTTGTTGTGTAATTCTTATATGTATATGCATATTTTTACTGTTTAGAACCTCCGCGTAAACCAATTTGGCATAAATTCACACCAAGTCTACGTGGTATACAAGCTGAGTGGTTATCACCTGGATCTAAACGTCTTGATGCACCTATTCTATGGTTTTATTTAAATTGGACTAATTTACATACTGGACAAATGGAAACTATACGTTTATCAGCTGATCAACGTACTTATTATCTATCGAATTTAACATGTGCTACCACAGTTAAATTTCAATTAAAAGCTGAAAATAAAGTTGGCAATAGTTCACTAACTGATGTCACCTCATGGACTACATTAGGTTCCTGTAAGAATTCCTTTATTTCTCTACCTGACTATCTCTCATGCACACACATTATCTCCTCTTTTTAATATTTCTTTCAGTTCTTGGTGGTTGGAGGTGGCTAACATAAAACTGCGGACCTACGTTTCATACCAGTTGATAATTATCAACTGAGAGTACCTGAAATTTTTAAGAAATTTATTCTACTGGTAGAATTTGAACTTGTGTTACCGAATTTCAGTCAGATATTGACAATTGATTGATCATTGAATAATAATGACCAATGTCATACTTATTAAGTGTTTAGTGCTGATTGAATTCTATCGATCAAATTGTAACGTGGCCAACTACTATTGACAACTCAACATCATGATTTGATGTTAGGTGACTGGAAGTAGTCAGCAAGATCTCGTGATTTAATGATTGTGAGATCAATTGATTGAAAACAGACTAAGTAGACATAGAGAAGGATATGCATGTATTACAACATGGGTAAGACTCTGGTAGAAATTGTGAAAGCTATCTATCTCATTCTCAAAGTTAGGCATACTGGAGGTGGTAGTGTGAAAGAAGATCCATGATGGAGTTATCATATCAAAATGTGAAGTCATTTAGATTTTCATCACTTGATATTACTCTCCATGTTTTGTTCCGCAACTCTTTAATTGATTCGTTGATTGTTCTAATATATACGATAACTCAATCCATCGATGCATATTTGTTCACTTCCTATATTGATCATAACTGTTATTAATCACAAAGCAAACCAAATATTAGTGGCAGACTGAATGGATACTGCGTAAATACTCTCTTCTTTTGAAATACGTTTTACTTAGCCTTCCCAACTATTGAAAAGGCAAAAGAGAGTTAAATGTTTATACCATCGCTTCTGTTGACGATAAAATAGGTGTTAAAAAACATGAATATCAGTACACTTTTTCTATGTTTTTTTTCTTAAGGACTGATCATTCAAGTTGGGGCGGGTATAGGTGTCCCAGTTTAACGCCATATACACGGTTTAAAACCTTTCATCTTATTATCAGTTTCTAGTAGGAATTCTTTTTTAATAGTTTTACATCACGGACTAATCTTAGTTAGACAATTAGTAAGAACCAGGATGTAGCTTTCTCATTTATGTGTGTAACTCTTTAGGTTCCTTGCACACTTGTGAGTTTGTGCCATAGGATTGAGCTATTCTCTTCATGCTATAAAGAGCCTTGATAGTGTCAAGCCCTTCTATAAAATCACTTTTTGCACAGTAATAAAAAGTCTTATACGAGAACAAATAAGATTGACAATTACTTCTTAGTTCTCAATGGTTATCTTGCTAAAAGCATTTCTCATAAATCAACTGAACATTACATAAAATATTCTTTCTCCTTAATACACAGTCCAGTGGCTATCAGGACTCAGTAGCTAAGTGGATAACGCGATGGTGTTTGAAGCGGAAGGTACTGGGTTCAAGTCTCGGCGTGAACATCAATTTCGAGATGCAGATATATCCAGCTGACGAGTACCAAGCAGGACGAAGCGCGCGTCTTGGGTTCAATTGCTAGCCACTATCCATTTTTGTTTAGAATTTGATTTAATCGACCTAGTTTTTCCTTCACGTTTTTTTAATCATCGCATTTTTTGATTTCAGCCCCATTAACTGCTAATGCAGCTCAATTAATACCGAATAATTTACGACAACAATATTCTGTGACATTTAATCTGTCAAATTTTCTCCCAGGCAACGGTTGCCCACCTACTACATATCGTCTATTGATTGCACCATCAGAAGATGGACATTTTGGTTTAAAACAAACAATTATTAATCAAACATTAACTAGATCAGATCTTATAACAGTAGATATATTAAATAGAGAAAGGTTAGTAGTTTTTTGGATTATTCTGATTTGTTTTTGTATTTTGAATGAGGTGAGAGAATTGTGGAGATTGTTAAATTTTATTTGAAATACGAAAAAATCCAAGTTGAATAACTATTGAGAACCTGGAAGCATCGGGTGGCTGTCTAGGGAGAAGCCGTGATCAGTGGAACTAATCCGCGTCGGGTAGAGACAGGTATCGACCTCAGTACAATAGAAGATGGTCGCGCAACTTCGTGGATCGGTTGTAATTAGACATTAACACCGTTGGATGCCGGCCAGCTCAGTGGTCTAGTAGGTTGAGCGTTTGCGCACGAGACTGAAGGCCCTGGGTTTGAATCCCTTTGGTGCGGGATCGTGGATGCGCACTGTTGAGGAGTCCCACAACAGGACGAAACGGATGTCCAGTGATCTTTTCAATGGTGGTCTAACATCAATCGGCTCATGATCTCAATCAATAACTTAATGATCTTCACAACTCTATACTGAGAACAGAAGTTTATCTAGAATTCAATATTATCAATAATAACAACGTATTCAATAAGGTTTACAAACTTTGAATCACTACGTGTTCAGGTATTGATAACACGTCAGGTCCATAATCAAATGAATGGTTCTTCCTTTAATTACTTGAATAAGTGTGAAATTATAACACATTACATAAGAGATTTACCAAATATGTACCAGTAATTATAAAACGAAAATAAATCACTAGTATAGGGGTTGTGGAGATTATTAAGTTTTTGATTGAGATCATGAACCGATTGATGTTAGACCACCTTTGGAAACCTAGAAGCACAACCACAACTACAACCCCTATACTAGTAATCAACATATGCTCACTAGTGACTAGCTTCGTGAGGGAATTCTCGGAATTCTAGTGAGAGGTCCTGACCAGTGGAGCTAATCCGTGTCGGGTAGAGACAGGTATCTAACTCAGTGCAATGAAAGATGGTCGCGCAATTTCGTGGATTGGTTGATGTTAGACACTATCACCACTGGATGCCGTCTCAGTGTTCCTATAAGTTAGGAGTTCGCGCGTGAGACTGAAGGCCCTGGGTTCGAATCCCCTTGGTGTGGGATCGTGGATGCGCACTGCTGAGGAGTCTCACAATAGGACGAAACGGCTGTCCAGTACTTCCAGGTTTCCAACGGTGGTCTAACATCAATCGGTTCATGATCTCAATCAAAAAAAAAGAAAACAAATCAAGCGCAACGCTCTCAAAATGGAAAAGTTGTTTGAACTAATCAACTTTTGTTTTGATAACACACTTATAATTACTATCAAATAATACATGAAGGAAAGGAATAGCATTATAAATAGTAAAACGAATGAAAACATTGAATAAATATGCAAATATTTTTGAGCATAATAGTCACTATAAGAACGAATCGTAACTCTGAAAATGAGTGATAATTGCATAAACTACTGAATACATTTAATGAGTAGTACAATTCTGTACACGAAAGAGAGCAATCATAGAAGAAACGTGACTAAAAAAAAATCTAAAATAGATTTAAGACGATTTCTGGCACAAATGTAAGATCACAGTTAAGATCAGATGTGAAAACAACGCTTTATAGTAAGCCATAAGTATCTCATTTTATAACTGATATGTTGTATAGAAAGTAAAATATGGTTGGTTACTGAGCATGAACAAAGAGGCACTGTGTTGTATGCTACTTATTTTGACAGATATAAGTAGTGTGTAACACCAGTCAGTAGTGGAATGCCCGGCAGATGATTGAATTGGAGAAGACAGAAAGAAAAACAGAGAGAAATTGAATTATTAACGGAATTGAAAGAATCATTAAGAATGTAAAGGATAACTGAAGGAAAATGTAATGTATGATTTTCATATTTTAAGAAAGCACTCTGTAATTTTGCATTTGACAATAAACATGTGGCTTAATTTTCCAGGATATATATATATATATATATATATATATATATATATTCTCATTGTCTCCCATTATGATCTGGACAGATTGAACTGTTGGTCGTATGGTAATAAATTCGATTGGCTCACTCCTCTTCGGAACTCGTGCTGATGATATTGTCCAGAAGGACAATGTAAGCTCTACGATCAAACCGTTCAACTCAGGGAATGAAACTTCAACAAAATTTTATTATGGCTAATATTATAAATAACCATAATGTTAATGTTTTCCTATTTATTCTTATTTGTTCTAGATGTTGTTACAATGTGACTAATTTGAATTCAGGAGCACATTATCATTACAAAGTTGTAGCAACCAATGCTGCAGGATCAGCCAGTGTTCAAGGTCAATTCTGGACAAGAACTGTTTCAGGACGTAAGTACCTCTATTGATTAGTTGTTCTTGTATTAACAAATGTATCATTTTGTTATAACTATGAAAAATAATGCTTCTGATTAGAGGGGTAGCGAATTATTGATCGGACCAAAGACGCACAAACACGTAGAACGACCTAGGGTTCTGATTGGCCCCGCTTCCTGTCTAGCCCAGTCATTTGAGTCCAGAACGCAAGTCACAGCCTCGGATATATGAATCATTATATTTCAAACATACTTTGTTTATATACCAGTCAATCAGTCCCATCGTGCCATAAAATAGAAAATAACATTGTACAATAAGGCCAGTAGGAAAATGACACGTTAAATAAATATGGACCAATAAGATGATACCATTTCATGTCCAAGGATAGCATTAGGCTTAACAGGATAATTTTTGGGATATTTTCCTGAATATCCCAACACATTTATTCACTGATGATTAACGTCAAGAGAAAGTTTTCTGAGTTTTATTTGAAAAATCCGTGACCGGTGATGTCTAACCATGTCGATTGTAGAACAGATATCATCAACTACAATGAACGATAGTCACGTAATACTATAAGTTGTCTGGAGTCAAAAATAAGCATCGTCGATTAACAGGGAGGATCCGATGCGGACGAAAGGCGAGGATCGACAAAGCAAGGACAGCTTTCCTACAATTGAAGAACATATGGAACTCTAAACAACTGTCTGTCAACCGATATCAAAGTCAGAATCTTCATTACGAACGTCAAAACATTCCTGGTGTACGGAGCTGCAACTTGGAGAATTATTATAACCATCATCAAGAAGGTGCAAGTATTCATAAATAGTTGTCTACACAAGATACTCAACATCCATTGGCCGGATACTATCAGCAACAGTCTTCTGTGGGAGAGAACAAACCAGCTTCCAGTTGAAGAGGAAATTAAGAAAAGATGATGGAAATGGATAGGTAATACATTACGGAAATCCCCAAACTGCATCACAAGGCAAGCCCAAACTTGGAATCGTGAAGGGGAGCGGAAAATAGGAAGGCCAAAGAACACATTACGTTGAGAAGTGGAAGCAGATCTGGAAAGGATGAATAACAACTGGAAGGAGCTGAAAAGGATTGCACACGACAGGGTTGGATGGAGAGTGCTGGTGGTTTTCCTATGTTCCTTCACGAGGAGTAAGAGGCGTAAGTAGATAAGTAAAGAGTCAAAAATACAGACCATTGGATATCATTTGAGGGGTCTAAAAGTTACGTGCTTTGCTATAAGTCCTGAAGGTCATTAGAGGAGTCGTAAATGGACTTTGTTGAGTAGTTCCATACTAGAGCGAAACAACTGTTTACTGTATCCGGGCCTTCAATGGTTCTTTAACTAAAATCAGTTTTTTTTTTAATACGCTACAATAATCACTAATATTGATGATAATGATCGTTTATATGTCAATGAAATTACTCGCGGTTAATTGATGTTTAATGTACAATTGTATTGCATTTCGAATGTTAATTAATTATTTAAAGTTAATTGCTTGGGAGACTATAGTTTGAACATTCATTCTGAGATCCATTTCAAAACGTAGTGTTTTTAAGAATGACGTGGCTCAAAATCTATACAGATACTTACTTACTTACTTAAACCTGTTACTCCTCGTGAAGGAGCATAGGCCGCTCACCAACATTCTCCACCCAACTTTGTCCTGGGCAATCCTTTCCACCTTCCAGTTGTTATTCATCTTTTCCATATGCTTCTATTTCCAACGTCATGTGTCTTTGGCCTTCCTCTTTCCCATTTCCCTTCAGGATTCAAGTTAGGGCTTACGTGGTAATGCAGTTTGATGATTTTGTAATGTATGTCCTATCCTTTCCATCGTCTTTTCCTAATTTCTTCAGCTGGAAGTGGTTTGTTCTCTCCACAAAAGGCTGTTGCTGATGGTATCTGGCCAATGGCCATCAATCTTTTTACTTCTCTAAATCTGAAGTTTCAGTATTCCTTCAAACACTACTGAAATTATACACAAAATACTAGATAATTGTGGCAAATCGATTAAAGAAGTAATGAGTCTTCATTTATTGAGATGGTTGGGATAGGGCATGTATTACCTATGTCCACCTACCGACTTCCTCGAAGTTCCATGATAGTTGATGTAGGTGTAAGTTGGAAGAAAGCTAGGTTCAACCGAAATAATCAATAGTCCATGAAGACGCTGACTACTGAACTGAGCCTAAGGTAAAGTCCGTTTTATTATTGTAACCAAAGGTTAGAGACCTTGAATGACACAACTCAAAATCGTTCTCAATGGTGTAATTGTATTCATTTTTTGTTTTCCCTTAGATCCTAAATTTCTAAATTCTTCATTAATACTTTTTTTTATCGATTCATATCTTGGATGACTAATCTTTTCTATTACCATTAATTCTGTTACAATCTCTACTATTCTGGGATTTTCCCTGAGAATCTGATCTTACTGTGTTAATTGGCTATGGTGACTTAGACCGTCGTACACTTATTCCAGTACCAAAGAAGTACATTAACCTTGTAAAGGCTCTCTACTCGAACACAACTGGTCGAGTGAGAGCTTATGGCGAACTGTCATCAGAATTGATTACCTCAAGTGGTGTTCGTCAGGGCTGTCCACTCTCTCCATTCTTGTTCAACTTTGTCGTCGACGTACTTTTAGAGATAACACTTTCCTCGCCTAGATTTCCAGGGGTTGAACTTCTACGGGGAGGTTCACCTGTTGACTTCGAATATACTGATGACATAGTTCTGTTTGGTGAAGACACTGACAAAATGCAGAGTCTTCTGACCTCTATAAGCAACAATGCAAGCATGTTCGGGATGCGATTCTTCCCCTCGAAATGCAAAATGTTGCTTCAGGATTGGGTTGCATCGATACCCGAACTAATGATAGGGATTGAAGTAATTGAGCGTGGCGACCTCTTCACTTATCTCAGTAGTCTCATGAACCTTTGTAGTCTGGTGTGTGACGAAATCTCAGCACGGATACAGAAGGCTCGACTAGCTTTTGCCAACTTGCATCATTTATGGCGTAGGCGAGATATCCGTCTATCAACCAAAGGACGTGTTTACTGCGCAGCAGTTCGTTCCGTCCTACTTTATGGCAGTGAAACATGGCTGGTAAGAGTACTGGATATTCGTAGGTTACTAGTATTTGATCATAGGTGTCTTCGAAATATTGCTCGTATATCCTGGGACTATCGAGTAAGTAGCGCAGTTGTTAGGAAATGGGTACTAGGTAAGGATGGCAAATCTATTGATGAAGTAGTGAAACTTGATCAGTTGAGATGGCTGGGACACGTGTTACGTATGCCCAACGACCGACTGCCTCGACGTGCGATGTTCAGTGGTATAGGAGTAGGTTGGAAGAAAGCTAGGAGCGACCAGACTAAAACATGGCACAAATCCATAAAGTCACTGACAAGTGGACTGAGTCATGTTGGTAGGTGTAGACTACCTGGTTGGGGACCGCGAGATGATAGCAACTGATGGTTAGAGACCCTGAATGACATGGCTCAAAATCGTTTGCAATGGCGCAGGTGCATACATTCTTTGTATTCTCCCAAATTTTGATCTCCTTATTCCTCCTTGTCTCCTTTTTTCTCTTCGCAAATTTATTTCACCGTATTATACTCTTTAAATAACATCTCCAAACACAAATTTTCCTGAATACTGCTTATACTTTTACAACCTCTACCACTATGGGATTTGAATCGACCACTGCATCTCTGTGCTAATGTGGTGTGGCAACTCGAACTGATGTACGTACGTACGAAGTTCTACGTTGTTACTGACTGACTGACTGACACTTATTCCAGGTTCCACGTTGCGTTTGGCTAATTGACTAACTGACTGGATATTCCTTCATACAGAGTTTGGGCTTTCCTATTGTCATTGATAGTATTATAAGTTGAATTTCTTTCCTGTTTATTTTGTTAGTTTCATTTCATTGTGTTCATAGGGTACACGAACTTTTCTTGATGCCGATTTATTTCAAACTAACAGTGAGTAACAACATTAGGCGATGTATTTCATGGTAGTAGATAACCAATGTAGGTTCTTCAGTCTTTCAAAATTCTAGAATTCATATGATCATTGTTAGCTAATTCAATGACTTGGTCGAATGAATGAAGTTCGTGGAACATTTTTAATTTACATGATAGATATAAGACTAAATGTGAACTCATTAAGAAAATGTAGAATTACGTAGAACTTAGTGAGACTATAATTTATGGACAACCTTTGAGTGACTTTAAAGTGACCTGGCGAATGTCCACCTACTAACTAGAACCAAATGAGAATTATAAAGCAGTATGAGGAGTTAGAATTATGATTTACAGTTGGTTGTTAAGATTGAGAATTAGATTTAGAATTTTCATCATGAACTGACATCAGTTAAGATGCCAAAATGCTCTTTAATCAAATAGATGAGTGAATTTGGCGCCAAAACATAGCTGTTAAATGTTGTAATAGACCAACAGGATTGTGATTATCAGTATAGGGGTTGTGGAGACTATTAAGTTTTTGATTGACATCATGAACCGATTGATATTAGACCACCATTCAAAAGACGGAATCACTGGACGGCCGTTTCGTCCTATTGCGGGACTCCTCAACAGTGCGCATCCACGATCCCGCACCAAAGGGATTCAAACCCAGAACCTTCAGTTTCGCGCGCAACTGCTTAACCTCTAAACCACTGAGCTAACCGGCACCCAACGCGGGCTCGGACCCAGAGCCCTCAGTCTCGTGCGCGAACGCTCAAGCTACTGGAACACTGAGTCAGCATCCAATGGTGTTAGCGTCTAACCTCAACCAATCCACGAAATTGTGCGGTCATCTTCGATTGTACTGAGGTCGATACCTGTCTCCATCCAACACGGATTAGCTCCACCGGTCACAGCTTCTCACTAGAACTCCGAGAATTTCCTCACGAAGCTAGTCACTGGTGAGCACATGTTAATTATCAATATAGGGATTGTGGAGATTATTATAATCATTGATACAATCATTGAAATAATCTATGATATAACTGGTATTATATAATAATTCAATATTGAAAATTTTACATTCTATTGTTTTATTTATTCATTAGGTGAACCTGTACTCAAACAAATACATTTACTTGGAAAAGCTAATTTCTTTTTACAACCAACTGTTATTGTACCAACTACAGCATTATTTGCTATTATAATTGTTGTTGTCATTGCATTAATATTCTTTTGTCGTCATCGACGTTTAGAAGAAGATTTATGCCCAAATAAAAGTATCACTGTAACACATAATGATTTACGATCAAATCAAACAAATAATAATTTACAACATCAACAAACAACAAATACTGGTCATTCATATCATTCTTATCATGTTGGCAGTGGTGGTGGTGATCCACGACGTGTTCCTACTGCTGTTATTTCCACTAGTATTACTAATTGTGGTAAAGGAAGATCATCTTCGAATCATGGACATGATAATCTTCCACCGATTCCTTCTTCAGGACATCAACAACATGATACAAAATCTACTACAATTGTACCTGTTGGACGTCATAGAACTGGTTTAAAAAGGTCTTGTCGATATAATTATATTTCCGGTTACCTGTCTTCTTCAAATATATATTTATGGTTTATTTTTTCCACTGAGAAATGTTTATATATAACTACATTACCATAGTTAGTGAATGTTCACAACTTTCGATGAATCGACTTGTCATTTCTACTTCATACTTTACATTGGACTTCAGTATTAATTCTTTCCTAAGAGCTAACGAGTTAATTTCGATGAATGACACTGAAATAATTTAATTAAAAAATGTGTCATTAATCATTGAAGTTATTGACTGTCGATGTGTTTGAAGCATGGTTGATAGATTCAGACTATCACTTAGCCATGATTGATACTTTTATCATGGTTGGAGATATTCGGTTGTGTTCTGACTCATATTACCAATGATTTGCTCATTCTTTTACCTGTCTTATATCATCAGTATTAAAACAATGTTTATGGATCATAATACCTAAGTGTAATATACTCCTTTAGTATTGATATTGATAGTACTCTTACCAATGCAATATTCATAGTCCTGTACTAATGGTAGTGTGATGTCTTGAATAGATGTATATATTTCCCATCTACTTATGACTAACTAAATGTATGCTTAACAGTTCGATGATTTAAGCGGTAAACCACCGGAATGTTATAAATGTAACGTTATTTTATATTCAGTTGTATTTAAAACTGTTTACTTTGATTGAACACTCAGTCACCAGGATAGCTTGTTTTTACATTCATCTGTTTTTTTACTGTTTTGAGGGCTTACTACTTTAATGCATATATAAGTAACTTATTTCATTTCTGTAAATTAACTTGTCGTTTGATGAAGAAAAATCATTTTTATGTGATTTTTTCTCTTCTTCTTCTTCTTATTTATACGAATATTCGTCAAGATTAGAACGAATAGTTTGACAGTAATTGAGCGCCGAGTATAGAGAAGTCATTATATGTGAAAATTATATTTGAAATATTCTCAGCGATTGAAATTTAACTAATTCCAACGTTTCGTCCAGCTAACTTGTCTGGACTTCTTCAGGGTAATAATCAAAATCAAAATTATCAAAGAAATATATAGCTTTTAACAATCAGGATTATACTGTGTTAAACCAATCATATTTGGGTGTTGATTTTTTGTAAAATAGGATAAAATGAGTCAGTTGACTACAAATCATGTGATGAATTCAACTACATGGAAATACTTAACTGAGTAACAAATCGTATGTGTGTGAGTGTGTATGTATGTATGTATGTGTGAGAGATTGATATGAAAGAATAAATAAAGTTCAAGTTCAAGGATGAAAAACTTGATAATGAAAGATCGATGTGCATGTCAAAACATAAATTGTATTGTTTAGAAACTCATTCAGTTCTTTCAATAATAATAACGATGCATGTGATATTAAAAACAGGTTTAAACAAGAGATAGGTTCCAAATTTACTTGTCAAACGGGATTTGCCAGGTAGTTGCCATTTGAATACCATCTTTTCGGTTCAGGCTGTTCTTGTTCGCCCATATATGCAGAGCTTCTGCTGTCAATCTTTCTTTATGGGGGTTAAAACCTTTCTGAAGTATTTTGGTCCCTTCAAAATTAATCTTGTGTCCTGTTTCTAACGCATGTAACGCTATCGCTGACTTATTTTCAAGTTTCTTTAAATCTACCGAGGATTTTGGAACATTTTTCAAGCATTGTTTGTGTTCCTTCAATCTTACATTTAATTGCCTGGATGTTTCTCCAACATAGGTAGCATTACAGTCATGACAGTGAATCTCATACACAATGTTCTGTTGTTCTTCCTTTGCTAACTTGTCCTTAACTTTCACCAATGTCGATCTTAATGTGTTATTTGCTCTAAAATACACTCTTATATCATGTTTGTTTAGAATCCGTTTGATTTCTTCTGATGTTTCACTCCGGTAAGGTATGACTACGGTGTACTTCCATTCTTTTCGTATACTTTCTAGTTTAGTTTTTCTTTCATTTTTAATAATCTTTTTAAAAACCTTTTTGGGTGGTTGTTATCCCTAAGAGTAGAAAATACTTTATTTAATTCGGTTCGTTGGTCTTCCTTGTCTGTAACGATCTTAGTACTTCTGTTCATTAAATTTTTCACTACATTAATATTCGTGCTCTGTGAATGGGCTGAATTAAAATCCAAGTATCTCTCGGAATGTGTTGATTTTCTGTAAACATTTATTTTTAACTTCTTATTATTGTGTCGACGTTCAACCAGACAATCTAGAAATGCTAGTTTGTGGTCAACTGATTCTAATTCCTTAGTTAGTTTAATGTTTTCAGAAATGCTGTTTGCATTGTTAAATAGTTCTTCCATACCATCTCGTTTATTGATAATAAAAATATCGTCTACATACCTTAACCATAACTTTGGTGGACATAAACTCTTTGCGATTGCACTAGTTTCTAGGGAATGCATGAATAAATTCGCTACAATCGAAGAAACTGGTGAGCCCATTGCTATACCCTCTTTCTGTCTGTAAAGTTGACCTCGAAATATGAATAAGGTAGATCTTAAACATAATTCTAAGCATTTTATAACCGCCGATGTATCTAATGGGCATCGTAAATTCAAACCTAAGTCAGATTCTAAACAATCATTGATAATATCCATAGCTCGACTGATAGGTACATTAGTGAATAAGGAAGATATATCAAAACTTGCCATTATTTCGTCTTCTTCTATATCGATGGTATCAATTAAATTCTTGAATTCCATAGAGTTTTTAATTCCATGATTAATCCGCTTTTCATATGGTTTGAGAATCTTAGCTAAATATTTAGCTAGATTGTAGGTCGGTGAATTTGTATAGTCTACCACTGGTCTTAGTGGTGTATTATTCTTGTGGATCTTTGGTAGTCCATAAAATCTGCATGGATTACAACTCTTTGGATATAACATAAACCATAAGGACGATCCTAGCTTAGCTTTTAATGACTGTAAGAGTTTGCTAGTTTGCGCCTTGAGTTTATTAAGAGTTGTTCTACTTTTCGCTTCTTTGATTTGTTCATATGGACCCTCTTGTAGATGTTCTTTGGCTTTGTTCTCATACTCTGTTTTATTCATAATAACTGTAGTATTACCTTTATCTGCTCTCGTTATTATGATCGTTTTGTCCTCTCTCAGCTGTTTTAATGCGTAATATTCATTTTTATTTATGTTAGGGTTGTGAGGTTTCTGATGTAATAATGTGTTCATTATTTTATTCCTCAGTTCATTCGCTGTATCATTCGGGAGTATATTCAGCGCTGGTTCTACTGTTGGTATAACATTGAAAGGTGTTAATTTATGTCTATTTATATTGAAGTTGAGACCCTTTTTGAGTAATGATATTTCATGTGGGTTGAGAGGTCTATCCGATAAATTAACAATTCTTCGATAATTTTGATTTTGATTATTACCCTGAAGAAGTTCAGACAAGTCAGCTGGACGAAACGTTGGAATGAGTTAAATTTCAATCGCTGAGAATATTTCACATATAATTTTCACATATTATTATTATTATTTATTAATCCGATCTAATGTAGCTGGCTCAATGGTACACGAATGCGTCTCTATGATCGTGGACATCCAGTCAAGCCTTCAGAACAATCTGTACATGTTGGTTCGTCTCAAGTGAATAATCATATTACTGGTGATGAAGATGAACGTTTATCCACTAATTCAGTTGATAGTGAAGGTACTATTTCAATGACAACAACAGTTTATTTTTCAACTTTCAATTTATTTGGTCAAGATGATTTAATGAATGATGGAATACTGAATCACAAGTTAAATAGTTATTAAAGAATATAATGCTGTTATCTGTATAGGAGTTTGTGGAATTTTCACAGTTTAAATCATAAATTGATCTTGGTTAGAACTTTAATAAAAATCATGAAACACTGGAAATTTGTTTCATCCTAGTATGGGAATCTTTGGTAATGTGTGCCTACACAGAGCCTTCCATCTCGCGTGTGAACTCTTTATCTCTAGACCAATGAACCGGTATCCACCTCAGGGAATGGAAGTTGGTCGGTTAGTATCGTGATTTGAAGTAAGACATGTACATTACTGCATACTGGATAAGGAATCCCATAATAGAAAAAAATACCTATCCAGTGATTGTTGTTTTTCAATGATGGTCTAGTTAGAATCAGTCCTTGGTTTAAACCATGAAAAATATAACGTTACCTTAGTACTAGTTTGTGTTAACATCTGAACACTACAATGATATGGAGTGAAATGTATTGACCACTTCATCTATCTAGGAAGTTTCATTATCCATGGTGGGTTTATATTTGACGAAATCTTGGGTTGTATTGGAAAATCTCAATTGGTGTTCGGAAATTTGCGCCACTTGTGGAGTAGGCGAGATGTATACCTGTCATCCAAAAGAAAAGTATAATACACAATAATTCACTCTGTTATATGCTTTGTAACTATGATATATGGTCTTTAAAGTAGACGATAGGTAGAGGCTTTAGGGTTTTGATTATATGTGTTTTCGAAATATTGTTCTCATTTCGTTAGAAAATCGAGTATCTGGTGTTGGGTTTAGACAAATGTTAGTACTAGGAGAAGATGGCAAGCTGGTTAGTGAAGTCGTATTTCAGCGATATTTATCTGTTTGACATAATGTGTAATTTAGTTAACCGAATATATAGTACAAACACATTATTACGTGAGCAAACTTGTTATTGCTAATTAGAAATTAGGAGTTTCCAAACACACAATTGATGTACTTACTAATAGGGAATAGCTTGTATACGGACTTAGTGCTAGTTCTAGTTAATGAACCGTGTCTCATCAGTATGAGGACCTAGGCTCTTTAAGTGTCATAATGAACACTTTCTTGGTTCAATGTCGGATAAAGTGCTAGTCTCGTACTCCTCAGAACTTAACTACTTGAATCAGACGCCTGCGAACCACTTTTTTAAAATACTTATCGAGACAAAAAATGAATTCAATTTGTAATGTAAAGTATATTCCAATTGAACAATTTCCACAAACATTCCCTACTATTAGTGTAAAATCGTTGAAGTATTGGGTGTGGCTACAATTGAATCAGGTAATTCAATAAAATGAACAATGAAAGATTCATAGCCCCCAAATGCCCTGGTACGGTCAAAGGTGAGGAAAGACAGCTCTCTCTCTCTCTCTCTCTCTCTCTCTCTCTCTCTCTCTCTCGAGATGCTATCACATGACCACGCGTGTACAGTCACTGAAAGGGAAGTCCTACTCAATAACGTCAGGCGGACAGACAGTTATTTACGAAATTGAGAAGACAAAAAGAGAATGTCTGGCGCTTTAAGCGGGTTGCTGGATATGGACGATCTACCTAGGGGATTTGGAAAGCCCTCATTCCAAACCAATGGTGTACATGGGCTCGGGGATCCTGAAGGAGGAAATGGCATATGAACCATTCGTTGGTCACCGGCTACCATGGGGTCGCATCTCCTTACAATGCTCCACTTCCTTGTAGATCAGACTTTTAGGTCGAAGGCTCCGGGTGTGGCCCTCTAAGAAAACCACCTACTTTGGTCTGGGCACCCGGGCAGTATCACAGCCCTCACACATATCAAATGAGATCTGTGTGGCGCATATATATATATCTAGTGCCTCCTTGTACCAATATCTATGTGTTCAAATAAATAATAAAATAAATAAAAATCATAGGTAGTACATTCACCCCATAAAATTTACCTGATGAAATTATTTTTGTATACAATATCAAAACTTAGGTAATATCAATCCGTATGCAACGTATGCAGCAACCGGTTTCGGTGATCGAACAGATACAGTAGGTACAAGTGCCAATCTAACTGGACCTGATGTTCCTGGTAGTGGCGGTATCAAATCTTCAGTAGTTTCCGGTTCAGTAATAGATAAAAATATGATCGGACCAAGAGGTGTACGATCAACACGAGATTTAAACATAAATCATGGAAATCACAATGTGAATATATCAAAATCATCTTGGAATACCGTATTCAGACGTGGTGAGTTTAGTTTTCCACTTTAGTTTAACTTTGTGCTTTAATGAGTGTTCCTGTGATTGGACAGTTGTCTGCCTGATGACGATTAGAGTGTTGACTTAAAGATGATTAGAAATTTCAGCAAATAAACAGTATAAGTAGTTTGTATGGAGAAAGAAACAGTTCCAAGATAACTTTGGAAATATATTTCGAATCAGATTATGAGTTGAACTAAATAAGAAATGATTACTAGTCAAATAAGGCTACACATTCAGTGGGATTTAAATGAATGATCACTTTATTACTGATATTAGTTGAAAAGTTAAGCGGCACTAGATAAGTAGTTGTTTTTTCTTAGTATAAGACTCTTCAACCAGTGAAGTTTAATCTTTTTTCGATTCAATAAATTTTACCTTGCTTAAAATGGTCTACATGACATGGGAACTTCGAAATTTGTTTTCATAGTATGCAATGGAACCGATCAATGTACCGTCTTGAAGTGAGTATAGACTTACTGTCGATTTTTATCGACCATCTAATATCCAAATAAAGTACACAGTGAATGTAATCGATAACATTTTAACAGCATTGAAGATTAGATAACTACTCATTGACCTATGAGTAATGAAGGCATCTAACCTCTACATAGTGGGTTGATCATAGCCGTAATAACTCGCTAGAAATTTTTCTGACTATAGTAAACTAGGTAAAATGTATTTCGATCTTTGAAGGATAATTAAATTTGTTGACAAGTAATCCAGTTGGCTCGAAATGCTGGTCTCTGACTTTCAATACCGTTCAAGTGTATAAGATTCAAATTAAACGTTTATACATAGTTCAGCTTTCTTTCTATCCTGTAATGTTTTTGATTTTTCAATGTTTCTCATAAAAAACATCATTCTAGGTCTTTCAATTCCTTCAAACCCAGACTCTATGATCACTACTATGTCTGGACATCATTATCATTATCCAAATTTAGATTCATCGATTGGTAATTCTACACTTGGTCGTCCTCATCTTATTCGTGTCGGTTCTAGTGGTCGATTAAGGTTAGCTCAGCATATGATTGATCCACGATTAGTTCCACCATCGACGGCTGCTCTAATTGATCCAATGATGCTTGGACCATATGATAATGGTACACTGGAAGGTAATGATTCAGAAAATACAGTTGATGAATTTGTTGCAAGAGGATCAGTGTTAGGTCCTCTAAGAAATGGAATAATACGACGAATTAATTCATTTGAGTCTTTACATCAATTACCAAGAGGACGTAAGTGTATATTGCTTATTACGAAATTTTTTGTACCATTTTTTAAAAGATATCGTTTTTCTTTCTCAGTAGATTTCTTCTTGTAATAAGATCTGAATGAGAAAGCTTAATGGACTAGATGGATGATTGCTCGTGAAATGGGAACAGTCAGTAGTTGATGCTGAAATATACATATATATATGACGGGGAGTTCGATCGGTGAGCAGAAAGACTTAAGTAGTAAACTGGGAGTCCGAGTGTAGATTTATACCGCCAATTATACAGATGTATGATGATAATAACGCGTGTCCGTCAGGTAACCGGTATCTGTCGGAATACTTTGTCTTCCCAACTGGAGAATAAGGTTGCACAATGTCGGCCCTAAAAGTAGCACAATCCAGATTGCCCCATGGATTTACGTCGATAGTGGTACAGGGTCTGAAGCAGAGAGCTAAAACATCTACAAATATTCATAAAACGGCTTTATGCAACCGGTCTCGGATTGCTATTTATCCGTTGAGCTCTGGAGCCACGATTTCAGGTTGAAAAAAACACACCCTTAACCCAGTTTAATTCTCAGGTCCTACAGACAGAAATACCCTTCCACTATGTTGGAAACTGGGAAGTAGATACCGGTTTAATACTTCTAATAGCACTCATCTTGTGATATAGCATGGCTCCTCAACGGTCTAAGCACTCGACTTTCAACCACTGAGCCATAAGTTTAAACCATGCTTTACTTAATTGTTCTTGAGAAGCTGAATAATGTCTCTGTCTCTCAAAAAATTCCAAGCACATACATACGTAGTTGGCTACTGAGTTGTATTGGTTACCTGAAAGGCATTGGTTAGAATTAAGGTGTATCTCACTTTTTCTCTAATTACAATCAACACTCTTAGGCATTTCACAAACTGTTTGGTCTCCGCCTATGCTCCGACAGATTGCACCCCGGACGCGATCAAGGATCAGTTTTATCACCAGTTAACAGTTCTACAGAAAGTGCGTTTGACAGATATTGTAGTAATAACCGGAGACGTGAATGCTCAGGTCGAGCGTCTAGACACAGAAGAAAGTCGTGCAGGTAGCCGATAGGCACTTGTTGGTCGCAGGTCAGATAATGGTGACAGTTTACTGCAACTGTGCGCAGACTACCACCTGTTTCTGGCTAGTAATTACTACTGATACAGTCATCGAGGATGCGCTACCTCGTATCCTCTCTCTGCATCTCAAATCTGAATTCAGATTGATCACATAGTGATCAGCTACCGCTGTCATGGTTATGTACAGGACTGCCACCCCTTTTGGAGTACCTATCTGGACTCTGATCATGCCCTTGTTTGCGCTAATCTTACCTTACGTTTCAGTAGTCAACAAATTCATCATTCCGAACGGATCGATATCAGCGAATTGGTTACAGCTTCTGTTGCAACTAAATGTCGAACCGAGCTAGGTTCAAGGCTAGCTACCATCCCACCGATAAGTATAGGTGAGTATTGGTTGCGACTGCATGACGCCATGAAAATGTTGATTAAAATCGCTTGCGACTTCAAGAAACGTTCCGCTTACAAGCAGTGGGCTTTTACAGGCTCCTTACAACTTATTGGAACCCGTCGGTCTACTTCGGGTGACTGCGAGTCTGACCATAAACGACGACTTTTACGTAATGAAATTGTTTAAAGCTTGCGAAGGCGCAGAGGAGCTTGGCAGTCGGTGCGTGTAAATGAGTTGCAAGCGGCTGCTGCACCTGGTAACTACCGGAAGCTTTTTCAACTCATTCAAGTCACTGGTAGCAAGAAGTCTGGTATGAGTGGAACAATCTGTGAAACTGACGGGATGCCAATCACTAAAATCTATCGACGTCTTGGACGATGGGGAGAGTTTTTCGAGGTGCAGTCAACTGGTCTGCTGCCCCGACGACATCTACCAGACCGTCCTTTCTTACATGACCCATGATGACTGTTCCACCTAAAGAGGCGGAAGTCTCCAAGGAACTCCAACTCCTTAAGCGCCTCAAATCACCAAATGACTTACCTCCGTATTTCTTAAAGATGGTGGCGACTTTCTCGTTAAGGAACTGAATTGGGCCTTTCACAAAGTTCTGAGAATTAGACAGTGTTCCAACATCATGGAATGATTCGATAGTTACTCCTATCTATAGAGGGGGCTCACGTTGTTTCTGCAAGAATCCAATAAAATGAAGTGAATTCATGTTATTTTCCTTAAATCTCTGTTCTCATTTACTTTAATTTGATAAATGGGGATTATATGTAAGTTGATTATGAATGCAATGGTCTTGAGTGCTGTTAGAGGTATGAGGGCGGTTATCACTTACCGTTGCCCACACCATGGAAGGGTTCTTTTGGAGGTGCTTGAAAAGGAAATCGGATTGGAGATGGTCTTAGTGACGTGAGAGCGTGACCGCAGTGCCCCAAATGCCCTGGTACGTCCGAGAGTGGGGAGAGTCCGCTCTTTCTCTCGAAATGCTCTCATAAGGCCACGTGTATATAGCCTCTGCCAGGGAAGCCCTACTCACTGCCTTCTCGCACCACAGGTGTTGTTTACAAAAATGAAAGGACGAAAAGAGAATGTTCGGCGCTTTAACCGGATTCCAAACCAATGGTGCACATGGGCTCCAGTATCCTGCGGGAACAAGTGGCGTATGAACCAATTGTTGGTCACCGGCCTCCATGGGACTGCATCTCCTTACGATACTCTACTGCCTTGTGGATCATACCTTCAGGTCAAAGGCTCGGGGAGTGGCCCCCTAAAAAACCACCTGCTTCGGTCTGGATCTAGGCATCTGGGCAGTATCACAGCCCTCACACATATGGAATGAGATTTGTTTGGCGCATATGTATTTGGTGCCTCCTTTTACCAATATCTATGTGTTAAAATAAAATAAGGGACAACTGCTTGAGGTCAGTTACACATGACCTTTTTATGGGTAATTTGTGTGTTAGCTCCGTACTTGTTGAAACCTTACCGCCGGAGACGGATATCCGTGGGATAAGGCGAGGTGTGCATTTTTAGGGTCGACCTTTTCTAACCCCACCTCTTCTTGTGGGAAGGCAGCATCGCTGTCATGCTGGTTGTCTGAAGGAAACACCTTACTGCTGTCACACCTCTGTACAGTCAGCAGTACGACTTCGCCTTCGAACCTTGGGTTTGTTGCTTTTAGTCTTACCACTCTTCAACCGACCTGTCTGACATGGTAGGACCTTGAGGAACGGTTGTTCCAGCCAGTATAGCTCGACTGGTTCATCACGATAGGCAAGCCCGACCACCACGTCAAGGTAGCAACAACGGTCGGGATCGTTCCATTCATGTAGTGGGGTTAGACATGTTTGTCTAATCTCACCATTCCTCTTCAACTTTGCTATCGATGACGTTCTGAAAGCAGCCTTGATGGATGTAGGTAATGGTGATGTGAATTTGTTGCATAGAGAAAGACTTTCAACCTTGAGTATGCGGATGTCATTGTCTTACTGTGAGATAGTACTCAATCCATGCAATCCGCACTTAATCAGTTAGTAATTAGTTTACCTAGGTATGGTATGTGCTTTGCACCTTCGAAGTGCAAATTAATTTTACAAGACTGGCAGAACCCTGATTCTGCAGTTACTCTAGGTAGTGAGCAGATAGAGGTAGTCGAGAAGTTCGTGCGCAAGTGTCGATAATGACGTGAGCAATGAGACCAATCCACGTATAATGTAAGCCAGAGTGGCTTATGCCAATCTGGGCCATGTTTGGTGCCTTAGTGATGTTAGTATGACTGTAGAAGGTCGGATCTACAACGCGTTGATGAGAGCATATTTGCTCTATGCTTGTGAAACCTGTCCTCGGAGTTGGGGATATTAGACGGCTCTCTGTGTTTAATCATCGTTGTCTGTGAAAGGTCGCTGACATCCATTGGCAACACCATGCTAGTGATTCAGAGGTCTGGCATCGTTTGTTCTGTCACAGCGATGATAATTCAGTTGGAGTCACCATCTTGAAACATCGACTTCGGTGGCTTGTAAATGTCTTACGGATGCCGTCGGAGAGAATTCCACGTAACTTTCTTCTACTTCCTTCATGGAAATGAACGTAACTTCTTTAACTTAAAGAATTCTTTCTGGTTGTATTATTAGTATTTCACTTTCATACACTAATTTCTGTTCATTTTGGTTCTTTTTTTATTATATGCACTTTATATTCTCTATCTCTTCATAGTCTCATTATTATTGTGTGGCGCATGTGTGTTTGTTAATCTCTTGTACCAATGTTTGTGCATTCAAATGAATAAATAAGATACCTGGATAGATAACTACCCTTCTAATCTTCTGTTTAACACTTATAGTCATTATGTCATCAATGTTTAGTGACTGTTTATAGCTCTTAGATCACATTGTTGATAGACCTTAATAATCCAATGTAGGAAGTAAATGAAAATAGTTACAATTTTTCAATTTCATTCCACTTTATGTCACCCTTTGTTAGGTCTTGAGGATCTTTTACATATGAAAAGATTAAATAAGACAAACTGTTTTTGTTTTGAAGTTAAATTATACTATCTGAAATTATCTCTTCTCCTTTATGTTTATTTCATTGAAGGTTCACGAACTTATCATCAAGGTTTTGCAGCTTGTATACCAAGTGGACGAACTTTACCATCAATGGGAATTAATGTATCAGGGTCTGTTGTTGGCCCAAATGCTTCAGTTTCATTCTATGAATCTGGTGGTACCAGTGGTATTCAACCATCTGATCCATCTGTAGCATATCGTGGAAGTGTACTATCAAGTACAACAGTCTCGTCAAATCATGAAGAATTGATGCAAGCTTATGAATATGGTAGAAAGCATCAATTAAAATCATGTCTTACTTTACCGTCAAATACTGTTATACCACCTCATCTTGTACCATCTGGTAATCTTGGTACACATTTAATTCCTACACATATAGGTATGGGTCTTGATAATTCTCATCATCATCGTCATCGCCAACATCATCATCCTTCAACTGGTGCTATTGTTGTGCCTCATTCAACATTAACTGGAGTTACTGTTGGTGGAATCGGAGAAGGAGAAATCAGTGGAGAATCGGCATCGAGTGATGCAACTGATTCAGGTATTCGACAATTTACTCAACAACCACCTCAACCGGATGAAGCAAGACATGCTACATGTGAAATTCCATTTGTTTACGATGGTAAGTTTATTTTACTTACTTACACTTGTTTCCCTTTGTAAAGCATAGGCTTCTGACCATGATTCTTCAAACAATCCGGTTCTAGACTCTCCTTTCTAACTATTGTCGAATGCTATTCATTCTTTCAATGTCTACTCTCTTCATTTATCCTATCTTTGAACCTACAATAACTCTAGAAGGGTTCTCGGTGGAGTTAAGTTTAGTGTTCACAGTTATATGATATACCCTTGTGGGCTAGGGTAATTTTACATTGGTTTTCAGAAGAACCAGACACCATCCGGACTTTCACGTACAACTCAACCCCGTTTAGCAGGGGACCCAGACACCGTATAGGCTTTAACGTTACAATCTGAATAGTACAGCTCAATCCTGTGGCGCAACCACACAGGTACCAAGCACCCTGGTGGACCAAAGTTTAATGTACATAGTACAAAATCAATGACTTACTATAATGCTTCAGTTCACTTAATTTACGAAAAAGCATATTAGAAGATACTTGATTTGTTCATTAAATACTCAAACTTGGTTTATAAGTAGTTTATTGTACAAATAAAAGGGACATATCAATCTTATCCTCAATCAAAATACTTACTAATTTTTGCTATGGCAACACATTTATTCCGTGTTTGTTTTTGTTTTTCCGAACTATACATAGAAACTCATTAGGATTAAGCCTGTTAACTGTTTCAATGTTACTTTATGTTTAATTGTTCCAAATTTCAAAGAAATAACAAGGATCACAGAGGCACTTTCATACTAGAACGAAACAGCCGTCCAGTACTTCCAGGTTTTCCATGGTGGTCTAGCTTTAGTTGGCTCATGAATTCAACTGTTAAATTATTGTAATATTCACAAAATCCCTCTCTGTTTATAATCATTATATACTCACTAGTGACGGTCTCCAAGATGTATTTCCTGGAGTCCTAATGAGAAGCCGTGACCAGTGAAGTTCAACCGGGTCTGTTGTGAGATAGTAACTCATTGATGACAATGGTGGACGGTGGCGCAACTTCGTGGATTAGTTGAAGTTAGACATTAACATCATTGGATGCCGGCTTAGTGGTCTTGTGGTTAAACGCTCGCGCGTGAGACTGATAGGTCCTGGTTTGGAATCTCGAGAGGGGAGGATCATGGGTGCGCAGTGCTGAGGAGTCCCATACTAGGACGAGACGGCCGTTCAATGGTTACAGGTTTTCCATGATGGTCTCGGTTTAATTGTCTTGTGAATTCAACAACAAAAATAAACCGTATTAATAGTTTAATTTGTGTTACCATATTTCATCCTCATATAATGTTATACTTATCTCATTCCCAATATTGTTAAACTCTATCAATCATGGCTTCTTGCTAGAATTTCCACCTAAAGATTCTCAATTCGATCCTTGATGATGTTATGAGTGTATACTGATAGAAGGTTTCATACTGGGATAATAATACAGCTAGTTTTCAATAGTCTTATAAGTAACATTAGTTCATAATGGTAAAGAATCTTTTCTATATGTTACATCTTTCAATAACTCCATAGACTGTTACTGTGATTCACAATCTCAAATTAACTATGTTGTTGTTGTCATTTGTAGAAATATGAAAGTTGTATGTTATAGACTAGTAAAATTAGCATAATATTGAAACATGATACTCTGTAAATGAAAAATATTACTAAAACTACATATGAGTTATTAAATAGGGTTTACTCTGTCTATGAAAGTATCCTTTCGTTTTCAAATTCAAGTTGACTTTTTCTATGATGGATTAAATATCATGTGACGAAATCGTCAATCAGAATACCGATTTCTATGACTTTGTCCTTGTGCTATACCAATTACATGTCAACCAGTACTAATATCTTTGAGTCAAGCCGGAATCCTTATTGATCCTTCTTGTCTAGTTCTTCCCCTTGAATCAAGGACACAATCTTAGCCATCATTGTATAAATGAACCCAAGATGATACTAATGTAAAGATAGTAAATAGGTTGATAATAATATGAATCTTCAACCCCTGAAGTTGCCGAAGTATATGTTACATATATCCAATCACTGTCTGCCTCGACGCCCAACATTCATGGAGAAAATATGCGATTAAAGGGAACTAAGGCAGAATAAAGAGGTCAGTCATATGATATATATAATTGTGCTGCGTTGGAATTGAACTCGTTAGAAAGGATTCTCCAGATGAATCTATTGTTTTTATAATTTAATGCCCAGATTATATAAAATAGAAAGATATCTCTACATATGTTTTTTTGTATAGTGAATCAATTGACTTCTCGACGTATGGTTCCTATCGTTGGTGGTGGTACATCAATACATCGTGGAAATGATACTTCTTTATTTGGTCATTCACGTACAAAATCTAATAGTAATCGTTTACAACAATCAAGATTTGTAAGATGTAATTCTGATTGTCCATCAGATATGACAGATACATATGCTACAGTAGATTATAATGGTATTACTAGTAGTAATGTTATACCTCCACCTTATAATTTATCATCAACACAACAAAATTCAATTCGAATTAATCAATTAACAACAACTGGAGTTAGTGGAATTCAAAAAAACTTGTATGAACAAAAAATGGAAAGTAATATTATACCTCGATCTTATCAACCACTTCCTGCACCACCATTATCTACAATTGCATAGTAAGATATATATGTTTTGTTTTGTTCTATGAACTTTTAGATCAATCGAAATTAACAGTTTATATGTATATATATATATCGGATTAAGCGGAATGTAGCTAGTAGTGGAGTCCAGGACTCCACGTCGTTTCTTGCCATTTTTGAGGCTCGCCAGCTGGATATACTTGCCACATCACCGAGTGAATTGACTGTTCGTTCTAAGGCTCGAACCCAGTAACTTTAATCATAAGCTTTAAAGTGTTATTCACTTAATTTCACATATATATACATCAGACACTAATCCACAAACTAGATTTATAGCTCACTACAACTATTTCTATTTGATTAACTTTAAAATTCCTAGCAACATACTTCATTGGTTAAACGTTGACTAATAGATTGTTATAACTTGTGACCTGTGTGCCTTGTCAATGTATACGTAATGATACCACCAATTAGAGAACAGTGAATTATCAACCGGATCAATGACGTATCAAACCTGTACGAGCAGTGTAGAGTACTTATCGGTTCTGCTTCTTGCCTAGCCCTGCCTACCTGTTGAGTCGAGAACACCAATCTCAGTCTCTGTAATATGAAGGGAGATAGTAATTGATAAACAGGGCATAATTTAAAAATGGTAAACCGTATAATAACAATTCATAGCTCGGAATTTGGGAGAAGAGAATGAATGGATGCACCTGTGCCATTCTAAACGATTTTGAGATATTTCATTCGAATTCTCTTACCATTGGTTACAATAATCACGGTGATCTCAACCAGTTAATCTGCACTTATTAAAACGGTTCAGTTCAGTCATCGATAACTTAATGAACTCATATCATGGTTTGGTTTGTCTGATGCTAGCTTTCTTCCAACTTACTCTTACACCAGATAACATCGTCCATCGATGAAGGTGATCGTTAGGTATTCTCTGGACTCTCTACCCCTTTTCAGTCAGAAGTATACACCCACGATCCTACAGACCATCGAAGCTAAGATCTTCAGATCATATTGAAATCATAATATCTTTAAGTTGTTCAGTTGAAATCTTCCCTATGGTTTACATTCTGAATGTCAGTTGATTTGTGATATAAACCACAATCATTATCATCAACATTATCATTCATATTGTTGAAAAGAATTAAATCAGGGCAATACCCTTACTCAATGATTCCTCATTTTCAATAATCTCTCATGAAATTTCTCTCTCAATCTCCTTAAATTAGTTTTCACTCTTCCCTCTCATTTTCTTCACTTTCAATTATTTCAGTTGTGACACAGACGATCCATCGACAGCTTACGGTCCAATCACCACTACAACATATGATGATGAATCTGATCAATGTCAGCCAACTTCTTATTATTATCATCATCATCACCATCATCATCCTCATCATCCATCATCATCTGGAATTAATATTATGCCAAATTTCAATAGTAGTAGTAATAAGAAATTGATCAGTGGATTCAATAATCCATTACCTCATCAAATAGTTGGATCAGATTCTAATCAAATGAGACGAAGAGTTTTACCAATTAATTTACCTACAAATACACGAGGTAAATTGTTTTAAGCATTTTGATTTTCAATTAGTAAGAATAAAAGATTGTAATTAAGGTTGGTATGTGTGTGCGTGTGTTTTCTACGAATAATGATTGGGTAGAATAGGGAGGGATTGGTTTACAAGGGGTAATTTAGCATAGTTGTTCTAATCTTCTATTCAGATTGAAAGTTTCACAATTTGAAAGTTATTAGTCTTATGGATCGTGGATGCGCACTGCTGAGGAGTCTCACTATAGGACGAGACGGTCTTCTAATGCTTACAGGTTTTCCATGCTGGTCTAACTTAAATAGACTCGTGAATTCAACTTTTTAATATGCCCTAACCTAAGTTATCAGATGTTATATCAATAGTTGAGATCATGAGTCAATTGAAGCTAGACCACCATAGAAAACCTGGCAGCACTGGACGGCCGTTTTTTCCTATCGTCGGACTCCTCAGCAGTGCGCATCCACGGTCCTGCCCCCCCTGGTAAGATTCGAACCCAAGACCTATCAGTCTCGCGCCAGGCGCTTAGCCAACTGTATCATTACAATGATGGAGGTAGTTAACAAGATTAAGAAAATAGAATAAGGAATGATATCAACAGCAATTAAAATCTGAACAGAGAACATTTAGTTTATGAACTCTAAGGATACAAATTTAGGAATGATACTTAAATAAAGTTTGTGAGAAGGCATAGACAATAAGTGTATAGAAGTACTCTATTGTGATCAATTTTGAACCTTTTCTCAGCATCTGCTATTGGTTATGAGTATTGAGTTTACTATAACAAGTAAGTCTACATCATCTGACATGGTCAATACCAGTTGACAATGATTTCATGAAATGTTTCGATATATTGATTGATTTGTCTATTCATAGCTATTTTCCAAGTAACCCTTATGTTGGTTAGCATTGAATGTTGCTGTGCACAAATTCAGTGTAATTGATTATTATTATGATAATAAAAGAGACCAGTTTACCTACTAAGTAGTTACTTTGTCCACTATCTACATTTTTGTTCGATTTCATCATAGAAATACTGATGAAAATAACGTTCTCGTTGACTGAACTCTCGGGCATTGATTTGCCACCGGAAGGTCCACTTATCGACTTAGAATACGCAGATGGTTAAGACGCTGATAAAATGCAGAGTCTTGGTAGTGCTGAGCAACAATGCCAGAATGGTTGGAATGCGCTTCTCTCTCTCTCTCTCTAAATGCAAGTTATTGCTCCAGGACTGGCCTGTGTCAACACCTGAACTAAAGATAGGGAGTGAAGTAGTCGAACGCGTTGAACACTTCACTTATCTTGGAAGTCTAATCAGCCCTAATGGGTTGGTGTTTGGTGAAACTTGTGCACGGATTCGGAAAGCTCGTTTGACTTTTGCCAACTAACGTCATCTATAGCGGAGGCAAGATATCCATCTTTAAATTTAGGGACGAGTATACTGTGCAGCAGTTCGTTCTGCTCTACTTTACGGATGCGAAATGTGACTATTAAGAGCAGAAGATATTCTTAGGTTGCTAGTATTTGACTACAGATGCCTAAGAAATATTGCTCACGTTTGCTGGGATCACCGGGTAAACAATAGTGAGGTTAGACACAGTGTTAGGGAATGATGATGGTAGATCAGTTGATGAGGTTGTGAATCTTTATCGACTGAGATGGTTGGGCCATGTGTTACGTATACCTGAACACCGATTACCACGACGTGCAATGCTAACTGGTGTTGGAGGTGATTGGAAGAAGGTCAGGGGTGGCCAAACCAAAATGTGGCATCAGTGCTTGAAGTCACTGACTTCTAATCTGAGCCATGTCGGTAGATGTAGACTACTTAGTTGGGTTCCGCGTGACTATCGTAATCAATGGTTGGAGACTGTGGGTGACATGGTTCACAATCGATCACAATGGCGTCGGTGTATACACTCTCTGTCTTCCTTTAAACTATGAGATTAAATCGCTTCATATCTTTCTTTCTATGTACTGATTCTTTCTTCCTGTATTATATTTTTATATGCAATCTTTCTTTTATATATTACCACCATTGAATTAGCTACTTCCATGAATTCGGTGTCCATCTTGTTGTGCTAATGCGGTATGTCAACTTGAACCGATGCATTTATGTGCCTGGTCTTACGTTGTAGCTGACTGACTGAATGAATGAATGAATGAAATTGCTATTTCAATGAAGAAAAAAACAATTTAAAGACCTTAAGTCGAATATGATGAACACCAAAGCATATCTCTGATTGGTTATTACTACATTTTACCAAACAGTTGAAAAATTGAGATATCTTCACAATAGGATTACATTCATATACTGATACACATGCATCCACACAGATAATTATCCCAATCATTGTTGTGGACGTTGGATCCCCAGAACTCTGGATCATTTTAATCAATGATTACAAATTTTCCTTAAATTATGAAATTTAAAATGTTCACAGTTGAAATCACGAATGTCATCTAAGCCAGATCATCATGGAAAACCTGGTTGCCACTAGGACTTCTCTAAATTCACTCTTTCATACTATATATACATAATGCTTTCTATTTCAAATCTGAATTCACCTGACAACATTAAAAACTTGGATCAATGAGAATATATGCTACATTCTCTATACTACTTATGACTGATTCATACTACTCATAAGTTTGTTTTTTCTTTTTTCTAGATTTACGAAAACAGTCATCAACTAACAGTCGTATAAATAATAGTCGTCAGTTGGATAAATTACATACAAGACAATTATCAGAAATCACTGGAGAAGAAAGTGTTGGACTACTTTCAGTTGCTGGGATGTCAGGTTTATCCAATCAGTAAGTGATTTATATAGAGTAGGACTTACTGACTTATGCCTGTCACTCCCAATGGAGCATAGGCCGCAGACCAGCATTCTTTAACCCATTCTATCATAGGTCTTCCTTTGTAGTTCTATCCAATTTTTGTTCATTCTTCTCGTGTCTGTCTCCATTTCTCGGCGTAATGTGTTCTTTGGTCTTCCACTTTTTCTTTGGCCTTGAGGATTCCATATGATGGCTTGCCCTGTGACACAGTTGGGTGATTTCCTCAATGTGCGTCCTATCCACTTCCAGTGCTTCTTTCTGATTTCTCCCTCCTCTGGGATCTGATTTGTTCTCTCCCACAATAGGTTGTTGTTAATAGTGTCTAGTCAACCGATCTGAAATATTTTGTGTAAATAACTGTTAATGAACATTTGTATGTTCTTGATGATGGATTTCGTAGTTCTCCAAGTTTTCACCCCGTACAGTAGAACTGTTTTAGCATTTGTATAAAAAATTCTGACCTTGGTGTTTGCTGACAGACAGTTGTTTTGAGTTTTAGATGTTCTTCAATTGTAGATATTCTGCTCTTGTTTTTCCGATCCCCGCCTTCACATCTGTATCAGATCCACCCTGTTCATCAATGATGCTGCCCAGATATGTAAAGGCTTTTACATCTTCCAAATTTTCTCCGTCTATTGTGATTTGATTGGTGCATGTTGTGTTGTATCGGAGAATCTTGCTTTTCCCTTTGTGTATATTGAAGCCTACTGCTACTCAGGCTGCTGCTACACTGGTCGTCTTCTCCTGTATTTGTTGTTGAGTGTGCAACAATAATATAGAATAGAACAGCACAGATATATGCGAACATTATTGTTTTCCAGTTTAATCCTCATTAAATTTTATGAATATATGAAAATACACTAATCACAGTCTATGATAACCGCGGAATAGATTACACAATTCAATGTACAAATCGATAGTATGATGACAAGTGTATTAGTTGTGATAAGAATAATAAAAGCTTGAATCATTGTTACATAATAGGAAATAGACTCGAACTGATGTACGTACGTACGAAGTTCTACGTTGTTGCTGACTGACTCAATAGGAAATAGGTCAACGACTTGAAAAAATAAAAAAAAATGAAATAACATTCACTGAAAATTACACAAATTACGTAATAGGGAAGTGCTCAGACAGAAGGAATAGTGAAGTAATGAAAAACAAACGAATACAGAGTATGCGTAATAATCATGAACAAAACCATTCATTAAGGCATAATTGAGCAAGAAGGAGATAAGGGTGTCATAAATGTCTTATGAATATAAAAATTTAGATTCTTTGCTCAAATCCCAATAGCTTCTGTTATGTATAACAGACGACGTCGAACCCCATTAGGGAAGTTAGTAGGAATATGATAAATCACTTTAAATGACATATTTCCTTCTACCACATGATCGCTATCGATCAAGTATGGTAGAACAGAGCTGCGTATTGTTTTAACGATACTCCTTCCTAACCACGAAGAGAGCTGTTCACTAATTCATTGGCTCAGTTGTCTAGCAGTACATCTGATATAGCTTCCTCCACATCAACAACTGAATTTGTAGATGCACATGGAAGTGGCACAACCAGGTAACTTATCCTTTAGTTGAGAGATCACCATAAGTCGGCTGGAGAACGATAGACAGAGGTTAACTGTGATAAACGTTCTCTTCTCGTAGTACACTACTAGTTATATCTCCACTGGATCGTAGCCTCCGGGAGGAAGGCTTCTTACTAACCATCGATGTCGCTATTTCCCTATTCATTATATGCGAATGATTTTTTCCAGAAAACTTTGTGGATAACCCATTTCAACCAACATATTATGAATAAACTCTAGTTCCTTGTTGATAGTGTTGTCTGAACATATCTTCCTAATTCTACTTGTAAAACATCTAACTAGTTTCTGTAATAATGACTGGGTACAAAGCTAAAGAATTATATGTACTGACTTGTCGAAGAACAATTTCTATACACACTTCTATTGATAGAAGCATTTTCTTTTTTCTTTTATCAAACGTCTAGGAAGTATAATTTTTCATCGAGTTCTTCTTCATACGTAAATCTGATTGTTCAGTGCATATCGTTTCATAGCCATTTTGTCCTGTTGTGGGACTCCTCGGTAGTGCGCATCTACAATACCGCCCATGGGATTCGAACTCAGAACCCTCAGTTTCGCGCGCGAATGCTTAACCTACTGGAACACTGAGCCGCGATCTAACAGTGTTAATGTCTAACTTCAACCAATCCACGACCATCTTCCATTGTACTGAAGCAGATTCCTGTCTTTACCCGACACGGACTAGCTCCACTGGTCACGGATTCTCACTAGAACTCCGAGAATTCCGTCACGAAGCTAGTCACTAGTGAGTACATGTTGATTATCAGTATAGGGGTTGTGGAGATTATTAAGTTTTTGATTGAGATCATGAACCGATTGATGTTAAACCACCATTGAAAATGGTTGTTTCGTACTTATTTTTGTGCTATACTTAATATGTAAGAGCTAGAGTGATACTACCCGGATGGCTAAACCGAATGAAGTGAGACGAGGTACTTGTAGTTACGAATCAATGATTAAGAAGGTTGAATACCTTATCCACGAAAGTAATATCAATTACTGATGTAAACTCCAATCTATATCTAGATTGACTGATCGAATTCATGAAAGATGTAAAAATATCAACCGTTTAGATCTCAATTAACGAACTGAATTGTGAAGATATCATTCAAGTATGTGACTGTGTGTATGTAAGTGGTAAACTAAGGTATATCTATCGAAAAATATCAAATCAACTGATCGGATACTACTTAATTTTAAATAGTTTCTCCATCGTTAAAAATCTATTTTATCCATTTTGTTTTTAATCTTTTCAATATAGAAATCCAATTGACATTTCTAATTCTACAATCCATGGTCAAGTCTATACTACTACTACTACTACTACTACTCCTGCTAGTACTACTTCTACTACTGCTGGGGTTCGATGGAATAAATTTTCTACAAATGTTATTCATTCTTCAAATGGAATAAATTATCGTGATGGTGATATTGATTGTAGCGGTGGCGGTGGCGGTGGCGGTGGCAGTAGTATTAATGTTGGTACTGTTGGATATCAGGGAAATTCTTCTTCTACTATAACTACACATCATCCAACTGAGCCAATTGAAGAGAATGTATACACTTCAGAATTTGTACTTGTTTAAATTCAACAATCTTATACGCCTCATCTACTTATACATAATGATAGGCCATAAGATCACTAATACATACACACACACACACACAATTATATGTATATGTATATTTACTTATAAAAATGTCGCGCACAATTTACTGTTTACACATAGGTGTGTTTGTGTGTGTGTGTGAGAGAGAGAGAGCGAGTGAGTGAGTGAGTGAGTTTGTATGCGACACAGTGAACATGATACAAACGGTAAAATGGATCAATTCGTAATGATGTAATTATTTACTCTTTTTTTTTAAAAATTATGATTTTTTTCTCTATTTATTTTTCTTTATGGTAATAATGCGGGTGGGGGGAGGAGAGAACGATTTTATTCACCATGATTGATTCTTTCTTACTGTCTAATTTGTTTGTTTGTTTGTTTTTCTTTTTACAGTTGATTTTTGTTCTTTTCCAACTGTTGTTGAACATCGAGGTCTTTTGTTGTTGTTCTTGTTGTTGAAAGAAAACGAAACTGGGCGTCAACACGAATTGTTTCTTTTCTTTCATTATTATTTTTTTAAAAATTCTATGTACATAACTTTTTTTTTATTCAGCTGACCTCTTCTTATGAGATACAGTGTTGTTATGCACAAATTGTGTTCCCATTTCCTTCGTTTTTTCCCCCTTCATTTGGATTATATCCTAGATCTTCCTTTTCTCCCCTCTCCCTCTCTTTCTCTCACTGTATATCTGTTGTTTTTTTTTAATTTGTTGGTTTACAAATGAAGTGAGACGTAGGGATTATTTTTTTTCAGTTGAAGTTCTGAAGAATTCAAGTTTATCAATTGTCCCCCCCCTTCTGATCTTCTAGTAATTGTTATGTAAATAGCAGATTTAGGCATACCAATCGATAGGGTCCCCTCTTTCTCTTTTATACTCTTCTTATGTTTTTTTTTATATGCATGTCTTTGTCTCATTAACATGAAATGTATTGCTTTTTGTTGTTAGGGGGGCGGTTAATAGGGACATTACCACCATAATCATTTTTAATGTTATGAATTATTCTTCTTATTATTATTATATACCCAACAATATAGGCTTAACATTTGAACACAACGAATCAATGAATGTATTCGATCACTTTAATTTGTTTTACTAATAATATTTCCATGAAATTCTAATTAACAACGGTGACAATTGAAGGAATTTCTTTCCGATGGTAATACATATAGAAATACATTGATGGGTTCATTGTTGACGGTTATATTTGGCTTTTCTGTGAATGTCTGGATGAATTGATTATTCTTTTTGAAATCTAGTCATTTCTAAGTTTATCATGTTTGTTTGTTTGTTTGTTATTTTTATGTATGTAACTGTATCCTTGTCACACACACACACACATGTATGCACGCACGCACGCAAGTGCGCGTAAATTGTATTCAAAGTCCCTTTGGCCAGTTTAATTTGTGCCTCTCATATGTATTTTGCTTACAAGTTTAATTTGTATTGCCTATTTTATCCTTGACTTTTATTTTCCTAATTCTATCATTACCACTGTGTGTTGATTTTATCTTACACCTTTTTGTGATAGACAATCAAAATAGCACAAAGTGATTGTGTGTGTGTGTATGTATGGGTGTATCTAAGTGAATAAGACATGAACGAACTAGTCTTTTTTTATCTTTAAGAAACATCGGGTGTGTGTGTGTGTGTACGCCCGTGCAAGTGCAAGTGCATGCGTATGTACTTGGAAATGACTTCTGACAATTTTTTGATCTAAGTGTTTTTGTCCATGGCTTTACGTGGTGCTTGTTGACAACATAGAGAAATTATTGATTTCTTTTTATCTCCCTCTCTGAGATATCTATATATACCATATTGTTTGAGAAGACTTTGTCGATATAGTCTTTTTTTTATTATTTAGAAAAAAAAGTGCTATTTAATAAATGTGTTCGAATTTATTCTTTACATCATAGATTGGTTGGTAAAAGTCAAATCAATTATTGTATAAGACTGACATATATATCCATCAGATGGGTTTTGTGAAGATTGTAGTAATTTCAATGGTTAAGATTATGAGTCAGTTGAAGCTAGACTACCACTGGATGGCTGTCCAGTACTTCCAGGTTTTTCCATAGTGGTCTAGCTTCAGCTGACTCATGATCTTAACCATTGAAATATATATCCATATTATATTCAAGTTAACAATCATCGATCATTAAAGTGGCCAGATACACTATATGACTAGTATCTATGTAGATATACATTAGAGATATGGTTGAATTTTGGCGTCGGATACAAATTTACTGGTGGCAAAATTCGAAATAACTGTAATATATAAGAGATTGAAGAAATTAGATAATATAACTAAAGACCTTTTTTAATATTGATTTTTGGTATTATTCCATACCTTTTATATGCTAGTCTCAATTATGTTTTTGGAAAGTTCAATCGAATGAAAGTTGTACACTTTTAATACGAAACGAAGTATAGAATTTACAGTAGATATAATTTATTGATTTGAACACTGGTGTAAAGGGGCAGCGAAAATACATACGCGTCACACAAGTCACTTGATTTGTGTGTGAGCTATGACTCAATAGTTAAGTGGATAACATGATGGCGTTTGAAGCGAATGGTACTGAGTTCGAGTTCCAGAATGAACATCAACTTTGAGGTGCGGGTGCATCCAGCTGACGAGTCCCAAATAGGACGAACAGCACATGTTGGGTTCCACTACTAGCCACTAAGATACTGCCAGGGTGCCCAGGTCGAAACAGGTGGTTTTCTTAGGGGACCACACCCGGATCCTTCGACCTAAAGGTCTGATCCACAAGGCAGTGGAGCATCGTGAGGAGATGCAGTCCAATGGTAGCCCGTGACCAACAGTTGGTCCATACGCCATTTGTTCCCGCAGGATACTGGAGCCCATGTGCACCATTGGTTTGGAATCCGGTTAAAGCGTCGGACATTCGCTTTTCCTCCTCTCACTTTCGTAAACAACACCTGTGGTGCGAGAAGGCAGTGAGTAGGGCTTCTTTGGTAGAGGCTGTATGCACGTGACCTGTGGGAGCATTCGAGAGGGAGGGCGGGCCCTTCCCACTCCCGGCCATACCAAGGCATTTGGGGGCAAAACCTGGGAGCACTGGACGGGACTTCTCACCCGCGGGATCCGAACCCAGGGCCTTCATTTTCGCGCGCGAATGCTTAACCTACTGGACCACTGAGCGAATAATTTGGTAGCAACTTGGGAATAGTAAATCCTATAATAGTAGTCAATAGGTTAAATGAAAGCTTTCAATAAACGCACTATGAATATATATATAATCAGGCTACTTAATGCTATGTTTGAAGAGATTATGAGTTCATCTAATCTCAGAACGGAACGAAGACTCTGTGACACAATGACAGATAACCTAGCTATTCCGACGCGTCCCAGCCCCGCTAACTAGAGGGAGAAGTCCAGGTTCAGAAGAGAGAAATGTATTTCACAATCAGCCAGGAACATAAATAACAACAACAAGCACAAATCAAGCATATAAATACAGCATAAAAAATTTCCTTAAGCAGCGTTATAGAATAGCATATTAAAAGCGACAATGAACCAATAGCGTTTAAGATCCTCCCAAGTGGGAAAAACGACATGAAGGTAAAAATGAGTGCATTTGGCACGAAAACAAGAAGTTCAAAATTATAAAATATAATTACAAAAATAGCATATTTCCCAAATGAGTTCTAGGGATCTAACATCTCCAACACTTAAAAGTTATTTTTGATTGAGACCATGAACCGATTGATGTTAGACCACCGTTGGAAACCTGGAAGCACTGGAAGACCGTTTCGTCCTATTTTGGGACTCCTCCGCTCACGGGATTCGAACTCAGAACCTTTAGACCACTGAGCTAACCGGCATCCAATGGTGTTGGTGTCTAACATCAACCAATCCACGAAATTGTGCGATCATCTTCCATTCTACTGAGTTAGAAACCTGTCTCTAATCGATACAAATTAGTTCCATTGGTCTCAATTAAAAACCTAATAACCTCCACAACCCTATACTGATAATTAACATTTGCTCACTAGTGACGAGCTTAGTGAGGAAATCCCCAGAGTTCTAGTGAGGAGCTGTAACCAGTGGAGCTAATCCGTGTCGGGTAAAGACAGGAATCTGCTTCAGTACAATGGAAGATGGTCGCGCAATTTCGTGGATTGGTTGAAGTTAGACATTAACACTGTTAGATCGCGGCTCAGTGTTCAGTAGGTTAAGCATTCGCGCGCGAAACTGAGGGTTCTGAGTTCGGATCCCTTCGGTGCGGGATCGCAGGTGCGTACTGCTGAGGAGTCCTACAATAGGACGAAATGGCCGTCCAGTGATTCCACGTGGTCTAACATTAATCAGTTCATGATCTCAATCAAAAACTTAATAATCCCCACAACTCCTATACTGATACTTAAAAGTTATCTAATAGGAATATATGTAATAATAGTCCATAAATGATTCCTAGCTGTTATCATTCATTTATACGTCGTTCGAGCATAATATGAATGTCGTGGTTTATTCTTGTATAAGTTCGCTAGTGTATATTAATTAGGAATTTCCCTAATGGGATGAAAGATTAGTGACTATTCTGATGTTAATTCATGACGATAAATAACTTAAAACATATTGCCACTGCTGTACATGATTAACAAACCATAGCTGTAGTCAATGCATATTGATTGTTTTATGATCTTTATTTTCATTCTTGATTATCTATTTGCTAATGGATTAACAACTCATAGCCGAACTATTATTTACATCAATATAAGAACTTCAATAGTGTGCATTGCTGAAGAGTCCCATACTAGAACAAAACGGTCGTCCAACGTTTCTAGGTTTTCAATGGTAGTTTTGAGCTTAAATCGACTCATGAATTCAACTGTTAAGATTAATACAATCCCTATAAATCCCTATTCTGATAATAATAACTTCAGTTCATGTACTACTCAATTAGCTAATTATAGGTTTTGTCTTTTAAAACCTATTTAACTGAGATTTGAGGACCAGTCTCATCAGTAATTTATTACTTTTCATCACATAACTCATTCGAGTATTTCATTCGATTGACAATCCTAAATTTGATGTTATAAAGAAAGATATCCCAAATCCTGATTTAGTGATTTGATTTTATCGGGTTGATCAAGCTCCCAAATGCCTTGGTATGGCCGAGAGTGGGGAGAGTTCAGTCTCCCTCTTGAAAGGCTCTCGCATGGCCATTCGTATACAGCCATTACTATGGAAGTCCTTCTCACTGCTTTCAAGTGGTGGCGGTGTTGTTTACAAAATTGAGAGGACGAAAAGAGAATGTCCGATGGGGGCTTAAACAGGGTTGGTGGACACGGTGGATCCACCTATTGAGGTTGGAAAACCTTCATTCCAAACCAATGGTGCACATGGTCTCCAGTATCCTGAATGAACAATTGGTTACCGGCTACCATCAGACTGCATCTCCTCACATTGCTCAATTGTCTTGTAGATTAGATCTCTAGGTTAAAGGCTCAAGGAATGGCCCCCTAAAAATACCACCTTCTTCAGTTTGAGCACCTGGGCACCTGAACTTCTATCTGAAGTTTGTGCTGATGATGTCGTTCAGAAGAACGATGAAAGCTCCACGACCAAACCATCCAGCTCAGAGAACAAAACTCCACCAAAAAAACCTGGGCAGTATCTCAGCCCTCACATAAATCGAACGATTTATATGGCGCCTTTCATATATTATCCTTTCACAATGAAAAATAGATATAAACCACACAAAGCATCACTACAAAACCCCTTTTATATCCCCCCCTCTCCTTCTTTTGAATCTGTTTTCACTCCTACATGTCCGTATCTCTCTTCATCAAATTATCCATTCAATTATATACCTTAAGATTAATCTTCAGTGGATAGACAGGTCAAAAAAGGGGTATAAATTACCTTCTAATATTGAAGGAAAGTTCTTTTTAGAAAAAAAAACGAATCACTGACACACCTATGTATAGACACGCATTATTGATCGACTAGTCAATCAATATATATATATAAAAGGAAAAAAACATCGTGTCCAGATCAGTGTCATTGTTGTCATTTGTTGCCATTGTTCACTATTGGGGATACCTTTTCATTGATTGTAATACATGTAATCGGATTACATAACCATTATTATTCTAAACTATAATGAATACATTATGTCATATTCTATGTTATATAGTTTTATATCAAATTCTATGTATTACATGGATTGGAAAAGGTTAGTTAAATGTAGATTACAAAACTAAACTGTATTTTGTATGTATGAATGTGTGTTTGTGTGTGTTTATGAATATATATCTATATTTATCAATAAGCAGTGGAATCCTGTGAGCAGGATCATGGTTGCACACTGTTGAGGAGTCCCAAAATAGGACGAAATGGCTGTCTAAGTGGTTTCATGTTTTCTGTGATGGTTTCATTTCGGTTGATTCATGAATTCAACTATTCAATCAAAAGTAGCATTGGATACATTTGGTATTCTTTGGCTTGTATCTTCCCACTGGGGTTTAAGACTGCAATTGATCAGTCTGGCATATGTGCATACTGTGCGTATGTCTCGATATTGCCTTAATTCACAAGCTATGGCGTTCGAAACGAATGGTACTGGGTTCGAGTCCCAGAGTGAACATCAACTCTGTGATGCAGGTACATCCAGCTGACGAGTCCCAAATAGGACGAAACGTGCGTCCTGGATTCCACTGCTAGCCACTATCCATCATTACTTACAAGTAACATTGGATAGTTGTGTTCATTCTTGTCTGAGAGGTTGAAGATGTGTACAGATATGAAATGAGATATTCATTTATTATCAGTATGGGATTGTGGAGATTGTTTAGTTTTTTTTTATTTATTGGGATCATGAAACGATTTATGTTAGATCACTATTGAAAACTTGAAAGCAGTAAACAGACGTTTCGTGTTAGCATGCGACTCCTCAGTATTGCATATCGTAGGATGAAGCGGTCGTCCAGTACTTTCATGTTTTCAATGATGGTCTAACATCAATCGATTCATGATCTTAATCAAAAATTCATATATGTCATGGTAAACATATAATCTGTAGAACATTCAGTTAGACTGCAATTAAATTCACTTGGTGTTGTTCTACTTGTATTTTTCCATTGTTATTTAGGATTGCAATTGATCAGTTTCTTGTTGGCATATGTGTATCCTGCACGGATTGCTTCGATATAGCCTTAAGTCACAAGCTTTTTAAGCATAGATGGATAGTGGCTAGCAGTAAAATCCGGTTTGACGCGTGCTTCGTCCCATTTGGGATTCGTCATCTGGATGTACCTGCATCCTAGAGTCTAGGTACTGGGTTCGAGTCCCAGAGTGAACATCAACTCTGTGATGCAGGTACATCCGGATGACGAATCCCAAATGGGACGAAACACCCGTCAAACTGGATTCCACTACTAATCACTATTCATCTTAGCTTAGACTACAATTAACCGTATTTTAAACTAAACTCAATATGTCTTATAGCAGTCCTTAACTAATATTATTTATGATTTACTGCATAATTCTTCTATTGTTTAACTTATTGCTCTTTATGTATGATGATGAACACCTTCGTGTTGAGTTTGAAACCAAGATGGAGCAGAAGCCTAATACTCTTTAACTGACATCTGTTTATGTTGAATAACACTTTTAAATGAAAAAAATAGTTATCACTAACTATGACTTACATTTACTTCAAATAATCAGCTTTCTACTCTGCATTCATCCTGTGGTATTATGCTACTGATATCGACAGATATAAGTAGTATGTATCATCAATAGAAAGTGAAATGCCTGACGGTAGAAGGTTAAAAAGATCAAAGAAAAGAGAATGAGAACAAAGAATGATTGGTATGGAAATAAAGGAACAATGAAGTCTTAGACAGTTGATTGACATTTTACAAATGAACTATTTACAGTATGGTTCTTAGATTTTACTAAGAGATTCTGTTTGTTTGAATATAACTTGATTGACCCCCCACTTCTGTTCTTGTTCACTACAATCCCATTCCATTTCTTAACTTATATATTACAGAAATGTAAGATTATATGAAGTTCATTGTTATGATCATCATAAAGAATTTCAGTTTTTTTCAATAGTTGAGATCATGAATCAATTGAAGCTAGATCACCATGAAAAATGTTAAAGTAATGGACGGCTGTTTTCCATGATGGTTTAGCTTCATTTGATTCATGATCTCAACCATTGAAATTACTATAATATTCACAAAACACCCTTCTGATATGAATTTCAGTTTTTATTGTATCTTGTGCCTGCAGATTAGATGCTCAGCGTATTTATCGATCGGATCAATGACATGTAAAACATGCACGAACGGCTTAGAGTCTCGACTGGCCCTGTTTCGCTGTCTAGCCCAGCCAGTTGAGTTCAGAACACAAGTCACAGCCTCTAAGTTATGAATCATTATATTTCAAGCATACTGGGTTTATACACCAACCACACAAACCACATCGTACCATAAAATAGGAAACAACATTTGTACAATATTTAACAAGTGAAATAAATACCGGCCAATAGGGAATGTCCATTTAAAGTCCAAGGACATCATTAGACTTAACATGATAATTATTGGGATATTTTTCTGAATATCCCAACAGTTTTACTAAGAGGTTTTAATTTGAATGATCATAATTCCGAGAGTTGATTTACTCAAGAAAGAAGATAAGATACACTCAATACTCAAAAGAAAATTCTGTTATTTACTAGGGTTAGTGATATTAAACAGCTGCCAAAAACTACGTTGTTAGTGCTAAATAAGAAATTGTGACTTATTGAGACTGGAGACAAACTCCACATTGTCATATCATCTGAGTATAACATAATCAGTAATGATGGTTGTGTTTTCGTTCATTCAGTCAATCAATTATAGCTATTATAGAATAATTTCTATGATAGAATTAATTTGAGGTATGAATTTTGCTATCATGACAAAGTTTACTACACTTGACTTGTTCGTAGCGTGATATCTTTACCGTCGACTGAGATGGTTGGGCCACGTGTTACGTACGCCTGAACACCGATTACGACGTCGTGCAATGCTAACGGGTGTTGGAGATGGTTGGAAGAAAGTTAGGGCCGGCCAAACCAAAACGTGGTATCAGTGCTTGAAGTCACTAACTTCTAATCTGAGCCATGTTGGTAGATGCAGACTACTTGGTTGGGACCCGCGTGACTATCGTAAGCAATGGTTCAACATTGATCACAATGTTGTAGGTGTATACACTCTTTGTCTTCTCTTAAACTATGAGATTAAAATCGCTTCATATCTTTCTTTCTATGAACTAATTCTTTCTCCTTGTACTATATTCTTACATGCAATCTTTCTTTTATATATTAACACCATTGACTGAACCACTTCTATGAATCCGGTGTTCATCTTGTTGTATTAATGAGGTATGGCAACTCGGACGGATGCATATATGTGCCTGGTCTTACGTTGTAGCTGACTGACTGGTTGACTGCATCCACGACTTTGCACCAAAGCGACTCAAACTCAGGACCTTCAGTCTCACACGTGAACACTTAACCTTTAAGTCACTGAGCCGGCAAACAACAGTGTTAATGACTAACTTTAATCACCTCATGAATTTAACTATTAAATTACTGCAATCTCCACAAACCCTCCTCTTCATTCTGATAATCATTACAATTTTATAACACAGTTCAAATAGTTACTTCAATTTCTTATTTTTATTTATACAATAGTTGATTCAGGTCATTCAGAGAAACGTTTATTAAAATATTTATTTGATCAAAAACGATGGGATGCCCACAATCCAATGGAACGTCCAGTTTCAGTAGATGGTAAACCTGTACAAGTATTTCTTAAATGTTTCCTTAATCAAATAATGGATGTAGTAAGTGATTAACTTCATTTCATTGAATATAACATAACTTTGTATTGAAGATTTAAGAATAATGTTCTTTATATTCATATGCCATTTGTTTCCTTAGGATCCTGAAGCCCATGTGCACCATTAGTTTGGAATGAGAGTTTTCTAACTCCCTAAGTGAATCTGCCGTGTCCATCAATCTGGTTAAAGCGCTGGACATTCTCTTTTCGTCCTCTTAGCTTCGTAAACAACTGTCTGGACACATGAAGGCAGTGAGTAGGACTTCCCTGATAATGGTTGTATGCACGTGGCCATGTGAGAGGATTTGTAGAGAAAGAGCTAACTCTTCCCACTCTCAGTCGTACTAGAGCACTCTAGGTATAATATGTTCAGTGAATGATAAAAATCACTCAACAAAAGTCACTGAACAAAACACAGGGATTTTATGGTATTACTTACTTACGTCTGTTACTCCTAATAGAGCATAGGACGCCGACCAGCATTCTCCAACCCACTCTGTCCTGGGCCTTCTTTTCTAGTTCTATCCAATTCTTGTTCATTTTTCTCATGTCTATCTCCATTTCTCGGTGTAATGTGTTCTTTGGTCTTCCTCTTTTCCTTTGGCCTTGAGGATTCCATGTGAGGGCTTGTCTTGTGACCCAATTGGGTGCTTTCCTCAATGTGTGTCCTATCCACTTCCAGCGCTTCTTCCTGATTTCTTCCTCCACTGGAATCTGGTTTGTTCTCTCCCGCAGTTGGTATTCTATGGTATAAATACATGTATTTCTGAAGTATCCCTATGATAGGTTAAATGATCTCATTCTTGTCTTATCCCACCAAGTTACATCAGTTTTAAAATCAATTTCGATAAAAATCATTGATTCTTCTTTATTGTTGTCATTTCTTGATGAAAATAACATTCTTACTAGGAATGAAATCTATTCATATCCATGGTGAATCTATATTCAATATTGCTTATTTTCGAAATTATAAACTCTTAATTGTTCTAATCAGAGTAACCTTGACTTGGATGATTAAATAAGTTGTGAATGAAGTAATAACTCAGAGGTGATAGTGTATTATAAAGTTAGTGTGAATCACAGAGCTTCAGCTCAGTGAATATCTCTAATACTTGTCGTCATGAAACTTGAAAATTCTAGTGTGGGACTGGTATATTTTCTCGGATACAAACTGCTGCAGAATCCTAAGCTAGAAGAATATAGTTGTTCAGTTATTATGTTGCGTTCTGCATTTTTCGACTCAGATACATACGTTTCCAATTATGCAAATCAGTCAGTCAGTCAGTAACAACGTAGAACTTCGTACGTACGTACATCAGTTCGAGTTGCCGCACCACATTAGCATAGAGATGCAGTGGTCGATTCGAATCCCGTAGTCGTAGAGGTAATAAGAGTATAAGCAGTAATCAGGAAAAGTAGTGTTTGGAGATGTTATTTGAAGAGTATAATACAGTGAAATCAATTTGGGAAGAGAAAAAAGGAGACAAGGATGAATAAGTAGATCAAAATTTGGGAGAACACAAAGAGTGGATGCACCTGCGCCATTGCAGACGATTTTGAGCCATGTCATTCAGGGTCTCTAACCATCGGTCGCTATCATCTTGCGGTCCACAACCAGGTAGTCTACACTTACCAACATGACTCGGTCCACTTGTCAGTGACTTCATGTACTTGTGCCATGTTTTCGTCTGGCCGCCCCTAACTTTCTTCTAACCTACTCCTATACCACTGAACATCGTATGTCGAGGAAGTCGGTCGTTGGGCATATGTAACACGTGTCCCAGCCATCTCAACTGATCAAGTTTCACTACTTCATCAATTGATTTGCCATCCTTACCTAGTACCCGTTTCCTAACAACTGCATTACTTACTCGATGGTCCCAGGATATACGAGCAATATTTCGAAGACACCCATGATCAAATACTAGTAACCTACGAATATCCTCTACTCTTACCGGCTATGTTTCACTACCATGTAGACCAGTAGATTAAGCGATAATTAGAAAGATTTTAGGGTGTGATCTTTCACCCACCATTTGACCATGAGATGCTATATGAGCATAGGTCTGTGATATGCCTAGATTTGTCCAACCTATCATTCTCATTTTTAAAGCAAATCTCCAACTGATACCACTCCTTGATCATAAAAACACAACTAATTACTAAATTACGCTTGTTACTCCCCGTGAGTCATAGGCCGCTGACCTGAGGTCTGCAATCTACTCTATCCTGCACTCTTCAATTATTTTGATGTCTCCTTCCGATTCCCAGTTCAATTTATTCTTTGGTCTTCTCTTATTCTTTTTGACATGAGGATTCCAATTTGTGGCTTGTTTCGTTATACAAATTAATCATTTCCGAAATGCATGTCCTATCCACCTTCAAAGTTTTCTTTAATTTCCTCTTCAGTTGGAAGATGGTTTTTGCTCTACCACAGTATATTTTTACTGATGGTATTTGACCAACGAATCTGGGGTATCTTGTGTAAATAACGGTCTATAAATACTTATACCTTTTGGATTATGATTGTAGTAGTTGTCTAAGTTTTAGCCCTGTACAATAGAACCATCTTGATGTCTGTATTAAGGATTGTGAATTTCGCGTTTCCTGACAGTTAATCTGGGTTTCAAATGTCTTCCTATTGTAAAAACATCAGAAGGGGTTTTGTGGATATTATAGTAATTTTAATGGTTGAGACCAGTGGAGTTCAACCGGATTTGTTGTGAGATAGTAACTCACTGAAGACAGTGGTGGATGTGTCGCTCAATTTGGTGGACTAGTTGAAGTTAGACACTAACACCGTTGGATGCTGGCCAACTCAGTGGTCTAGTTGGTTAAGCGCCTGGCGCGAGCCTGGTAGGTCCTGGGTTCGGACCTCACAGAATCGTGGATGCTCACTGCTGAGGGATCTCACAATAGGACGAAACGGCCATCCAATGGTTACAGGTTTTCCATGATGGTCTAGCTTCAAGTGACTCATGATCTCAACTATTTGGGTAGTAAAAGTGCTGCTCTTGCTTTGTCAATCCGTCTCTTTACAACTGCATCAGACCCCCCTTGTTTATTAATAGTGCTGTCCAAGCACATAAAATTTTTCATCTCTTCCAAAGTTCCTCCATCATATGTAGTTTGATTAGTGCTCTATATGTTGTATTAATAACTAATTGAAATGTTAATTTACTTTTTTTCACTGATTTAAATCATGAGTCAATTGAAGCTAGACCACCATGGAAAACCTGGAAGCACAGGACGGCCGTTTCATCCTACTATGGGACTCCTAAGCAGTGCGCATTCACGATCCCGCACCCTGCAACTTCGTGGATTGGTTGAAGTTAGACATTAACACCATTGGATGCTAGCCAACTCAGTGGTCTAGTTGGTTAAGCGCCTGGAGCGAGCCTGGTAGATCCTGGGTTCGGATCTCGCAGGATCGTGGATGCTCACTGCTGAGGAGTCCCACAATAGGATGAAACAGCCGTCCAGTGCTTCCAGGTTTTCCATGGTGGTCTAGCTTCAATTGACTCATGATTTCAATCTGTGAAATTTCTAAAATTTCCACAAACCCTTTCTGATTTTAATTTTTTATATAACCTTTAACCTACATTTTAGGATGAAAAAAATCAAGTTCTATCTACAATCATTTGGCTTGATTTAGTAAGTTCTTTCATTTGTGAATTACTATACAATAATGATCTGTACTGGCTATATACTCCAGATTTTAATTGATGATATCATGGGAAACTATATTTTAGAAACTTACCATTATCCAAGTTAACAACAATATACGAACTCAGTAAAAACACCGGGATTTGTAGGGTGGAATGAATTTCTTATTATATTTCATGACTTATCATCAGCTTTAAATAGCCTAACATTTTATGACTTAACATAGATCAATCGATGAGGTTGGGGTTAATATTTAAGTGTAGTCGAAGCTCACAATCCAAGTTCAAAAATGGATAGTGGCTAGCAGTGGGATCCAGTTTGACGCGTGTTTCGTCTTATTTTGGACTCATCTTTTGGATATACCTTCATCACAGGTTTGATGTTCACTCTGGAGATAACGAATTGTTTTTAACAAAAGTCAGATTCTCCACAACGTTATTAACAATGACATTAGAAAAAGTTGTAAGAGAAGGAAATATGAGACAATTATATGACAGAACGAAGAAACTGTCAGGGAAATATGATAAATTATAGAGACCGGTTAAGGACAAAAAAGGCAAGCCAATCACTGAAATCCAAGAACGGAGGGACAGATGAGATTAACATTTTGAAGAACTTTTGAATAGACTAGCGCCATTGAATCCACCGGACAATGAAGCAGAACACAGACCTTCTTATAGATGTCATTCCACAGCGATCAAAGAAATCAGGATGTCCATCAGACAGATCAAGAGTAGAAAAGCACTAGGACCTGACAATATACCAGCCGTAGCACTGAAGCCAGATATTAAAGTAACTGCAAACATGCTTCACCTTCTATCCAGGTAGATTTGGAAAGAAGAAAAAGTGCTTACAGAGTGAAAAGAAGGACATCTCATCAAGATATCAAAGAAAGGAGATCTGAACAAGCGTGAGAACTACAGAGGCATCATACTAATATCGTTACCAGGAAAAGTTTTAAACAGAGTGTTTCTGGACCGAATGAAAGACTCAGTGGACGCTCAACTTCGAGATCAACAGCCTGGATTCCGTAAGGATACCTCGTGGACAGACCAAAGTGTGACACTACGGATCATCGTTAAACAATCACTTGAGTGGAACTCGTCACTATACATCAACTTCATTGACTATGAGAAGGTGTTTAAGAGTTTGGACAGGAGGATCTTGTAGAAACTTCTTCGACACTATGCTGTAACTGAAATGATCGTCAACGTCATCCAGAGTTCATACGTTGGATTGCAGTGCAAAGTCGTTTATGGAGGATAGCCGACAAATGCACTCCAAGTAAGGACGGAAGTCTGACAAGACTGCTTACTCTCCCCTTTCATCTTTCTTCTGGTGGTCGACTGGATGACTGGACAGGCAACACAGAATACAATGGACAGCTCGGAATCAGTTAAAAGATTTGAACTTCGCAGAAGACCTAGCCCTCCTATCCCATACACACGAACAAATGCGGATGAAGACAACTAGTGTAGCAGCAACCTCCGAATCAGTAAATCTCCAAATACACATAGGAAAAAGCAAGTTCCTCAAACACAACACGCTGAACACCAACGCAACCACACTTGATGGAGCAAATCTGGAAGAGGTGGAATCATTCACGTATCTGGGTGGCATCATCGATGGACAAGGAAGAACGGATGCAGACGAAAAAGAGAGGATTGACAAAACAAGGACCGCATTCCTACAATTCAAGAATATATGCAACTCAAAACACCTATCTATCAAACAATATCAAAATCAGAATTTTCAATACGAACACCAAGACAGTGAATTCGATTGTACGGAGCTGAAACGTTGAGAACCACTACTACAACCATCATCAAAATAGAACAAGTATTTATAAATAGTTGTCTGCATAATATACTCAACATCCGTTGGCCGGATACGATCAACAACAGGCTACCGTGGGAGAGAACAAACCAGCTCCTAGTTGAAGAGAAATTTAGGAAAAGACGTTAGAATTGGATAGGATATACATTACGGAAATCACCAAACTGCATCACGAGGCACCCCCTGACTCGGAATCGTGGAGGAAGGCGGAAAAGAGGAAGGTCAAAGAACACACTGTGTCGGGAATCGGAAGCAAACATGAAAAGGATAAATAACAATTGGAAAGAGCTGGAAAGGATTGCCGAGGACAGAGTTGTATGGAGAGTGCTGGTGGTTGACCTATGCTCCTGTGTGAGGAGTAACAGGCGTAAGTCTGTAAGTAAGTAAGTCATTCGTTACTGATCGGACGATCGATTTTTAATATCAGTAAGTATCTTACCAACTAAAAGAGTTTTGGCCACTACAAACAAACAAACAAACGGGGTTTGCGAATAGTTAGTGTTTATCTGTGGACTAGCCAATAAGACACTAAAGATTAATGATATACTAAATTTTATTTTGTTTTCTAAACTTTGTAATTATAACAAATTGACAGGTATAATTGAATTGCGCCTGTGAAGTCACAATAATTCCCGAGGCTATCTAGTATGAGAGCTTTCTACATTCCTAATGTTGATATTTGGACTTGCATTTGTTGCACAGAGGTCTACTCAAACGTTTGAGTCACCTATTTTCCAACTGTATGAATATTGCAATAAATCTTCATGTATTACATTTATCTGAACTGAATATGAATCTCATCTGTGCGTAATAACATGTTATTACGAAACACTCATGACTTTTTCGTGATGCTAAACGCTGGAGATCTCATGACGAAACACTACACCTGTCGGTATATTCTCTTCCTTGTCTACACTTTCGAAAAAAGTGAGAGACGAATACATTGGAATTCATGAATTCGCTATAGGATGGAGGAAAGCAAATCAATAAACTGACAAAGAACTTCTACCATCGAAAATGTCTTACAGATACTGACTATTAAAAAGACCATTCATAGAATGTAATCACAGTTTGAATGTATCTTAAACAGAAATTTATTGCAATATCGAATAAATGATGCTAAGAATTCCTTAGGGTGAATAAACTTCTCATAATGAATCAAGCTATTATTATGATTAACAGAGATGAATGGTTGCTCTGCAGTGGAATATATGACGTGAGTTTCGTCCTTATTTGGACTCGTCAACTGAATGTATCTGGATCCCAGAGTTGATGTTCATTCCCGAACCCAGTACTGTTCACTTCAAATCCCCTCGCGTAATCCATTGAGTTGACGGGAAGATTCAAACAACCAATACAAGATTTACCACCATTATTATTATTATTGCTATCGCTATCAGTTTTCATTGGGTTGTATGCATCATGACCTGATGCCTTAATATAATTACTTAAGAACTATTTCAATACGTTAACCAACAGTTTAAAGGGAAGATGATATGTTGGATTCGCTGGAGCAAAAATAATGACTGTTGTGTTGTACATTATCCAATTCTGATACTGACAAATAAACCTTTCATGCATAACAAGTTCAACTAGCTGCTTGAATAAGAATGAAGCCTTTAATAATTAAACGAGTAATAACTAAATAAGTATATTGATAAATGAGGGGTATCTTTCTTTCGAAAAGAAAGCTACATCTTGACCAATCGCTCACGCTTAACATTTCGCCGATGTCCAATTGGCTCATCCTTCCTTCTTGAGAGAACTTTTTTTTTGGGGGGGGGAGGGTTAATTGTAAGAGTTAAGGTTGGCTCATATCCATGATATTACATAATCTTTATCAAATTGATCATACTCAATCTATTTTTTTGCTATTTCAAAACTAAATTTCATTTTAGAAATGGTCAGATTATCATTTCCATTGGAATGCAAGTGACTATGAAAATATTCGACAGATAAATTTACCACCAGAGAGAATATGGAAACCAGATATTCTATTATATAATAGGTAGGTGCATAATTCTCTTTGTTATCTTGTTCTTTCTGTTATCCTATGTCTATCCTAAAAAACGTATACTGTTTGATAATGTCATATTCATGCTAAGTAATAGAGGGAATATTTAATATACTTCAAATACATATGCGTCCCACAGGTCACTTGGTTTGTGTCTGGGCTGTGATACTGCTCGGATGCCGAAACCGAAGTAGGTGGTTCTTTTAGGAGGCCACACCCGGAGCCTTTGACCTGATGGTCTGATCCATAAGGTAGTGGGGCAACGTGAGGAGATACGGTTTGATGGTAGCTATTGACCAACGATTGGTTTATACGTCATGTTTTCCTTCAGGGTCTTGGAGTTCATGCGCACCATTAGTTTGGAATCAGGGTTTTCCAACTCTTCTAGGTGGATCCTCCATATTCACCAACCCGGTTAAAGCTCCAGACATTCACTTTTTGTCCTCTCAGTTTCGCAAACAACAGTAATGCCACGAGAAGGCTGTGAGTAGGACTTCCCTTGATGTGGCTGTATACGCATGGCCATGTGAGAGGATTCGGAGAGGACGAGCTGACTCTCCCCATCCTCGGCCATACTAGGGAATTTGGGGGCGTTTAAAATACTCAAACAGATGAGTTCTAGTAAAATTCATTTAAGTATTCATTCCCCTGTTGGATTATAAATATCTTCGAAGTATGACTGACGTATATTGAGACTGCTGAATGGAAAAAATGTCAATCGATATAATGGTGTTTCTATAACAACTAAGATAGTTGATTTAAGTGTTACGTGAGCAACTACTCTCTACCTTGATACCTAATGTTGCATGGGGCAGAAATAATTTGAAATGTTTTGTTTATACATTCAAGACAAGAATAGTTCATTAAATATTAGATGTGGTCTGGTGATGCACCGAAAGAAATTCAGACAGTTTTTTTTTATAGATCATCTCATGTCTAATATTCAATAACTTTCTAACTATTCTCTTAGGATTTCCTCTTGAATTACTATGGTAACCATTGGGTAGGATTACTTTGTTTTGGATGAATTTGATGGAGTTTTGTTTTCTGAGCTGGATGGTTCGGTCGTGAAGCTTTCATTATTCTCCTGAACGACATCATTAGCACTTTGTTTGAATAGTCTGAATTAATTTATATGTTGACGATGACGAGTTCGTCCAAGTTTTCTTTCGTCGCTAAATGAAAACAGATTCATATTACCAATGCCACTTCTAGTACATTTCACCTCTGTCCCATAATGTTTTTTGTTGTAGGCAGCGGTACTTGCTCCAAAAACTTGACATCGTTTTACAGGAGATGATATGTAACAATAATATAGGTAACAAGATGCAGCCAAGATTATTGCTTAAATAGCATTAAATACAACGAGCCCGGAATGCCCTGGTACGGCAGAGAGTGGGGAGAGTCCGCTCTCCCTCTCCAAATGCTCTCACATGGTCACGCGTATACAGCCTCTGCCAGGGAAGTCCTACTCACTGCCTTCTCGCACAACGGTTGTTGTTTACGAAAATGAGAGGACGAAAAGCGAATGTCCGGTGCTTTAACCGGATTTCAAACCAATGGTGTGCGTGGGCTCCAGTATCCTAAAGGAACAAATGAAGTATGAACCTATTGTTGGTCATCGGCTACCATGGGACTGCATCTCCTTACGATGCTTTACTACCTTGTGGATTAGACCTTCAGGTCGAAGGCTCGGGGTATGGCCTCCTAAGAAAACCACCTGTTTCAGTTTGGGGACCCGGGCAGTATTACAGCCCTCACACATATCGAATGAGATTTGTGTGGCGCATATGTATTTGGTGCCTCCTTGTACCAATATCTATGTGTTAAAATAAATAAGAGTTATTACAATCAACTATCTACAGACTAAGTATAGTATAAAATATGCCTTAGCTGCGTCTCTCAACAAAATTGACATTAGAAAAGGTTAGAAAAGCTGTCCAATACACTTCAATGGTGCATGAATTAACATGTCATTATGTAATCAATTAAAATCTTCATTCACAATTCATCATTATATCCATTTTGTAATTCAATTATTTTAGTGCTAGTGAAAAATTTGATCAAATTTTTCCAACGAAAGTCATTGTTAGAAATACTGGGAATATTCAATGGGTACCACCGGGTTTATTTCATTCTATTTGTGATATTGAAGTGAATTGGTTCCCATTCGATTCACAGGTTAGTAAAAACTATAACTATATATGTGTATACGTGTATTTATCCATTTATATATTCATATTTAAGGAATTAGCCGTTTAGTTACTATGTTCATGTTATAACTTGTGACCGCCGATTAGAGGCCAGTGAATTATCAATCGGACCAAGGACGCGTAAAACACGTGCGAGCAGCCTAGAGTCCTGATTAGCCCTGCTTTCCGCCTAGCCCAGCCAGTTATGTCCAGAACACCAGTCTCAGCCTCTGCGATATGAATCATTATATTTCAAACATACTCTGTTTATATACCAATCAAGCAGACCACAACGTATCAATAAAATATGAAACGACATTTGTACAAGAATTAGCCAGATGTGGCTGTGAATGAGGGAGGTAGTAATTAATGTATTGGGCATAACTCAGGAGCAGTAAATCGTTTCATAATAGTTTATGGGTCAAAATAGACCTTATAATAAGAGAAATATGAATATGAATAGTTTAGGTACTTAATAATTATACAATAGAAATGCACGATTAGTATTGGTCCATCAATAGATCCCAAAAGTTACCATTCATTATTCTTGTCGGGACCTAACAGTTCATTAAAGAATTACTAGAAAGCAATGGTTTATTACTATGATCATTTCACATTTAAGCATTCGATTAAAAATTCAAATTCTGCTCCATAGTCTTCGATTTATGCAGTTACATGTTATCACTAGTTGTTATATAAGTAGTGTTACTTAAAACCTTAGATAATAGTAGAACAAAAGTTTACTTTCAGTTTAGGGGTTGTGGAGATTGTTAAGTTCTTGATTGAGATCATGAACCGATTGATGTTAGACCACTATCAAAAACTTGGAAGCACTGGACGGCCGTTTCGTCTTATTGTGGGACTCCTCAGCAGTGCGCGGGATTCGAATCCACCGTGTCGGGCAGAAACAGGTGTCTACCTCAGTACAATGGAAGATGGTCGCGCAATTTCGTGGATTGGTTGAGGTTAGACAACAACACCATTGGATGCCGGCTCAGTGACCCAGCAGGTTAAGCGTTCGCACACGAGGCTGAAGGCCCTGGGTTCGAATCCCGCGAGCAGGGATTAGGAATGTGCACCCTTCAGGAGTCCCACAATGGGGAGAAACGACCGTCCAGTGCTTCCAGGTTTTCAATGGTGGTCTAACATCAATCGGTTCATGATCTCAATCAAAAAGTTTATTTTTCTTTTTGCCACGTTATACTACTATAATATGATAAGTGACTATACTACTAATCTGGATAGTCGATTAATGTGCTATACACTAATTGGGATCACGTTATATCAGATACACGATTCGTCAATAAAAAATAGAGACATAGAGTATAGACTAAATAATACTTTATTCAGCGCAGTTGTGGAGATTGTTGGATCTCATTGAAATCATGAACCGATCAATGCTAGACCAACATTGGAAACTACAAGTAATCTACACTCAATGACTCAAGGGTGCAAATCAATAATAGGAAAGAAATCTCATATTGAATAACTAATAAGTTGACTGTATATCAGGCTACATTCAACGCTCAATCTCAGGTTACTTACATTAGTCGCACGGTAGAACCAAGTATATAATCCACAGTATTTATATTCGAAAGTCTTATTTATTCATGGATCTCTGTGTTTAATTGAACAGTGGTATCAATACATGATAACAAGGAATAGTTGTTCGTTGATTAAAATTGAAGAAGAAATTCAAATATAAAATGATACCTCCTGTATTGGTATCCGCATTACCCAGCTTTATATCCTAACATGTCATTGAATAGTTTGAATAGATTGATGGTAAGGTTTCGATATGTGAAACTTGATTATGTAGATTTTAGCATGACAGAGAGGATCAGTTCCATTAAGATTCCAAGTAAGACATGCTGATGATTGTTAATCAGCACGAAATTTAGGTCCATATTTACTCTCTGACTATCCATCACACTTTAACATCAAATTATAGTTCACATAATAACAAGATAGTTAGAATGGTGGAGATATTACAAGTTGTTAAGCAGAATTTGATCACCTCTGAGCACCAAATGAATAAAACACTGGTCACTGCTCAATATCCAATCAGTGTAAATTAATTGTGTTTCGTTACTTATTTGCACCTGTTACTCCTCACACAGGAGCATAGGTCAACCACCAGCACTCTCCATACAACTCTGTCCTCGGCAATCCTTTCCAGCTCTTTCCAATTGTTATTTATCCTTTTCATGTTTTCTTCCGATTGCCGACACAGTGGGTTCTTTGATCTTCCTCTTTTCCGCTTCCCTCCACGATTCCGAGTTAGGGGGTGCCTCGTGATGCAGTTTGGTGATTTCCGTAATGTATATCCTATCCAATTCTAACGTCTTTTCCTAAATTTCTCTTCAACAGGGAGCTGGTTTGTTCTCTCCCACAGTAGGCCGTTGCTGATCGTATTCGGCCGACGGATGTTGAGTATATTATGCAGACAACTATTTATAAATACTTGTTCTATTTTGATGATGGTTATAGTAGTAGTTCTCAACGTTTCGGCTCCGTACAATCGAATTCACTGTCTTGGTGTTCGTATTGAAGATTGTGACTTTGATAGATAGGTGTTTGAATTCCATATATTCTTTAACTGTAGGAATGCGGTCCTTGTTTTGTCAATCCTCGCTTTTGCGTCTGCATCCGTTCCACTTTGTTCATCGATGATACCACCCAGATACGTGAATGATTCCACCTCTTCCAGATTTGCTCCATCAAGTGTGGTTGCGTTGGTGTTCAGCGTGTTTTGTTTGAGGAACTTGCTTTTTCGTATGTGTAATTTGAGACCTACTGATTCGGAGGTTGCTGCTACACTAGTTGTCTTCATCTGCATTTGTTCGTGTGTATGGGATAGGAGGGCTAGGTCATCTACGAAGTCCAAATCGTCTAATTGGTTCTAAGCTGTCCAATTATTGTTTCGTAGGACCCGTTATTATATGAAAATTATTCAACAGACATCAAAAATCTTTATTGACCACAGTGAATACACTGACTATGATGCCATATTCGTAGCATGAAATCCTTGCATTCACAAACCATAAATCCAAACATTAGTGAATTGAATCAATGGTCATATGCATCCTTATATGTATATCAATGAAACTATTAACTAACATGGTTATTATCTAAGCAAAATAGATGACCATAACGCATCACAAATAAATAGATTTGACATTGATGATTAATTAAACTGTTAAGGATACAGCAATGATAAATGAGGTCAAGTGGTAGGTAACTATTAGGACGAAAGTATCTGTTTAACAGTTAAACACACACACACAAAACGTGGACAAATTAATTTTCTTTCAAAATACTTTTAGAAGTTTCAGATTTTCTCTTTTTATCATGCATTTCTAACATCATTACCAGTCAGTCAGTCAGTTACAACGTAAAACCAGGCACATATATGCATCGGTCCAAGTTGCCATACCTCATTAACACAACAAGATGGACACCGGATTCATAAAAGTAGTTAATTCAGTGGTAGTAATATATAAAAGAAAGATTGTGTATAACCACATAGTACAGGAAGAAAGAATTAGTTCGTAGAAAGAAAGATATGAAGCGATTTTAATCTCTTAGTTTAAGGGAAGACAAAGAGTGTATACACCGACGCCATTGTGATCGATTCTCAGCCATATCACCAAGAGTCTCCAACTATTGGTTACGATTGTCACGCGGACCCCAACCAAGTAGTTTGCATCTACCAACATGGCTCAGACTAGAAGTTAGTGACTTCAAGCACTGATGCCACATTTTGGTTTGGCCACCCCTAACGTTCTTCCAATTATCCCCAGCACCGGTTAGCACTGCACCTCGTGGTAATCGGTGTTCGAGCATACGTAACACGTGGCCCAACCATCTCAGTCGATGAAGATTCACAACCTCATCGACTGATTTACCGTCATCATTCCCTAATACCATGCATTTAACCTCACTATTACTAACCCGGTGATCCCAGCAGACGCCGGCAGTATTTCTAAGGCATCTGTGGTCAAATACTAGTAGCTTACAAGTATCTTCTACTCTTAATGGCCACATTTCGCATCCGTAAAGTAGAGCAGAACAAACTGCTGCACAGTATACTCGTCCTTTTATTGATAGACGGATATCTCGCCTTCGCCATAGGTGACGTAAGTTGGCAAGAGCCAACGAAGAGTAGATAAATGGTAACTAATAGGAACTATAAACAAAGATGGATAGTGGCTAGCAGTGAAATCTAGGACGCACGTTTCGTCTTTGTTTATAAGGCTTATGAATTAAGACAATATCGAGGCAATACACACAGTACGCACATATTCCAATAAGAGACTGATCAATTGCAGTCCTAAACATCAATGGGAAGATTCATGTAAACAATACCATGTGAAATTTTGAGTAAATTTCCAAACTATTGATTTTCTTAATTGAGGAAAATACCATGTGAGTTTGATAGCACCTAATTATGGACTATTATTACATATATTCCTATTGGATAACTATTGAGTAACTACGTTATATATGTATATTCATATTCCTTTTGTTATAAGCTTTCATTTGACCTATTGACTATTATTATACGATTTACTATTCCTGACTTATTTTCAATTTATTAGTTATAGTCCTTCACAATCACAGCTACTTTTTGGCTTGATGTTGTATAATAATTATTTTTTATGTTATGGTATGATATGGTCTGGTTTGTTTGTATATAAACTCAGTATGTCTAAAATATGTGATTTGTATGATAGAGGCTGATATTGGCGTTCTGGACTAAACCGGCTGGGTTAGGAGAAAAGCTTTTAGTCTCGATGAATCAATAAGAACTCTAGGCTGCTCGTACAGATTTATGTGTCATTAGTCTGGTCATATAAGTCGGTGTCTTTAATTAGCAGCGGTATCACGTGATACAATTAGTTGGGCATAAGAACACAACACTAAGATTCTCAGTTGATATTCGTATTCAGCAGTGACATTTTAAAATAGTTTTTAGAATGCATGAATTGTGACTAGTTTTGGAATCTAAGACAGACATTTCGTTCTATCTAAGACTTGTCAACCAGATGTATGTGAATAGCAGTATTCAAATAAGCATCATACTTCTGTAAATATGTTAGTAGCTATCTGAACTTACTAGTTAAGTGGATAAGGCACTTAAAGTTACAAGTATTGGGTTCGAGTCTCAGTGTGAACATTAACATCGGAATAAAGGTAAACCTAGTTAAAAAGCGCCTATCATTACTATTATTATTATTGTTATTATTATGATCATTGTCACTACCATCATGACTTTTATATCATCATTTAGAATTGTATAATGAAACTTGGAACATGGACTTATCAAGGAAATACAGTAGATTTAAAATTACAATGTGATAATGAAACTGAAGATGTGGATCAACCATGTCATTATATGAATGATGTCGATTTATCTACTTATTTAGCTCATAGTGAATGGGCTTTAGAAAGTAAGTCATCTATGTATTGAATCAATTTTATGTAGGATAATGAATTGTGTTTATCGACCATCAGTTTGGAATGAAGGTTTTCCAACTCCCCTAAGTGAGTCCTCCGTATCCACCAACCCGGTCAAAGCCCCCATCGGACATTCTCTTTTTGTCCTCTCAATTCTGTAATCAACTGTCTGGTCACGAGAAGGCAGTGAGTAGGACTTCCCTGGTAGTGGTTGTATACTCATGGCCATGTGGGAGAGTTAACTCTCCCCATCCTCGCCCGTATCAGGGCACTTGGGGGCAAATTTTTTCATCCATTTTAAATAGTTGAAATGAAGACAATCACAAGAAATTAAAGAAATTACTTTACTCAATCATTTGATTGAGCTATATATATATGGTGTATGCTACTTATGTTAACAAACATGAGTATTATGTAACACCAGTCAGAAGTGGAATGCCTGACAGCAGAAGATTGAGAAGATTGAATTGAAGTGAACAGAAAGGAGAACAGAGAGCACTTATAATAACAACTGGAATGAAAGAACGATGAAGCTTTTAAGAGACAACTGATGTAAGATGTGCAGATTATGAATTTAATGTATAGTTTACATACTGTACGGAGACATTCTGTAATTTTACAATGAAAAAATAAATTGGTTTCCTCCAACTAAATCCTCGTTCACTATTTGAAATGGTTTTCTGAAATATCCAGTAGTTGATATTTTCTAGCTGACAATTTCCAAATAAGACGAAATATACATCCTGAATACTATAGCTAGTCATACTCCATCTATTCTATACTAATCAAGACTTGTCTCCAAAAGTATGAAAGATTCATTGAAGATTCCTTGACTAGTCATTGGTAATGATCTAACCAAGTTTTATTATTTACATTATGTAATATACTTACAAAATAGATTTTCATTTGATTTCCATATTTCAATTGTTTTTCATTACAAAATCAAACAAACAACCCCCCCCCTCACACACACACATTAGGTGCTTCCATTAAACGTAATATACAAACTTATGGTGGTGAAGATCAAACATACATTGATGTTACCATTTATGTTTATATGCAACGTCGTGCATTGTATTACATGTTCAATATTATCATACCATGTATGATAATGTCAATGATGGCATTACTTGTATTCACCTTACCACCTGAAGCCAATGAGAAAATTGTATTAGGTAAGATAGAATGTTACCTAACTGTACTATTTATAAGTGATAACAGTCTGTTATTTTCATTTGATTGATTCAAAAAGTGAGCTCCCTTTTATCATTGGTTTGGCCAATTTCAATACTGAATATCCACTTTATGTGGGTACGATGAATTTTCACAAGAATGAATCATTACACAACAAAATAAGATTGAAAATATTATTACCATTTTGTAGATAACATGTTAATCGTTTTTGATTGAGATCACGAATCGATTGATGTTAGACCATCATTGAAAACCTGGAAGGCACTCGACGGTCGTTTCGTCCTATTGTGGGATTCTTCAGCAGTGAACATCCACGATCCCGTTCACGCGATTCGAACCTATGGCTTTCGGCTGTCCAGTGCTTTCAGGTTTTCAATGGTGGTCTAACACCAACCGATTCACGATCTCAGTCAGAAACATAATAATCTCTACAACTCTATACTGATAATTACTATGTGCTCATCAGGGAATAAATTCTCGAGGGAATTCTCGGAATTCTAGTGAGAGACCGTGACCAGTGGAGCTAATCCATATCAGGTAGAAACAGGTTTCTACCTAAGTATAACTGAAGATGGTTGCGCAATTTCGTGGATTGGTTGGAGTTAGACATTAACACCGTTAGATCGCGGCTCAGTGGTCTAGAGGTCAAGCGTTCGCTCGCTAGACCGAAGGTTCTGGGTTCGAGTCGATCTGATGCGGTATCGTTGATGCGCACCGCCAAGGAGTCCCACAATAAGACGAAACGGCCGTCAAATGCTTTCAAGTTTTCAATGGCAGTCTAACATCAACCGATTTGTGATCTCAGTCAAAAACATAACAATTTGCGCAAACCCATACTAAACATGTTGATCGTGTTTGACAAAACAGTCAGTCACAAAGACTTTTTAAATCTCTTTGATACAATAAATCAATCATTTAAATTCATATGTGTGAAGGCTTATAGTAATAGAACGATGCTTCTCGAAATCTTCTTCAGAAAGTTTCCAAGTTCATGAATATTAGTAACTTAAGAAGAAAAAGAAACGATGTTATCGTTTACCCCTATGATTCTGTCACTATCTTACGCCTTCCGATGCTTGACTTAGCTAGTTATGGAAGTAAGAAGATCAAGAATATGTACTTAGCTTTTTGATAAAGGCCGAAAAATTATTTATGCGATTTATGAGCATACATATATGATACTGACATGATTATACAAAGATAGATGAGTGGTGATATTGAATATGTGAATAATTTACCTTGAGATACCATATGAATTCTATAGAACCTCTATATCTATCCTTTCTACTTTGTTGAATTTAGATCTTTCTCTTCTGTTTCCGTTGAAATGAAGACATATAATATTCTCTCAACTATAATTACATCTGAATAAGACTGATAAGTCCTGGGTTCGAATCCCGCTAGGCGGGATCGTGGATACTCACGGCTGAGGAATCCCATATTGGGACGAAACGGCCATCCAGTATTTCCAGGTTTTCCAGGATGGTCTAGCTTCAATTGGCTCATGATTTCAATCTGTGGCATTTTTTATTTGTTAAAGTTTTCATCTACGATTTCTATCTGTCAAGTTTCATCTGTTCCTTAGATTTTATTTTATTTTCCAACAGGTGTTACCACTTTACTTTCGTTGACAATGTTATTACAATTAGTAGCTGATAAACTGCCACAAACATCATCAGGAAATCCTGTACTTGGTTAGTTTCTATGACTGTTTAATAATTTATATAATGGCTATAATTAATTGAAGGCAATTTATGTTATAATAGTTGTGAGTATATGCAAAGATGGATAGTGGCTAGCGGTGGAATCCAGGATGCGCGTTCCCTTGCTAGCCACTATCCATCTTTGCTTGTGAATTAAAGGTTATATCGAGGCAATACAACACAGTATGCACATATGCCAATAAGAGACTGATCAATTGCAGTCCTGAACATCAATGGGAAGATGCAAGCAAAACAATACCAAGTGAAATTTTGAGTAAATTTCCAAACTATTGATTTTCTTAGTTGAGGAACAAGATTTGACTGAAGTACCAGTAAAATGAGATGATTTAGGACCTCGTGATAGATTCATCTTGGTAATCTTGTTAAATTCAACATAAGATTTATCGTAGCCTCAGTCGTTCATTTGTAATATCCATGACTATGATACTGAGTGATATGGCTTCAATAAATACATATACTCTTTGTTGATGAAACCAACTTTCAACAAACTTAGACTTCAGTATCTTCTTGCAATCTGAATGTAGTCACTTAACATCAACAAAGAATTTGCTAAGGATTAAGGATTGAACACTACGAACTTTCTGGATCTGAATGGTCACTGAAAAACAGGAAGCAGTCGGCAGGTATTTAATTGAAATGTGAAGTTGTTCAGTAGTAATCAGTCAAGACATTGTTAGGGTTTGAATCCTTCAGATGGTGAGCATTCCAGTAAAGTATTGTTGGTCATCTATTTGATTACATCCATAGGTAAAAATCTTAGTAACTTACTTCGTACCCTTAATAAACAAACCATATATGTATTATGATAACAACCACATTAGGCTAGTGACAATTCAAAATAAAAACCATACTGACTATAAGCAAATATAGATATTGGCTATCAATGAAGTCCAGGACTCGTGTCTTGTCTGATTTAGGACTCGTCCACCTGATATACCTGCAATCCAGAGTTGATGTTCACTACGGGACTCAAACCCGTTGACTATCAGGAATCAGTAGCTAAGTTGACAACGTGATGGCGTTTGAAGTGAACAATATTGGGTTCAAGTTGCAGAGTGGACATCAACTCTGAGATTCAAAGACATTCAGTTGGATTCCACTGATAGTCACTATCCATCTTCCCTTATAATGCTCATGACTTGAGGCAATATAGAGGCAATGCGCACAGGATGCGGATATGCCAACATGAGACTAATAAATTACAGTTTTAAACATCAATAGGAAGATCCGAACAAACAATACAAATACATTATCATATTAATCCTAACTTTATTGACTAACATTTCCAAATATTCTTATTTTTCATCTTTTATTTCACATCACTGAAACTGTTCAATTGTCAAAAGTCTTATATTTCACATGCACAATGATCCTTTGTTCACTTTCATTGGTATGCGCTGTGGTTTTGCTAAATTGTCATCATCATACAGGAGGTATTGTTTATGTACCATGGTGGGTAAGTTTATGGAATTTTCGGATTCTTCAATAATTCGCTATAAAATATGTCTTAATAATCTCTGACTAAGGTATAAGCTACTATGTTTAAAGATGGTTAATCTGTTGACGTAGTAGGTAAGGAATCTTCATTAATTGAGGTGGTTAGGACAAAGATGACATATTCCCAACCACTGCCTATTTCGACAGGTAATAGTGTTTAGTATACAAGTGGGCTGGAAGAAAGCTAGAAGCGGCCAAATCAAAATGTGTCGATGGCCTATAAAGTCATTCGCAATTAAACTGAGCCGTTATGAAATGTGAATACTGCCTGGTCGGGGTCCGCGTGATCATCGTAAGTAATATCTGAACAATATGGGTCAGAATCGTTCTCAATAGCGTAGATCTACTCACACTTTGTCCTTCTCTTAGAACCTGGGTCGCGAAATCTCATATCTTTTATTTCTCTGACATTCTTGATATTTTGTGCTGACCATACTACTATTATTACTACTAATGATACTGCAACTAAGTTTACTGCTCTTGGATATGTGATGATAATTTTATCTCTCTGTGCTAATGTAGTGTCAGGCTCTACATTGTGCAAAACTGATTGACTTTTTTCAATGTGGATTCGCTTATCCTTGTTAGTTATTGAAAATTTCAGAGCAATGTACAGCTCGTTCCTGATAGCGTAGGACTTTCCTATCAGTAAGCACCCACGACCACACCTTGCATCGAATTCAGGACCTGCAGGTCCATCCTAAGATAAGCATCAAAATAATCACTTTAAAGTCTCATCATTAATATTGTAGTAATGCTCATTAACGAGTTCGAGAAGAGTTCCTGAATTTCCAGTGGGAAGGAATGACCAATGAAGTTCAACCATGTTGAGATCAAAATTATAGTCACTAATTTCATTGGATGATCATATCACTTTGTTGCATGTAGATCAATTTTAGAAACATTTACCATCATGCACAAGCATAGTAGTTCAATGGCTAAGCGCTCTCTGTGAAAAGTGAAGGTCTAGTCTTTAACTGATCAAAAGTAACCAGTTTACTCCTTGTTTCAAAGCACACACACATAGTGATAAAACTGTGGATACTTATGAATTAACCATTGAATATGTGAGTTTCTTAACTCACTATTTCAACTATTCACATACAGTTAAAGAAAATTCAAAATGATAATCAATTGACTCATAATCTTAACTATCAAAATTACTATAATATCCACAAAAACCCCTTGTGATATTCATCAGCATATGCTCAATAGTGACTGATTTCAAGAGATATATTCTGGAGTTCTTGTGAGAAGTCGTGACTAGTGGAGTTCAGCCGGATTTGTTGTGAGATAGTAACTCACTGAAGACAATGATGAATGTGTCACTCAATTTCGTGGACTATTTGAAGTTAAACATTAACATCGTTAGATATCGGTTAACTCAGTGGTCTAGAGTTTAAGTGTTCGCGCGCAAGATCGACAAGTCCTAGTTTTGTATCCTGTGAGGCAGGATGGTGGATGTGCACTGCTGAGGAGTCCCGCAATCCGATGAAACAGCCTTCCAGTGCTTCTAGGCTTTTCATGATGATCCACCATTAATTGAGTTATGATGTCAGCCATTAAAATTACTATAAAAAAGACGTTGAACAATAAAAAAATGGATATGAAATATTGACCACTTTTCATTAAAATTTATTTCTGTTGCTGTTAATTTTTCATTTTAAGTCATCCATAATAACTCATGAGCACATACAATTTGCATTCATAATTATTCAGTCTAAGCAAAACTGAGTCAGAAAGGTGGTCTAAACATGCTAGGGTTGAAGCTATCACAAGTTCATTTAATCTGCGAACGGAACAAAGACTCGGTGACCAAAGACCAGTAAGCTAGCTATTTGATGCGTCTCAGCCCCGTTAACCAGAGGGAGAAGTCTAAGGTTAGAATGGGGAAGTATATTCTACAAAACAGCCAGAAACGAGCGATAACAGCAAGCACAATTCAAAACGTATATATACAGTACAAAACCATCCTTGGAGAGAGTTACCAAATAGCATACTAAAAGACGCAACGGACCAATAGCATTTAAGATATTTCCCAGTAGGAAATACGATATGAGGGTGACAAGAGCGACTTTGACGTGAAAACAAACAAATTCAAATTTTCTAGATAAAATTAGAAAATTAGGTCCTTTGCCAAGTGAGTTCTGGGGAACTAACGTCCTCAACAGAACGTTTAACTATCCTACCTAATGAAACCATAAGACATAAAATTTAATTTTGCCAACTCATTGATTAGACAATCTCAGTTTATTCGCGACTCCTATCGGTCATAATAATGGTGATAAAGATACTTACCGAACTCAGTAGAGTAGTAATGCAGAGAAACGGGTGACTGTATCCACAAACATAACATTATGAGATGACTGTTAGTCGGTCAGTCAGTCAGTTACAACTTAGGACGCGGCACATATATGCGTCAGTTGAAGTTGCCATACCTCATTAGCACAACAACATGAACACCAAATTCATAAAAGTAATTAATTCAGTGATGGTGGTGGTGGTGGTGATGATGAACTATGAATTATTGATCTCTTTTCATTAACATTCTTTTTCTATCTTCATTATTATTATTATTCATACAGATTGAAACATTAATTAATATATGGTTAGCAAGTATTCTAAGAATTGATCATGATCTATCGGATCCTAACAATAATAATAATAATAATGATAATCACCATGGTGATAATACTAATAATAATAATAAAACGGAACCAAATTTTAAAAATTCTAAAGAAAAATTAATCCCTAGCGAAAACTCTTTTCAATTAGATCAATATGATTATGATAAATTCAATCATCATATACACCTTAATCATTCATATAATAATAATAGTAATGGTAATGGTAATAGTAATGTAAGAAATGCTACAGTTTGGTCCAATATCATTGATATGAATTCGGAATTTCGTCCAACAATTGTCATTCATAAATCATTCAAACATGATAATAATCATAATGGTAATATGAAAAAATCTTTATTCATGAATCAAATCAAATTGAAATCTGAATTACAAAGTAGAATTCAACAAAATTATTTCATTGATCTGGATCTGGATTATGATCGTGATCGTTGTGATCAACATCGATTATCAACAGATTTATTAGGTAAACCATTGAATAATATGCCTTATCATACCACTAATACTAATACAATACCAGAGGATAAAGGGAATAGTCGAACAAATGCAACTAGTCGGTTACAATATACATGCAAACAAAATTTAACTGAAAAGTCAAGTAAGTAGTATGGTGTTTTTTGTTGTGTGGAATGTTTTAGCCAATTCATTCATTCATTCATTCATTCAGAAAGTAAGTTAGTAAGACAATTGTGTACAGTGTATGATCTACCATTAATGAACATCCTTTCAAATGGTTGTTTTTAATCAGTTCAGTAAAAAAGGAGAGTAAATAACTTACTACTTACTTACTTCTAATACCCCGATGGAGCATACGCCACCGACCAGCATTCTCCAATCCACTCTATCCTGAGCCTTTCTTTCTCATTCTATCTAATTGTTGTTCATTCTTCTCATGTCTTTCTTCATTTTTCAGCGTAATGTGTTCTTTGGTCTTCCTCTTTGCCATTAGCCTTGAAGATTCGAAGTGAGGGCTTGTCTTGTGACGCAGTTGGGTGCTTTCCTCATTATATATCCTATCCACTTCCAGCGCTTCTTCCTGATTTCTTCCTCTTCTGGGATATGGTTTGTTCGCTCTCGCACAGTAGGTTGTTTCTGATAGTATCTAACCAACGGATCCGAAGTATCTTGCATAAACAACTGTTAATAAACACTTGTATGTTATGGATGATGACTTTCGTAGTTCTCCGCGTCTCCACCCCTGTTATGGCTTTAAGTTGCTGTCGATTTCTACCCTGTGTTATCGATCGATTACAGTGACACATAAGCACGTACGTACGACCTAGAGTCTCGATTGGTCCCACTTCCCTGTCTAGCCCAGTTAGTTGAGTCCAGAACACAAGTCACAGCCTCGGAGATATGAATCATTATATTTCAAACATACTTTGTTTATATACCAATCAAGCATACCACATCGTACCATAAAATAGAAAACAACATTTTGTACAATATTCAACAAGTGAACAGATATCGACCAATAGGAAATGTCCATTTAAAGTCCAAGGACACCACTGGACTTAACATGATAATTATTGGTCTATTCCTCCGCATCCACAACAACCCCATACATTGAAACTGTCTTGACATTTGTATTAAAAATCCTAACTTAAGTGTTGGTTGACAGTTGTTTTGATTTGCAGATGTTCTTTAATTATAAATATGCTGCTCTTGCTTTGCCGATCCGCGCCTTCACATCTGTACCAGATCCATCGTGTTCATCAATGATGCTACCCAGATATGTACAGGTTTTTAAATCTTCCAAATCTTCTCCGTCAAGTGTGATTTGATCGGTATATCTTGTGTCTTCAGTGACTTCATGCACTGATAGTGCGTCTTGCTCTAGTCACTTTGAGGTTTCTTTCAACTTATCACTATTTCAACAACCATATTGCCTAAAACAAAGTGTTAATTAGATATTCGTGCTACATGTCCCAGTTATCTTAGCCAACTAATTGCTCCATTAAACCAATTTACTATCTTCATCTATTACCCTAAGTTTAACCTTAAACATTTCTAATTCATTTGTATCATCACAATTGAATAATGCTTCGAAAATAATACTGGTGTACTAGTGATAACAGTTACTATAAATGAAACATAATAATTACTGGAATTAAATTTTGTAAACGATATCACATTTCAATGACTTCTGTGTTTATAGGGATAAATTTAGTTTCAAAAGTACTCAACTATTGAATTTTATGCATTTGTTTAAACACATAAACATTGGTACGAGGAGGCGCCGAACAGATATGTGTCACATAGATCGAATGATTTATGTGAGAGCTCGGATACTGAACGGGTGCTCAGACCGAAGCAGATGGTCCTGTTAGGGGGCCATACCCCGAGCATTTGACCTAAGAGTCTAATCCATAAAGCATTGGAGCATCGTAAGGAGATGCAGTCCTATGGTAGTCGGTGACCAACAATTGGTTCATACGTCGTTTGTTCTGTGGTGTGAGCTACTTGTATTGATATAAGTAGTATATAACGTGCGTTAAAAGAACGTAATGTCCGGCAGCAGAAGATGGCGAAGATCAAGAAAGGAAGAGCAAGAGCACAATGAAATTGTAAGAAAACACATGTACAATGGAATGGGCGACAATGGATTAGTGTTTGCAACGGGAACAGTACAGTTTGATATGATGGAATGATATTTTGCAAATTGACGATTGACTTTATGGTATTCACATTTTATTGAGATAGTTTGTATTGTTTGTTTTAAATACGTTCGATGGTCCCCACCCGTGTTCTTGTTCACTACAGTTCCTTCAGGATCCTGGAGCCCATGTGCACCATCAGTTTGGAATGAGGGTTTTACAACTCTCCTAAAAGAGTTCTCCGTGTCCACCAACCCGCTTTTTATCCCCTCAACTTCGTAAAGAACACTTCTGCAGATAGAAGGTAGTGAGTAGGACTTCCCTTGGACTGGTTTTAGACGCATGGCCATGTGAGGATCTTTCGTGAGGGAGAGCTAACTCTCCCCACTGTCGGTCGTACCAGAGCATTTGAGGGCGCCCAAATATTGTGAAACCATTCGATCACATCTAGACAAAATGTCTTACATATAAGATGGTAATTCTTAAAAAAAAAGTCATTTTAACTTAGCTCTTAATCTGAATATCGATCAAGAAATAACGTCCTTTCATGATCATCACTTTTTATAACTTGTAAACGAAATGTTCCTCGATAACGTGAAAAATGACGTGGAAAAACAATTGATTGATTACTGAATAGTGGGTAATGTTTGATTTATCTAGTCCATTAATGCTGATGGAATTTTGTCGAACAAGTTATAATAAGGTAGGTCACTAGTCTGAGTAATTCAACATCTCATACACTATGTATTGGTGTTAGGTGGATGGAGTTAGTGGATAATTAAAACCTCCTTAAAATTGATTTCTAACTAGTTTATACTCATCCGCAAAGTCTGTTTCGATTCTTAAAGGAAGTGATATTTTCGGTGCATAATTCCGACCGATATCATCCAGTTTCACAGTATAGAACATTTAAAACTGATCCAGTTCAGTCATGAATACCCTCTTATAAGACCAGGACATTTACAATTGATTAATCACTGAATATTGACTAATGTCATGTTTATTTAATGCTTTAATATTCATCAAATTCGATCAACGGTTAAAGAAACCTATCGTCCTATGTTCTGATTACCTCAAAACGGATTAATGACTTTCAAGATCATTCTATATGAGTTAAGATGGATAGTGGCCAGCAGTGGAACCCAAGAGGCGCGTTTCGTCCTATTTGGGACTCGTCAACTGGATGCACCTGCATCACAGAGTTGAGGCTCACTCTGGGACTCAAACCCATCAAACACCATCATGTTATTCACTTAGCTGCTGAATTCTGATAGCCATTTGCTTGTACAATAGAGTGAAGTTTAAATTGTTCACTTGAATCCTCCCATTGATATTTGAAACTGTAATTGATCAACTATGAGATACAGGTACATCCAGTTAACGAGTCCAAAATCGAACGAAACGCTTGTCAAAAATGGATTTCACTGTTAGCTACTATCCATCTATGTTCATAATGATTGTGACTTGAGGTAATATTGAGAGATTATCCACACAGGATGCATATATGCCAATAAAAGAGACTGATCAATTGTTGTCCTAAACAAGAATGGGAAGATTCAAGTCAAACAACAATATGAGTTGTTTAAATTTGTTATTCCTTGATATTATATAAATTCAACTAATTTAATCACATTGATAATCTCTTTTCAGAATATTTCAATAAAACAATTCCAAGATTTCATTTATCATCATCATCATCATCATCATCATCTAATGAATCTCCACATGATTCATCATTATCTTCATCACCAACACCACTACCACCAGCATCGTCGTCGGCGGCAGCGGCGGCGTCGTCATCATCATCATCAAGATCCACAGTATTTTCATCTCCAAATAGAATTACTGATCCAAGTAGTTCTAGTCCATTCAAACAGAATCATAATAATAATGATTCTATGAATTTTGATATAATTCTATTAAAATTAAAACAAATTTCTAATGAATTACGTTTTATTACATCCGATATGCATAATAAAGATAAAGAGATAAAAACATCAAATCAATGGCGTTTAGCATGTCGTGTATTAGATCGTTTATGTTTATTAATATTTACTGCATTAAATTTATTTACTACATTAGGGATATTAACATCAGCACCAACTGTGATTAAAGCATTCACATCAAGAGGTGCACCATCACAATCAATGTAATATCTATGTATGTATCTAGGTATATATGTATGTATGTAAGTTGGTATGTATGTGTACGTATGTTGTATGTTTGTTAATATGTATGTATGTATGTGTATGCATGCATGTAAGTATGTATGCGTGTGGTATGTATGTATGTGAGTATGTATATGTGTGTATGTAAGCATGTATGTGTGTGTGTTTGTATGTAGTAAGTATGTATGAATGTAAGTATGTAGGTAGGTATGCAGGTATGTATATGATAACTTACATTGAGTACTTAACTTTTTGTTCCGTTTTTCAATTTTTACACTGTTCATGGATTATTCTAAGAAAACAAACTTATGCTGGTATTCTTTTCTTTCTTTCTCCCTCTCTCTCTCTCTGTGTGTGAGAGAGTATGTTACTAGGGGGTTTTAATGTTTACCATTGGAAATTGCTTTTGTTTTTCCCATTGATTTCATTATACGATATGATTACATATTTAAATGTTAATACTTAATACATGTAAAGTCATATTACGAAATTGAATTACTTATAATGATGTTAATATTTAAATGGATGTTCTTTATTGTTATACAAGAAATGGTGTCTAAATTTAATCGAATACTTTCATAATATTTGAGAGCTGAGTTGTGAAAGTATTGGACAGCTGTTTCGTTCTGGGTTGGGACTGACATTAGTGAACGGTGGCACAATATTGTGAATTGGTTGAAGTTAGACATTAAAACCGTTCAATGCCGGTTACCTCAATCGTCTACAGGTTAAGCATTCACTTGCGAGATCGAAGGTCGTGAGTTGAAATTCGGCGTGCAGAACTGTGGATATGCACTACTGAGGAGTTCCATACTAGAATGAATTTAATAAAAGAAAGAAACCTATTAAATATAAGAAATTTCGTCTTAATTTGATCGAATACTTTCACAATATTTGGGAGCTGAGTTGATGTGACGATGTACTTGTAAAATTTCAGTGAATGAATTTGAAGTAAATCTTTTTGTTATATATCATTTCGTAAGGAATTAAACGGTAGAAATGCAACGGATGATCAATTTATGTTATTTAAGCATAGAACTGAACTGTTTTGTAGATAGTTTTGACGATTTTACGAAAGTACTTAATAAGTCTTTTAATTGAACGCTAGATTCGGTTTCTAAGTTCTTCTGATAAGCCCCAGGTTAAATCTACGCAGTGACTTGAAGACGAGAGAAAAGGTGAGTGATATAGAAGAGAGGCTTTACTCCAAAGGTTCACTTATGCATAGAAAATCTAGAGTATTTATAATATTTTTTGGATGGTTTTGAGTTTCCGGTAATTTCTGGAACCCTACCAAACATAGTAGCAGTATAGGTAATCATCCAATCAGAAACGTAACATGTGACTTTTCACTTTTCTTGTTGTTTCTGGCTAAACTTCTATTGAATGCTAATTGGAAAAGATGCTTCTCAATGTGCTCAGAGCCTTTTTGACTTTTTTTTCAAAGAGTGTTCTGGATCTTCTGAACAGCAATTGATTTGGAATATATTCAAGCTATGTAAAAAAAAATTGATTGTTGGACATATATTTTATCTTGCTTGAAATTCGTCAGTTAAATACACTTTCTTCTAAACGTTGATACTCGAAATGAAACTAGAACCTAGTGCTTATTGTTTCAAATTCCAACAAATAACTTGTGGCGATCAACTAACCTGGCACATATACTAGATGAAGGCTCATTAGTTTCAATCCCGAAATAATAACAAAAAGAAATTATAACGGTGAGATGGATGACGTTAAGGAACGATGAATGACCTTGGAGTAAGTTATGTCCGAACAAGTATAATGAATGGTAACTTTTGGGATCCATTTATGGACCAATACTATGCGTACATTTTTATCGTATAATTGTTTAATAACTAAACTATTCATACTTATATTCCTCTTATTATAAACTTTATTTCAACCTATGAACTGTTATCATGCGTTTTACCATTCTTGAGTTATACCCAGTATATTGATTACTACCTCCCACATTCACAGCCACATCTGTTGTTTCCTATTTTATTGGTACTTTGTGGTCTGTTTGATTGGTATATAAAGTCAATATGTTTGAAAATAAATGATTCATATTGTAGAGGTTAGGATTGGTGTTCTGGACTTAACTGACTGGGATAGGCGGAATGCAGGATCAATCAGAACTGTAGGCTGCTCATACGGGTTTACGCGTCATTGTTCCGATCGATAAGTTATTGCTCTCTAATCGGCGGTCGCAATATATAACAGAATATTAATCTACTTAGTAGGTTATCTGAAGTTTGTGCTGATGATGTCGTTCAGAAGAACGATGAAAGCTCCACGACCAAACCATCCAGCTCAGAGAACAAAACTCCACCAAAATCATCCACCTGAGCTACAAATCTTCTCCACCATCTCGAAGATTATAAAACATTATGAAGAATAAAGATTATAAATTACATTTGATGTTTAAGTTTAGGAATTAGATTTAGGGTTGTTATCATGAAATGACATTAGTTGTAATGCTAATGAATTTCGCGCTAGAATCAAAGATCTGATATTTTGAATGTGATTGGTTCGTCAATAAATTATAATCTCATAGCTCCTATTACCGTTTTAAGCTTGAAACGATAATGTAGAACACAGTGAATTATTCAAATTGAACGTCACTTCTGTTGTAACGTGTGGGACTGCAGGTTTTGATAAGCAGAGTTTATTTATTGATCGATCACAGTGACAGGTAAACACGTACGGACGGCCTAGAGTTTCGATTGGTCCCACTTCCCTGTCTAGCCCAGTCAGTTGAGTTCAGAACACAAGTCACAGCCTCTAAGTTCTGAATCATTATATATCAATCATACTGGGTTTATACACCAACCAAACAAACCACATCGTACCATAAAATAGGAAACAACATTTGTACAATATTTAACAAGTGAAATAAACATCGACCAATAAGAAATGTACATTTAAGATCCAAGGCCACCATAGACTTAACACGATAATTATTGGTATATTTTTCCGACTATCCTAACAACTTCAATGTTATAATCTTCATCAAGTCTAAAGGAAATAGTCTTATAAATGACTAAATGGATTGAGTAGACAGTTTTGAGCATAATAGAAACTCAATATATCATTGATAAGTAGCAATGAACTTCATGTTACGTAATTCGTCTTGTTTTTAGTGACTGATTTATTGAGTGAGTATACTTGGATTTCAGTGTTGATAACCACATTGAAACTTTCATACAATGAATGATTGCTTTTTAGTTGCCATAATTCTATCCATCTCTCGATATATCGTCTCAATTCACAAAGTGCCTAGATATTCTTCTGTAGAATTTGAAATGGAACTTTATGAATATTAATGATGAAAATGTTTAAATAACCATAATAAAGTTGTATTAAACCTGTAGAATAATTGGTGGACATCATAACTCATTAGTCTTTATGATAGGGAGTAAAACGGTCGAACGCGTTGACAACTTCACTTATCTTGAAAGTCTGATCAGCCCTAATAGGTTGGTGTCTGGTGAAATTTGTGCATGGATTCGAAAAGCTCGCTTGTCTTTTGTCAACTTACGTCACCTTTGGTGAAGGCGAGATATCCGTCTATCGATAAAAGGACGAGTATACTGCACGGCAGTCCGTTCTGTTTTAATTTACAGCAGCGAAACATGACCATTAAGATTAGAAGACACTCGTAAGCTACTAGTATTTGACCACAGATGCATTAGAAATATTGCCGGCGTCTGTTGGGATCACCGAGTAAGTAATACTGAGGTTAGACGCAGGGCATTAGGTAATGATGGTAAATCAGTTGATGAGGTTGTGAATCTTCATCGACTGAGATAGTTGGGCCACGTGTTATGTATACCTGAACACCGATTACCATTACTTGCAATGGTAATCGGTGTTGGAGTTGGCTGGAAGAAGGTTAGGGGCGGCCAAACCAAAACGTAGTATCAGTGCTTGAAGTCACTAACTTCTAGTCTTAGCCATGTTGGTAGATGCAGACTACTTGGTTGGGGTCCGCGTGACTATCGTAATCAATGATTGGAGACTCTTGGTGATATGGCTGAGAATCGATCACAATCGCGTCGGTGTATACACTCTTTGTCTTCCCTTAAACTAAGAGATTAAAACTGCTTCAAATCTTTCTTTCTACGAACTAATTCTTTCTTCCTGTACTACGTTCTTATATGCAATCTTTCTTTTATATATTACCTTTACACAAAGTAAGCACTGAAGATGTACAGAATGATAATGAAAACTCTATCATTTAACCATCTATCTCACAAACCTAATCATCATCATAAAAGAGGACAATTGATTGAAAGAATATCACGAAATTATTCTTTTTTTTAATTATAATTTCCTAAAAAAAAAGAAACTCAAATCTAAATAAGTACACTGTTGGAAGTAACATTTCAAACTCGTTAAAAACACAAAGATAAAGTGTGTGTGTGTGTGTACGGGAGATTGAGGGGGGAGAACAACAGTAGATACACTAATTCACATATTGATCATTGAATATGTAATTCAAGTTTACAATATCTACATACAATGAACAAAAAGACAGATCATATAAAGAAAAACAATTACTAGAAATTCTAAACGTTTTCATTGTATCCATAGCAACTGAATAGTTCATCATGATCAATTAAATCTTTATGAAATGAGAAATAATGAAGATTGTAAAGTAGAAAATCTCCTAATCTATATTATATTTCTATTTTATATCATTAGATCGGTCTATTTCAAGAAGACATTTATCTGAAGAAGAAGAAGAAATAATCAATAATCAATACTTCTATAAAATGATTCAATGGAATCATTTTTCTTTTCAATATAAGATTATGATGATGATAATTGATAGTTTCTGTTTACAGATCATAAATCGATCCAATATTGTTTCTAAGTTATTAATCACCATCTAATATTGATCAATTCATGATCTCAATCTTTTTCTCTCTTTTTTTTTCTCTTCTCAACCTATGTATTAAGATTACAGATTTAAAGTATATTGTTATGTATATATCATAACCGGATAATGTTCATTGAAGAACATGTATCAACTAATTGTATTTGTTTATTTTCAACATTCAATTAAGGCTATTTTGGTGTTTGAATACAAAATAGAAAAGAAGAAGAAAAAAAAAGAGAAAAGAAAGAATTTTAAACAAACTATTGGTAACAGGAACAATTTGATCACCCTTTCCCACCTCCACCCTCCACCCTCAACCCCCACCCTCACTAGAAAACAACAACAATAAAACAAGCAACAAAAAAAAAATCAATTCAACTAATTATGGCATAAAAGAAGCAATTAAATTTGGTGCTGAGCATAATATAGCAAATGTGACAACAATATTACATACACTAAATATCACTAAACAAAATCGATCAATCACACGAGCTGCAAATTTCCATTCTAAACTAATTAATGATTCTTTTTCATTATCACGTAATTTTTTTGTAATAAAATGTAATTCATTAATGATAATTTCTAAATCTGGTTTATATAAATTTAATAAATCAATTGGAATTGATAATGGATCTGGTTCAATGTGTCGATCGAATGATACACCATTCTTTGATAGATCACTGAAATCATCTGGGAATACATTTTGAACATGTTCTATTGTTGATATTGATGTTAGTGGTACTGATTCTTTGAATAGAAACAAAGAGAAAGAGAGAAAATACAAGAAAAAAAAATGAATGATTATTCATATGTAGATGTGAATAGGACAAGTTAATGATTAATTGGTATTATTAACATGAACATTAGTAACACTGACATTCAGGTAGATCCAGTTGACGAGTCACAAATAGGACGAAATGCGCGTCAAACTAGATTCTGTCATATATCCTAGTGAAGATTACATTACGAGTAACTTCCGCTGGGATCTATTAATGGACTAATATTATCTATACATTCTTATGGTACAACTATTCAATAATTAGATTATGTATATTTATATTCCTCTTGTTGTATGCTTTATTTTGACCTATAATTTATTATTGTACGATTTACGGTTCTTAAGTTATTCCCAGTTTATTGACTACTGCCTCCCACGTTCACAGTCACTTTTTGACTTTATTGTGTACAAATGTTATTTCTTATTTTATGGTGCGTTGCGGTCTGTTTGGTTGATATATAAACCAAGTATGTCTGAAATAAATGACTCGATTCGCATATTGGAAGTTGGTATTGGTGTTCTGGACTCAAATGGACGGATTAGGCTGACATAGGACGAATAAGGACGCTAGGCTGCTCATACCGCTCGAACGTCATTGGTTTGACACAGTGCTGGGATTGTATAAGTCGTATTTTGATTGGTGGATAAATCACGCGATAAAAAGCCGGACATAAAGTCATAACAGACTCCACTATTCATTTTTACATTTATATGCTTGTGAATGAAGGCAATATCGAGGCAATATGCATAGGATGCACACATGTCAATAAGAGACTGATTAATTATAGTTCTTAACATCAATGAAAAGATTCAAGTAAACAGTACCAAGTGAATTTAAAACTTCACTATATTTCACAAACAAGTAACTATCTTGACTCAGTAGCCAAGTGGATAACATGATCGCGCTTGAAGTGAACATGACTGGGTTCAAGTTGCAGAGTAAACATCAATTGTGAGATTCAAACGCATTCAGTTGACGAGTCCCGACTAGGACGAAACGCGCAGATCTTGTATTTCATTACTAATCACTATTCATCTTTACATATACAACATGATATGAACATTTTAAGAAAAAAGTATCCAATAAATGACAATCTCATATTTATCTTATAGTTTTAACTTACTTGAATTAAAATTACCTACAGAATTGTATAGTCGATAAGGAGATTGCACTGTTAATGATTGATTGGATACTGGTAATGATGATAACAAATTAGTATTCATTTTTAATTTAGTATTATTATTCAATATTGTTTGTTTTTCATGCATATTTATGAAGATATTACTTTTATTACTGTGAGTAGTAGTATGAGTAGTATTAGTATTAGTAGTAGTAGTAGTAGTAGTAGTAATATTGCCAAAACGTGCTGTTGCACGGAAATCATCATCTAAATCAATAACATTTGCTATGGCATTTTTCGGTGTACGTTCATTGACTGTATTGTGTAATTGATAATCAATATTATTGATTGATTGATTGATCATTGGTAATGTGGTTGTTTTCAAATTTCCATTATTACATATAGGGGAATTAGTGAATAAATGTTTTTTCATATAGACTGGATTAATATTACTATTCATCATGTTAGTAGTATCATAATTCCAACCAACAAATGTTTTATCTCTTATATGTCCTTCTTCATCATCATCTTCTTCTTCTCCTCCTCCTCCTTCTTGTTGTTGTTGTTGTTCTCCTCTCGCTCCTCCTTTGATAAGTGTTTCATTTTGTGACTTTTTTGTATTGGGATAATTCTCCATGAAATTATCACTAATAGATGATGAAATATCTTCAACTTCAATAATTTGTGAACGTTTCGGAGGTTCCATACACATTAATTTAGCTAGATATGTATTGACAATATTCCTAATCTGAATTAATTCAATAAAAAAATTATGATTGTTAGTTAATAAAAGGGTTTTAACAAAAAGGTTAAGCGTTCGCACACGAGACCGAAGATCCTAGGTTCGAATCCCGCGAACAGGATTGTGGATGCACACTGTTCAGGAGTTTTATACTAGGACAAAACGACCGTCCAATGATTCCAGGTTTTCAGTGCTTGTCTAACATCGATTGATTCATGATCTTAATCATAAAACTTAACAACCTCATACTAATAAACAAAATTATACGTTAAGTATATTGCGTCATGCGAGTTGAAGTAATTAGCTGCGATGAAATTTTATGTTGACAGCCACTTATTACCATCTACTGTTCAATATAGTTACAACTAACCTTCATCGATTGATAAAATCCTGAGCTGATTAGGATGACTGAATTAAACCAGAAATTCGTCGTGCATGCGCAATGCTGAGGAGTTCCATAACAAGACGGAATGACTGTCCAGTGCTTCCAGGTTTTCTATGGTGGTCTAGCTTCAACTGACTCATGATCTTAACAATTGAAATGACTATAATATTCACAAAACCCACTTTCTGGTTACAGTCATTATGTTGTCACAAGTGACTGGCTTCAAGATGTATTTCCTGGAGTTCTAGTGAGAAGCAGTAACCATTGGAGTTCAACCTGGTCTGTTGTGAGATAGTAACTCATTGAAGACAATGGTGGATATGTCGCTCAATTTCATACATTAGCTGAAGTTAGATATTAGCATCATCGGATGCCGGCTCAATGGTTTAAAGGTTAAGCGTTCGCGTGCGAGACTGATAGGTTCTGGGTTTGAATCTCGCAAAGAGGGATGGTGCATGTGCTGAGGAGTCCCACACTAAAACGAAACAACCGTTCAGTGCTTCCAGGTTTTCCACAATGGTCTAGCTTCAATTGACTTATGATCTTAACCATTGAAAAATATATTTGTTGAGGGACCTAGACATTTCCTTGAAAAGGTATTTAGATTTCCATCCAATAAGGAAGTCAATATTATAGAGTTCGAATAGAAGACGTGTCAATAGTCAACGATAGTCAACTGAATCCTTAAGATGCCTGTTGAATACATTCCAAAAGTTATTTCAATATCATTAAATTAAAGTTGACACTAATAGTAATTCATAAGGTACTTAGGATTATTTGTAGATTACTAATTGAATGTTCGTTAGCCTACTATGATCGCTAGTTATGTACATCATTATAAAAATGCGACCGATCCCATCACTTTGGATCACTTTGATCTTGATCACATCTCTTTATTCTACTGTTAATTATTGTAGCCTTATATTCTTCAATTAGTCTAATAAATACATGAAGTGTAATCGTTAATTCTAATTCCCCACTCTTAATCATACTTTGGTGGAGTCTTGTTCTCTGAGCTGGATGGTTTAGTCGTGAGACTTTTATTATTCCTCTGAACAAAATTATCATCACTTCTACCTGAAGTGTATGTTGATGATGTTATTCAGAAGAATGATGAAAGTTCCACGATTGAACTATCTAACTCAGAGAACAGAACTCCATCTTCACCAACTCCTACAGATCAATTTTAAGCTCTTATATTCTATTTTCTTGCCACTATACAAAATGGTTTTGTGAAAGGTGATATATGAGAAGTTGTAAAGATGAATGTAGTAATTCAAGAGTCGAACTACTCTTCAATTTATTAGTATTGATTAACAACAATATTAATAAGTTGAATAGTTAAGTAAAACTTACCCAAGCTGGAACAGCAATACAATCAGCTGATCTATGATGATAATTTAACACGAGTACAGTAAATACAATAGATAATGAACACATAAACATTGTACATGAAAAGTAGATACCTGTTCAAAGTGATTTGATTCAACAACAACAAAAAAAGAGAAGAGGAAATGATTAAAGTAAAACCCAGTTACTAATGATTTTATTTATTTATTAACACATAAATATTGGTACAAGGAGGCACCAAATAGATATGCGCTATATAAATCATTCGATTTGTGTGAGGGCTGGGATACTGCCCAGGTGCCCAAACCGAATCAGATGGTTTTCTTAGGGAGCCACTCCCCGAGCCTTCGACCTGAAGGTCTGATCCACAAGGCAGTGGAGCATCGTAAGGAGATCCAGTCCCATGGAAGCCGGTGATCAACAACTGGTTCATACTTCATTTGTTCCCGCAGGATACTGGAGGCCATGTGCATAATTGGTTTAAAATGAGGATTTTCCAACTCCCCTAGATGAACTCTCCGTGTCCACCAACCCGGGTAAAGCGCCGAATATTCGCTTTTCGTCCTCTCAGTTTCGTAAACAACATCCGTTGTGCGAGAAGAAAGTGAGTAGGACGTCCTTGGTATAGATTGTATACGGGTGGCCATGTGAGAGCATTTCGAGAGGGAGGGCGGGCCCACCCCACTCTCAGCCGTACCAAGGCATTTTGGGGCAGTTACAAATGAACAATGAAAAGATTTCTGAAATATATGTCATAAATTGATTCAAGTTAGAAACGTGTATAGTTGGGCGATTACCGTTTAACCTGAAGGTATTTTTAGTTCGATTTCGCTAGTAAGATTGTATAGGTAGATTATTGATGTTGATTTTCATCCTAAGACAAAGCAGCTATTCAGTGAATCTAAGTTTTTAGAGATAATATAACTGAGTTCAGTCAGTGTGAAATACAACTTAAATGTTTGTTTATTCAATGAATTTGATAAAAAGTAAACATTGAAAAGTACTTCTTGACTTTTTTGTTTCAAAAAGAAGCTCTGGTACAGATGAGGGTAAGGAGAGTTCAAACTCCCTCTCTAAATACTCTCACGTGGCCACCCGTATACAGCTACTGTCAGAGAAGTCGTACTCACTCCATTTTCACGGTAAAAACTGAATATCTGGGGATTTAACCAGGTTGTTGGATACGGAGGATTTACCCAGGGAAGTTGAAAAACCTTAATTCCCAACTAATAGTGCACATGAACTCCAGGATACTGAAGATACAAATAGAGTATGAACTTATTCATGGTCACTGGCTACCATCACACTGATTCCCCTAAAAGTTGCCCCACTGTTTTGTAGGTTACACCTGTAAGTCAAAGAATCGGGTTGTAGCCTCTTACGAAAACCACCTCCATCAATTTGGGCAGTATCCCATCTTTCATACAAATCGAATGATGAAGTGTGATGCCTCCTTCTACCAATGTTTATGTGTTCAAACAAATAAATAATCTGGTATATTTCAATAATTGAGATCATGAGTCAATTGAAGCCAGATCACCATGGAAAACCTGTAAGCACTAGACAGCCGTTTTGTCCTAGCATGGGACTCCTCATCAGCGCGCATCCACGATCCCTCCTCGTGGGATTCAAACCCAGGACCTATCAGTCTTGCGTCAGGCGCTTAACCACTAGACCACTATTGATATTCCTGCAATCTCCACCAAATTCCTCCTGGTATATATTTGCTATTTATAAGTAATCTATAATAAGTAGTATGCTATTATCAGTTGATTTAATAAATACGGAATAAATTGTAAGAATCAATGTACATACCAATTAATGGTATAGCTTCAGATGTTTGTGGAAGTTTATCTGCAACAAGTTGTAAAAACATTGTTAATGATAAAAGAATTGTTACACCTAAAAAAAAAAACAAAAATACAAAAAGAAGGTAAACAATATCGATCCAGATAGTTTTCTTCAAAAGAAAAAGGCGCCATAAGAAAATGTACAATTCTAATCACTTTTGATTATAATAATTGTCTGTCAAACAATATTAAAGTTAGAATATTCAATACAAATGTCAACATAGTGAGTTCTATTGTTAGTTCATCATGAACTAACATCAGTTATAATGCCAGAAATCTATTTAGACAAATGGATGAAAGACTTTCGCTCCAAAATCCAAGATCTATTATCTTATACCTGATTGTTTCGTCCATAAATTGTAGTCTCGTCGTTTTATTTGTTATAGTCGCCTAATTATCACGTTTTGTATAAAATCCCTTGTGAATCGATCGTACGTTAGCATGAAGTACTGTAGTTCATGCTGTGACCTTGTAATCCCTCAACGCTTCTGATTGGCTCGTTCATCAATTAGAGTCTCACCCATTAATCTTATTCAATTAATGAATTTATTGATCAGGTCATTGGCACTGAGCCAAAATTTAAATGAAAAAGTTAATGATACTATTCTATTGTGATTAGATCAAATTAGGTGAATCAGATTTGAACCTGGAGATTAGTGGATCAAATTTGAATGACTTAACAACTAAATCATTTATTCTAATCAATCTATTTTATCAATTTTAATATGATAATTAAACTACAAAGGTTCAATACTGCCTTCCTTCGAGATACTGACAAACTCAATGAATTCAAGAGAGCTCTCAACAACAGGTTCCAAGCCTTACAGGATCTACTGAAGGAAGAAGAAACTACTATGGAGGACAACTGGAAAAGTATCAAAGAAGCACTAACTTCAACGTGTCAAGAGGTTCTGGTCCTAAAAAAGCATCATCATAAGGAATGGATCTCTATAGAAACTCTGGACAAGATCAAAGAAAGGAAGAACAAGAAGACAGCAATTAACAACAGCCGAACACGAGCAGAGAAAGTCCAAATACAAGCTGAATACATAGAAGCAAACAAGAAAATGAAGAAAAGCATTAATGCGACCTATGCTCCTTCACGAGGAGTAACAGACGTAAGTAACATTAAACTACAGAAAAAAATGTCTTAACATAAAATCATATTTACTTACCTAATGATATTTTTTCACCTGCATCTGGTGGTAACATAAATACCATTAATGCCATACCAGATATTAATAAACAAGGCACAATAAGATTAAATACATAATAAAGTGCACGTCGTTGTAGTGTAATTGCAATTTTTACATCAACAAAATCATAATCACAACATTCATATCGTTGTGCATAACGTCGAACTGACGAACCTGATATTGTAGTTGTTGTTGTTGTTTTAACCAGTAAAATGTGTAAAACAAAAAGAATAAATTACAATTAACTTGTTATATAATGAATGAAATACTTTAGAATCATTGAATGTAGACTGATTATAGCTGTATTGAATCCATTGTTTACTTACTTACGCTTGTTACCCCTCATAGAGTGACATATGGCATACACCAGCACTCTCTATCCAATTCTATCCTTTTCAGTTGTTTCCAATTGGTATTGATCCTTATGATATCTACTTTCAATTCCTGACATGGAGTGTTCTTCGGCTTTCCTCTTTTCCATTTCCCTTCAGGATCTCAAGTTAGGGTTTGCCTTGTGATATATGAGTAAACTGTTAGTTTGGTAGTCTCAGTTGATATGTAGCAAGTATATTGATCGACTATGCAGTCTAGTCACAGAATAGTCTAGATCACCTTTCATGTTATTGTATTATAATATTATGACAGAACGTTATATATTTATATGTTAATTCTTCTAAACAATCTTATGATTTGAGCAGTAAATCAATGTTGACACTAAAAATGTGTGATTTGTCTTGTTGAAAACTCAATTGAAGACCCAAATTTCGGAGTTCGTCATTGACAAATACTTATGAAAAGGCATAACTCAGTGTTATGGTCTTACAGTTTTATTTAATTACAATCCCAAGCTTTCCAACGTTTAATCAATAATAACTATGAAAGGTGTAAAAACCTTTACATATCTCGTCAACATCATTGATGAACACGATGGATCTGGTACAGATGTGAAGGCGCGAATCGGTAAAGCGAGAGTAGCATATTTACAATTGAAGAATATCTGGAACTCAAAACGACTGTCTGTCAGCCAACACTTAAGTTAGGATTTTCAATACTAATGTCAAGACAATTCTACTGTATGGCGTGAAAACCTGGCGAACTACAAAATCCATCATACAGAATATACAGGTGTTTATTAACAGTTGTCTATGCAAAACACTTCTGATCCGTTGGCCAGACACTATCATCAGTAACAACCTACTGTGCGAAAGCGAACAAACCAGATTCCAGAGGAGGAGGAAATCAGGAAGAAGCACTGGAAGTGGATAGGACACACATTAAGGAAATTACTCAACTGTGTCAAACCCTCACTTGGAATTCTCAAGGCTAAAGAAGAAGAGGAAAATCAAAGAACACATTACGCTGAGAAATGGAGACAGACATGAGAAGAATGAACAACAATTAGATAGAACTAGAAAGAAAGGTTCAGGATAGAGTGTGTAAGAGAATGCTGGTCGGCGGCCTATGCTCCATTAGGAATAACAGACGTAAGTAAGTAAGTAAGTAAGTTAGTAACTAATTCTCTACATTATTAAACAATAACCCTGCTACTGTATTGGTCTACCACAACGTACACACAAGTGTTTTTTCTTTAATAAATAAAAACACCAAACAAACTGAATCTCCTTACCACTAAGATGAAATTCTCCATTACGTGAATATTCAGATAAATCAACCGTGCCAACTTGTGTACAATCAGGTTGTGATGCGTTGATACATTGTAATTGAAAATTAATTTGATCACCATAATATGTCCAACTTCCAAATTTTAATATACAACTCTTCAATGAAAAAAATTCAAAAGTTTATTTGAACAATTTTATTGGGCTACTGAATTTAACTAAGTAGCACAGCTTATTTGAAAGAATTCTTCAATTTGCAACAAAGATGGATGGATAATGGTCAGTAGCATTTCGTCCTACTTGAGGTTCGTCAGCTCGGTATACTTGAATCTCTGAGTTGATATGTCACTCTACAACTCAAACCCACTACTACACGCTTCAAATGCCATCACGTTATCCATTGAGCTACTGAGCTCAAATAGCCACTAGGTTATGTAATGAGGTGAAGTTTTAAATCATTTATGTATGGTTTGTTTCAATCTTTCTACATATGCCAATAAAAGACTGATCGATTATAGTCCTAAACATCAGTGGGAAGATTCGAACGAACAATACAAAAATGGATTCCTCAATCTAATTCATAGCATTATGTTAATAACATTAGTGAAGTTCTCCAAGAAATATCTCCTGGAGTTCTAGTGAGAAACCGTGACCAGTGGAGTTCAACCGCGTCTGTTGTGAGACAGTAACTCACTGATGACAACGGTGGGCGGTGGAGCAACTTAATGGACTGTTTGAAGTTATACATTAACACTGTTTGATGCTAATTAGCTCAGTGCTCTAGAGGTTAAGCGTTTACACCCGAGACTGGGTCCTGGGTTCAAATCTCGCGAGTGGGGTCGTGAATGCTCACTGCTGAGGAGTCCCATACTAGGATGAGACGGCCGTTCAGTGTCTCCAGGTTTCCCATGGTGGTCTATCTTTAAGTAACTCATGAATCCGGTCATTAAAATATCATATTTGTAAAAGATACTGCTCACGAACGGAATAATGATAAACATCTGGGTCGACGGGGAGAATTAGGAACCAGATTCGTTCTACTATGTATTCCTGAAATTTCTTATCAGTCGACCAAATTAAGACTCGAATTTATTGAGATTTTGTCTAGACTGGTAAAAACTGGAGTTGATTTAGTCTCAGTCTTCGACTTCACAGTAATGGATAACATGACCTCATTAAATAATGAACCCAGCGACTTCAAGTTTCGCTAATCTGAAAGTTTCTTCTAAATCATAGAACCAAAGTCAATCTTTTCATATTTACTATTCTAAAATATTGGAGAGATCCAGAAAATTGCTCTAAAAAAGGCTCCGAAAACGCTGAGAAATATCTTATCCAATTAGCATTCAGTAGAAGTTTAGCCAGAAACATCTAGAAAGTGAAAAGTCATATGTCGCGTTTCTGATCGGATGAATACCTATACTATTACTATTATGTTTAGTAGCGTTCCAGAACTTTTTGAAAGCAAAAGATCATCTAAAATACCACAAATACCCCTAGATATTCTGTACATAAACGAACCTTCAGAGTAAAGTGTTTCTTCTCTCCTGTTCAAGTTGTTATGCGGATTTAACCTAAGGGTTACTAGAAGAGCATAGGAACCAAATCTAACATTCAATTAACAGGACTCATCATGATGTGAAACAGAATCCGAAGAAACGCTTTTCTCATATTAAACTGTTTATTAGATAAATTAAACAGAATATAACTGTCTAATACTGAATCTAATTGTATGATTTTTTTGTGAAGGACCGTTATTTAATCATCATTTAGATCGAACGATGTTGTCTGAACAGGCTCTCCACTTTAAAGGCCCGAGATCTGACTCCAAGGTGAATGTAATGATGATTGTTGTTAAAATATATATGTCACCTATCCTCTTATATAATCATCGACTTGAATCGCGTTAGTCAATAACGGATTTAGATAAGTCAAATAACGAGAATCGACTTGTGAATACATATAATTTTGTATATAAAGCGAATGGAATAGAGAGAAGAGAAACCAAGCGCAGTGAAGATGACGGGTAAGCCGACTCTCCTTTAGTCAGGCGTTAATCAATATTTACAGGCACACAAAAATACGTTACAGACATGTGATGAGTAATGGGATAAGAAATGTACACACACGTACGCGCTCATAGAAAAACAGTCAAGATTGATAAGGGAATAATTAACAAGGTCAGAATGTAGAATAGAATGGGCTGTCCGAAAGCTAGAATAAGGTATATGGGATTCACATCATAACCGACAATACAGATTCACTCTACTGGAACATTGTAATTTACCTTAACTATTCTTTAAATTCTCTTAGTGGTTTGTAATTCACATGGTTAAATACGACTATTCTTATTCTTATTATTACAGTTAACACCATACAGAGAATCATACAGAGAAGTTTGTTTAAGTTATCACAATGATATGGTATTCAACACTTTGTTAACTTAAATTTGACAATCTCCTACTTTCAATGATCGTTTTAGTCTATGGTTAAGCATATAACTAACTTGATTGATATTCATATGATGTAATGAAAGGTTTATATAAACAATACAATAACCTTCATTACTAGACTGAACTCTGAATGTTCAAACTCTTTAAGAGATACAATAACATTGAGAACGTTATCTGTCAGATATGGATGAGCTTTATTGATCACTGTTTCTATCATGATTATATAAACCTTTAATCCCTAGTTTAGTCATACAGAGTGAACGTAATGAATGAAACAAATGAAGAAGTTTGAATGGTTAATAAGTAATCAATTATTATTTATCTTATAGACCTGACTCATGAATTCAACTATTGAAATGACTAAATTCTCCACACACAAAAAAACCATCCGGAGCATAATCATCATGTGCACACTAGTGACTGGCTTCAAGATGATTTCCTGGAGTTCTAGTGAGAAATCGTGACCAGTGTGTGTAGAGGCAGGAATCCACTTCAGACAATGGATGAATGGTCGTGCAGCTATTTATGGATCAATGAATGTTAGATATTATTACCGTTGGATGTCGACCAGCTCAATGGTCTAGAGGTTAAGCGTTCGCGCAAGAGATCGAAGGTCTTGGGTTCGAATCCTGTGCGTGAGACTATGGGTGCATACTACTGAGAAGTACCATACTAGGACGAAATGACCGTCCAGTGATTTCAGGTCCTCCTTGGTGATCTAACTTTAATCATTTCATGAATTTAACTATGAAAACTATTTCCATTTACCTGTTCATCGAATGGAAACCATAAAATGTCTATATTACATGTAGATTTAAACAATCCCGGTGGCATCCATTGAACAGTACCATCATGTTTTATGATTGTATTTGTTGGAAATGTACGATCGAATTTCTCATCCGCACTAAATTTTTTTTAAAAAAAGCCACAAAAATAACACAACTGTATTTGAAGTAACAAGACGATAATATTCTAGATTGTATATAACTGACGAAGCTTTCGTGTTAGATCTTAACCAATGACACTTACACACATAATAGAGCGGTATTTATGGTTTAATAAACCTGAAAGTGAAAGAAGATCAATATTGATGATCTAACCAACCTAGTAATTTACTTACTTGCATACTTCATGGGATGACTGATTAAAAAGTCGGTCATATATGAATCATGTAGAAAACAAATTGTGTACTATTTTTGTAGTATGTGTATTCACATGTGTGGAATGGTACTATTGATGTAGATGGATACTTTCATGTCATTGATGTCACGCTCTTAATTAGACGATATTGGTACTCTGTCCATTAGTTACAAGTGCTCATTGTCGATGTTGTCAGCTAACATTTACCAGTTTATTTATCAATGTACTTGTTATATTCCGATTAGAATAATGAATGATAACTTTTGGGACCCAATTATGGACCAATACGATAAATGTATCTTTTTGTTGTATAACTGTTATGTTACTAAACTATTCATACTCATGTTCCTCTTATTATAAGCATCATTTTGATCTGTAATTTATTATTATACAATTTATCATTCTTGATTTATGTCCAGTCCATTAATTACAGTCTCCCACACTCACAGCCACTTCTGGTGTGATCTTTTACAAATGTGTATTTTCTATTTTATGGTACGACGTGGTATGTCTTGTATGTATATTATTACTCCAAAGAAGTTGTACTCACTGACTTCTCACACCACAGGTGTTGGTTACGAAATTGAGAAGACGAAAAGCGAATGTCCGGTGGGGGCTTTAACCTGGTTGGTGGACATGGAGAGTCCACCTAGATGAGTTGGAAAACCCTGATTCCAAACCAATGGTGTACATGGGCTCCAGAATAATGAAGGGATAAATGGCATATGAACTAATCGTTGGTCAACGGCTACCATGAGACCGTATCTCCTCACGTTGCTCCACTGCCTTGTGGATCAAACCTTTAGGTCGAAGGTTCCGGGTGTGGTCCCCCAAGAAAACTACCTGCTTCAATCTGGACACCTGGGCAATATCACAGCCCACACACAGATCAAGTGACTTGTGTGGCGCATATATATTTGGTGCCACTGAATTCCACTAACGTAGCTTATTCAGTGATTGATTAGTTTGTTACTATCTTTTAGTTGGACTGCTGATTATTACTCTACTTTGAATTTAGCGCTAACATTTCCAAAACCTAAAAGATACCCTCTTCACCTGAAATAAACGTGAAAAATCTATTCATCAATAAAAATTACGTAATCATATACTGGAAACGAAATAATAATAAATGAATCAATGTTAATAATTCATTCATTTACCAATTATACAACAGGATATCTGGTCTCCATACAGCAGTATATGGTAAGTTTAAAGTAGTTATATTACCAAACTCTTTAGGATTCCACAAGAAATGATAATCATTCCATATCTAGATTTAAAATAAATGAAAAAGAAAAAAGAAATACATCACATGATATGAAACTGTCATATTCATTGAAATAACTGTTGCCATGTGTATTAACATAACACACTAGAGAGTGTTATGTAATCGTCTTCACTTCGATCTACTACTATTAACGCGTTATTTATTTATTTATTTAAAGTTTAGAGATGAATACTGGATAAGAAGGGTGCACATACACCAACCAGGGAAGTTCAGAGCTGGGAGTCGATGTAGGAAGAATGATAGGAATTGAAGAAGGAGGTTGATTATGAAAACAATGGTCTTGAGTGCTGTCAGAGGTATGAGGGCGGTTATCATCTCCTGGTTGCCCAAACTGTGGAAAAGTTCTTCTGAAGGTACCTGAAAGGAAAATTGGATTAGAGGTGATCTTAGTGACCTGAGAGCGTGACTGCAGTGCCCAAGGGACAAATGCTTGATGTCGGTCACACACGACCTTTTTGTGGGTAATTGTCGCATTAACTCCGTATTTGTTGAAACCTTACTGACGGAGACGGACATCCGTGAGATAAGGCAACGTGTGCATTTTTAGGGTCAACCTTTTCTACCCCCAACCCTCTTTGTGAGAAGCCAGCATTGCTGTACAGTCAGCTTGGGTTTGCTGCTTTTATTCTTACCACTCTTCAACTGACCTGTCTGGCATGGTAAGACCTTGTAGAACGATTGTTCCAGCCAATATAGCTCGATTGCTTCATCACGATAGGAACTCAAAACAACTGTTTGTCAACCAACACCAAAGTTAGAATTTTCAATACAAATGTCAAGACAGTTCTACTGTATATGCTGGAAACCTGGAGAACTACGAAAACCATAATCCAGAAGATACAAATGCTTATTAACAGTTATTTACACAAAATACTTCGGATCCGTTGGACAGACATTATCAACCACAACCTACTGTGGGAGAGAACAAACCAGATTCCAGAGGAGGAAGAAATTAGGAAGAAGCACTGGAAGTGTATAGGACACACATTGAGGAAAGCATCCAACTGTGTCACAAGACAAGCCCTCACGTGGGATCTTCAAGACAAAAGGAGAAGAGGGAGACCAGTGAACACATTACACCGAGAAATGGAGATAGACATGAGAAGAATGAACAAAAAGTGGATAGAACTAGAAAGAAAGGGTCAGGATAGAGTGGGTTAGAGAGTGCTGGTCGACGGTCTCTGCTCCATTGAGAGTAACAGGCGTAAGTATGTAAGTTATATATTAGGCATTGATGTTGTTCCTATTAATATTGGTAGCCCACATTATAAAATTAATGAAACAAAGTAACGATTAAAAAGACATGGAATACTGGGGAGTAGGCTTATGACATTTCACCAGAAATCAAATCTAACAGTTTAGGTTCTCACACTAAACACATTACCATCAGAACTGTCTATATTTTGATGTTAAATAATATTGGGCAATTATCATCCATTACCATGGAAGATATTGCGTATTAGTCGTGATATGTATAGACTTTATTAGTTACTATTGCATACTGGAACTTTAGGATTTATTCTTGAATCTATTTACAAATTGATTATCATTAGTTTGTATTGCTGAAAAGTCTCATACTAATACAAAAGAGCTATTAGGTAGACTTCGTCTCATTTCAAAAGCTAGTTGCTATCAGGACTCAGTAGCTGAAATGGATAAGGTGATGATGTTTCAAGCAAACGGTGCTGGTTTCAAGTTCCAGAGTGAACATCAACTCTGAGATATGATAAGCACATCAAACTGACGAGTCTCAAATAGAACAAAACGCTCATTAAACTGAATTCTATTGCTAGCCACTATCCATCCATCTTTGTTTATAATGCTTGTGAATTAAGGCAACAATGAGAATATACGCACAATATGCATATATGCCAATAAGAATGATCATTTGCAGTTCTAAACATCAATGGGAAGATTCAAGTAAACAACAATACGAAGTGAACTTATAATGATAATAATAATAATTATTATCATTATTTTATCATTCCAGTCCCCTTCACAACGCAATGTCATAATTGCGTCAGTAGGCCTCAGCATACACAAAGGGAAAACCAAGGTCCTCGAATTCAAAGCGGAAAACAGCAATCCAATCATTCTTGATGGCGAAACTCTGGAAGATGTAGAGTCCTTCACATACCTAGGAAGCATCATCGATGAACAAGGAGGTTCAGATGCAGACGTAAAGGCGAGGATCGGTAAAGCAAGGGTTGCATTCCTACAATTGAAGAACATATGGAACTCAAAACAACTGTCTTTCAACCAATATCAAAGTGAGAATCTTCAATACGAACGTCAAGGCAGTTCTACTGTATGGAGCTGAAACTTGGAGAACTACAACAACCACAATCAAGAAAGTACAAGTATTTATAAATAGCTGTCTACGCAAGATACTCAACATCCATTGGCCGGATACCATCAGCAATAGCCTTCTGTGGGAGAGAACAAACCAACTTCCAGCTGAAGAAGAAATTAGGAAAAGACGATGGAAATTGATAGGACATACATTACGCAAATCGTCAAACTGCATCACGAGACAAGCCCTAACTTGGAATCGTGAAGGGAAGCGAAAAAGAGGAAGGCCAAAGAACACATTGCGTCGGATAATAGAAGCAGATATGAAAACGATGAATTACAACTGGACGGAGCTGGAAAGGATTGTTGAGGACAGGGTTGGATGGAAAATGCTGGTGAGTGGCCTATGCTCCTTCACGAGGAGTAACAGGCGTAAGTAAGTAAGTAAGTAAGTCCCCTTCACAGTATAACCTTCAGAGAATTAGACTAATTTCTATTTAATTTAATAGTTGAATTCATAAATCAATTGAAACTAGATCACAATGGAAAACCTAGAAGCACTAGATGGCTGTTTCTTTCTACTATTGAACTCCTTAACAGTGTGTATCCACGATATGGTCATCCAATTTTTCCAGGTTTTCCATGGTGGTGATCTAGCTTTAATTGACTTATGAATTCAACTATTAAATTATTATAAAACATTTCTCTGTTAATTTATATTTGGCATGATTCCAATTAATTAAAACAATGAATGAATGATCTCATTCTAAATTTTTTCTAAAAATGATCCTCCACTTCCATAAACCTCTCCCCCCCTCACCTTCTCCCCCCTTGCTTAAACAAAATTGACACTTTAATAAATAACTATTCTATTTTGATTAAATTATTATTATTATAATTTTGTTTTAAAGTTGAACTTTCTCCAGTAAATAAACGTCATAGCAACATACAAAATAATAAATATGATGAATATTTTGACCTTAAATTTAAAAAAAAATTACTGGGTCGGATAGGGGTGGGTGGGGGTGGCGTGGGATATTTAGTTCAAAAAAGATCTAAATATTATCAGAAAGGGGGGGTATTGTAAAGAATAGAGCAGGTAAAAGATTACTGGGTCGGATAGGGGTGGGTGGGGGTGGCGTGGGATATTTAGTTCAAAAAAGATCTAAATATTATCAGAAAGGGGGGGTATTGTAAAGAATAGAGCAGGTAAAAGAAAGAAAAAAAGAGAAAAAAATTAATGATTACTTGTAAAAGAAAAAAAAAGAGAAACTTATCATTTTGTTTAGTAATTAACTGTTAATGATACGTTTTTGTTGAACTTAAATGAAATAAATTGAAACAAATGACAAAAGTGAGGTGATAAAAGAGAGAGAAGAAAAAAGAAGAACAAAATCACTTAATTAACTATTTATTCTTTCAATAGTTGAATTCATGAGTCAATTGAAGTTAGATCACCGTGGAAAACCTGGAAGTAATGGATGACTGTTTCGTCCTAGTATGGAACGCCTCAGCAGTGCGCATCCACGATCCCGCCCCCCCCCAGAGAGATTCGTTGTTTAAATGTGATGAATTGGATGATGATGATGATGATGATGATGATGATGATGATGATGATGATGATGATGATGATGATGATGATGATGATGATGATGATGATGATGATGATGATGATGATGATGATGATGATGATGATGATGATGATGATGATGATGATGATGATGATGATGATGATGATGATGATGATGATGATGATGATGATGATGATGATGATGATGATGATGATGATGATGATGATGATGATGATGATGATGATGATGATGATGATGATGATGATGATGATGATGATGATGATGATGATGATGATGATGATGATGATGATGATGATGATGATGATGATGATGATGATGATGATGATGATGATGATGATGATGATGATGATGATGATGATGATGATGATGATGATGATGATGATGATGATGATGATGATGATGATGATGATGATGATGATGATGATGATGATGATGATGATGATGATGATGATGATGATGATGATGATGATGATGATGATGATGATGATGATGATGATGATGATGATGATGATTTGGATGATTGAATAATCTTTCAGATAAATTATTGTTTTTTTCTCTTTCTATTGACCTTTTTCTTTATAAGCCAAGATAATGAAGTGACTAAGAGTGGAATAGAAGATCAGTGTTTCATCTGAATTAGGACTTGTTAGTTGAATGAACAGGGCATTCTAGACATGTTGATATTTTCTTTGGTACTCGAACACAGTACCGTTCGCCTCAAATGACATCACGTTGTCCAATTAACTACTGAGTCCTGATATCCAATTGCTTGTACAATGGAATAAAGTTTAATTGATTTGTACAGGCTGTTTGAATCTTTCCTAATGGAATGACTACTGATTCCAATCAGTTTGCTTTAAAATAGCCACTTATTTCTTTAAAAATTAATTCTGCCTTTAAGTGATAAATTTTAATTAAGGTGTTTAATTTAAAGTGTAAGTAACCGTTGACTTGTAGTTAAATTACTATCAAGTGCATTAATTAAATATTACTTACTTACCTACGCCTGTTACCCCCCTGCGTTGAAGAACATATACTGCTTACCAGCATTATCTATTCAACTCTGTCCTGGAAAATCCTGTCCACTTGCTATTCATC